TCCCTTATTGCATACTGATAGAGCAGGTACTAAAACATTCATCAACTTTTTAAAATTCTTATGACCCCAATTTCTATCCTTAGGGTTATTAAAGAAAATGTCGGTATTTTACCTCATTGCATACTTAAAGAGTTCAGCTCATTTCATTTCTGATGATGAAAAAGTCTAGTCAAAGGGTTATAGAAGGAAAAGTCAGTAACTTCTTAATTTCATACAGTAGAATGTTAGCTGAGCCTGTCTTCATTAGTCCAATAAGGAGCAAAGGAAGTAAGATGTATAACTTCATTTCTATTCAACATTGTACATAAATCTAGGTTCATGACATGTTTCCACTTGCTTCTTATTCCCTGAAAATGTCTTTCTTGAATAAGATATTGCTAAGCCTGTTATATCATGTTTCTACTGAACACTGACCAAGGAAGTTATTCACATTAAATGACTTGTTTATATAATAACACAAAAACATAAAAGACTTCATAGGGAATTAATAATAATAGTTATTTGTTACTGTATGAATGCAAAATACAGAGAAATATTTTATATTCGTTTTTAAGGGACAATGGTATCTTGACTGCAAACTTCACTCACATGAAGCGTCTGAGAGGTTCCCCAAGAAAATAGAATAGATTTGGTGAATACAGACTCATAATTTTGGACAAAAGCGTATAAAAATCATATTTTTGAATTTGTTAGAGCTAAAGTTGAAATACAATGGGGGTAAATGCCATTTTTCTAGAGGGGGTGGGGGGCAAATTTCTCCTCTGTACCCAGTCTGTAATCTTCATCTCATTATAGTGAGAAAATTTCCATTTTTTTATAATTCTTATTTTGAGAAAGGATTAAAACTGATGCATAGAGACAAATATATTGAATGCAAATATACAAAAGCTGAATATCTTTTTAAGAAACATTAGATCAGGGGGAATATATACTAGTAATATTGAAAGAGATTTGTAGAAATGTCACAGTTTATGACTATGAAAAAAACATAAATGCTATGACAAGATGAACTTCTAGTAGAATTAGGATTGCTTTTTAAATTGGTAGTTCCGGTATATAACATCCTTCCCAGGGAATCCATTTTAAACTAATAATAATATACAATCCAAGGACACTAAGATAACAATATAACACTATCTTGTGATATCATCAAAGCTCTACAAACTTCTACATTCATATTCATATGAAATAATCATCATTTGTGAGAGCTTAAATTTTGTAGGATTTGTAGGTTCCCAAGAAATAGCAATAATCAAAAGGAAGTTCTTCACTAAGAATATGCTTTGAAGGACAAATAGCTTATTATATATATTATATATCATTCACTGTTAACCGAAAGGAAAAAAGATATGTTTTGTCCTACTTTTTCCCTTGGTTTCAGATAATGAAGACATGTAAGAAGGAAACATTTCATTAAAAATGTCCTTTTAGCCTATTTTCAATTATGGAGAGATCAATCTTGCAAAGTGTTCAGTCTTCAGGGCATCAGCTGTTGTCCCATCCAAATGGCTAAACACTGTTGTCAGCACCTTGTGGAATAGTTCCGACAAGTTAAATGTTGTCATACTTGTATCTAGAAATAGTGGATGTCCTAAACCTAGACCAAAAACTCTGCCTCTTTTCCAGCCTCTGATAGATATTTCGAAAGTTTGTCGGCTGGTGTAGAGACAGAAAAACTAGGCCCAGTTTTGTGGGAAAGTTCCGCAACACTGAAGGTGCTCTGGTTTTAACCATTTTTATTAGAATTTGATCTGCAACACCCAGATAAACCATCATAATGTCATTTATGTCATGTCTGAAAAAATATCTATCAGAGAATGAAGTAGATGCATGTCTGCCAAGGGGAGCAAATCACATGGTCTCTTTTAAAAGATCAGATGCACTTTGAACCTGTCTGTTATCATAATTTAAATAATGTGAATAGTTTGCAATATTAATATATATAAACATGAGGTAAACTCTATATTCTATCATTTTGGAGTCCACAGCCCCTTCATCACTTTCAGATCGTTATCAAAGGGACATTCTACTTTTTTGTAGGTCAAAAACATTTTTTGCCAAAATTTGTGAAAACTATACAACAAAATCTAGTGAAACATGCCTTTTAACATATCTGAAAGTTTAAAATAAAAGAATTCAGCCCTTAATATTTTAACACCAAAAATATTTAAAAACATTACGAAAGGTTAAGTTTGTTAAGATGATTTTTGGAAGCTGTTAGAAAACTGTATGGATTTAAGTAAAATAAATGCCTAATTGTAGAGAAAAATGTCACCTACATATTCTAAAGAACCGATAAAATATGATTTCTGAGGTTTAATGCAGTTGCCATGCATGATCTGAAGAAAACATTCTTTGATCATGTTCAAGCAAACTTTGAACCCATAGCATTAACCAATCAAAACCACAGCTAATATGCACACTGACAAACAACATTCCAATTTCTGAAATTACCAGCAAATCTTGAACAACCAGCAAATCTTGAAAAGAGCATTTTAATTGGGGAATATTTCAATGACTAGAACAAGAGTTGCATAAAGCTTTGTCAGATCATGAATGAGTAGTGTATTACAAACAAAGTCTGAAAAATATATCTTGATCTAAATTCTAATTGATAACCGCCCAGTGGGCAACATTCTTAACTTAAATTCAGAAAAAAGGTATGGAGATTTGAAAGTGATCTCTATCAGCTAAAACAACAGTTTCCTTTTTAGCTTTCTAATTATAGAAAATATTTCCTTAAAGTACAGACATGTTTAAAAATCATATCACCACTCCTTTCAGTTTTACTTTCTCTAGATTGCTGACGGTCTACAGGTTCATGTTTTGTTGATTTTCAGAGATCTATCAGAATTCGATAGGAAATTATTCAATTTCAGCAAACCAATAAATAACAAAACATTTCTAAATAGACAAATGTAATTTTAATGAAAATCAGAAACTGTTATAAATATGCACCAATTGCCATTATGATGAAATTAGTACATGTCCTTTTCAACGTTATCGATTTTATATAAACAAGAATTTCAGAGAATTTCATTATGCAAGCATCTTAATCACTTACCAGCAATTTCTTAGAAAAAAAAGACAAGTATCAATTTATCAATATTCAAACACTTACAAACCAGAAAAGGAAAAAGTTTACAGCTAAATATCCATTATCATAAATACGATTTACCCAGAATTCCTAGTTCAATGTCATCCCATCCCAACATTCTTTTTTACTGCATCGCGGTAGATTTAAATTCAAATTTCACTTTGAATTTTAAACGACAGACTACTAGTTGATATTCTAGGAAAAGTTGGTGTTTCATCATAGAGCTATTTCCAGAAAAGTTTGGATTATATCAATACATACATAATTCAAACCATTTAATTCTTATTGGCATCATTCCCACATGGAAGTTACTACAACTGTACAAAAATACTATAATTCCTTCAAAAATACCTCAAAACTAGTATATCCACTGCTTGAAAATCGAGGTATCTCTAAATTGTTCGGTCATTACTCGTTTTACATTATGACGGAGTCTTGAAAAAGTTGAGTTGTCAATGTAATTTTCAAACATGGATTATTAAGCATACACATACCCAAGATGGCTTAAATTTTGACAGTAGGCAGTGAACACTGTTACTGATTAGCTTTGCTATACAATTCCTCCTTTTGAAGGTACATTTGACCTTCGAAAATAGGTAACCATTGCCTTTCATGGTATTTCCTTGATTTAAAATATTCAGAGAAGTGAAAAATTCAGTATAACCCAGTCTAGTTTGATAACAACTACTGGAAACACCATTATAGCCCTGGGATTGCATACATATACCATTTTGTTACTCATTAATATGTAGACTTACCAGGGCTGTTTATTCATTTTTTTGTCAGTCCGACATTTTTCAACAACCTGTGAAATTTGATCTCAATTTCCCCTTGAGAGAAGGTCTATTATATCATAGCCTACCTATCAATAAAAAAATATTGGGTCACCTTGTCCTTTGAACCTGCTTTTCTCAGCAATTTGCTCAACATTTAAAATTATTATTTGAATTGAACCCATTTTACCCCTTGCCTTTCAAATACCTTTTTTTTTTTTTAGGTTTTCCTGATAATTGCCATAATTGACATTGAAATGTAAGATCACCTATATATTTTCCAGAATATTTCTAAGCTTAGCTTACTGATTTTTAACATTGATTAAATAGGTGTAACACCTGCTTCATGTTTCATTTGAGTGACCAGATTAACTGCCTTATCAAGCTGATATCATTTTATATAATCTATTATCAATTTTATCTGAGAGACTTTTCAGGGAATTACCAAGTTATCTACTGCAAAATAAAACTGAAACTGAAAATACTTAGCTATCGTTAGGAATGGTATAAATTGATGCTATCATTGTCCCCGATACACATAAAAAATCTAGAAAACCTCTTTATAATGTCTTTAACCTCTCGAAACATTGAGTTTAAATTGAAAAGCCGTAAGTGTATGCATCTTGATTATGACAAGCTGAGATAAACTTCTAAGAAATCAAACTTCTATGTGGTTAAGTTGTTTAAAATTCTAAGAAATTCATCTTGGGGTCTTTTGAGCCGAGATTAAAATAAGAAAGTTTCAATGAGCTTAAAAGGATTCAAAAGAATTTTTTTTTGTCTTTGTTTGCTGATTAGGAACACACTGGTACAAAGGGTATTTGTGATAATGATATCATATTATGCTAATGAAGTGCAGTATAGAAATAGAAATATGAGTGTCCAAGATAAACAAACATCATAGAAAACTTCTTTAAATATCTTTATAGTATAAAACTCATCTATCATATCACATACAGATTTTGTCCCTTTTAGTTATGTTTTTGGAGAAAATTATGTAGTTTTCTTGAACACGGTAAACATGTACAAAAGAAAGTTCAATTCAAGAGGATACCAAGATTGAATTTATTTCATTTGTGCTAAGAGAAATATTTAAACAACTTCAGTTAATTATATAAAGTTAGACTTACCCTTCTTGCTCTTTCAACCTCTCCACATGGAAGTCTCTTATTAAAATCTATACCAGTTAATGGTGTTCCAGTAGGTGGTAATAATATAGAGGCATCCATCATTAAATATTCCACGTTTAATGGCCGATTCTAAAAAAATAGTTTTAAACTTTTTAAATTTTAAAGTTGTTTTCGTTGAAAATGGGAAAAATGATATTTCAATATTTTAATTGTAGACAAACGTGAAGTTATACTTTAATATGATACAGACAGCTGACATTGATCTCTATCAGCTTTTGCAGCCAAGATGCAGATGACTGTATCCCTTTCAGAAAGGAAGATTTCAGATAAGAAGTTTAAAATTAAAGATGCAGTTGAAACAAGAAACACCAGTTAATGTTCTAGGAGTTTTACATACCCTTATCACAATAAATACTGGTATAGGAATTGTCCACGATTCTAATAAGTAACTTAATGTTTGAAACAGATGTTTTTTCATGATATAAAGACTGAGTTGTTTTTTAAGAAATATTTATTGTTTTTTCTTACATTTAAAATTTCTAGTTAAGAGAAAAAAACGAGTAAAAACCATACTCCTAAGAAATATCGCAATGTATACCCATATCACCCAGTCCTAGGTTTTAGTCATTTGACTGAAATTTCACAGCTAGTTTTGTATAAAGGGGAATAACTCATATTAAGACTAACCTTCATTTGTCTATATTCATCTTCAAACATATCCAGAAATATTTCTTCACTCTGCCAAAAAATCATAAAAAAAAATCATAAAAAAACTTCAGGATAACAATTACTAGTAATTAATATCTAGCACTCAACAATTATTCTACATTAGAAATGTGCAAAATTACAGTAATAAAATAACAAAATCTTTTGTTTATGGAGAGCTTGAGTTTGGTATTTGCTCGATCACTGAGAGGTCCTGTGTTCAAATTGGGTATACTGGTAGATTAAGATGATATCAACCATTGATTTTCAACCAAGTTTCCTCTTGCCAGTGATGAAGGTCTGTGGGGCTCCTATAGAAAAAGCCTGTATAGAAAGGTAACGATCTCATTGTCTTCAGATGGCCAGAACAGGTACAACTATGAATCAAACATGCCCCTCTAATTTAAAGTTGCTATTTTATTAAAAATCATAAATACCTTATAAAAATTACGCAGTAGTTGGGTACTCCTTTCTTTAGCATTCTCTACACTAGCTAGATGTCTATCTTGTAAATAAGATGTATCCTCTTTAAATGTTAACTGTTTTAATAGCTTTATCGTCATTTCTAATGTTGCTAATCTCACTTTACTATCTGTAACACCAATAGTTAAATCATTTCTTAACTGGAGCTGCAGTGGCTCAGAGAGCTCGAAGCTTACTTGCTAATCTGAAGCTCAAAGGTTCAATATTGTGATAGGACGAGATAATACCTTCATATCTTTCAACCGGTACTATAATCTTAAAGAGGCATTCTGACATTTTCGTAGGTCGCAAAAAATATTTTTTTGTTTAAAGATTGGTTTCCTTTTACTTAGTGTGTCAAATTTAGCAAACTATTTCATTAATTGGTATTTCTAATGAATTATCATGTATTCTTAATCATATCATTTTGTTCTTATTGCATATAATTAAGAGTTTTAACCAAAGATAAATGTCCATGTATGTACAGCCTGGATAAGCAAAAAAAGACTTTTTGACCTTTTTTGATCAAAACTAGGTCAAACTGCTTAATTAACAGTAGTATGTTCCATTTTCAAGTATATTTTACAATAATTCTTTAATAATTAAAATGTTGCATACTGCCTCTTTAAATAACTTACTGGATTGAGCTGCTATAGTTATAATTCTTAATAATCTTTCCACTAATATCACATTATAATGATGTTTCTCCTGTAATGGAAGACAAAAAACAATCATTTATTTTCTTATCAAAAAACAGGAGTCAAAATACACAAACACAGACAACAGTAGATCATTCAACAAAGAACATAAATAAAAAATACCAACATTTTAAAGAGAAAACTTGTTCTCAACAAAACTGTCTTCAACTGTGCAAATGATTGGAGATTCAAAATTCCAACAAACGAAGATAAGCATCTTTCAAGTCAATTCCAATGTTCTAAGACTGAGCATATTCTAATTAATAATGGACACAGACCACAACAAAGTATTTGCTGGCATAAAAAACTTATTTTTGGATAATTTACTATATAGATAGAGGCCATAAGATAAACGTCAAAAAGATTTATGAAACAGCATTCAATGTTACATTAAAAAAATATGATTAGAGTTATAATTCAAATCTAATCTTACCCTAGATTTATCAGTTGGCATTAAAACTTGATCTAACACATTCTGAGATAAACCTAGATAAAGTAAAACGAAAAATTAAATTCTACATCCTATTTCTCTGCATACGATTGGGCTTATAAAAATTTGCAACACCATACAGTGTGCAATGCAAAATTTGCCAGGACAATGGTATTAGTCTTATAGATTGTCAACTATTCAGTAAGGATATCTTTATTATAGCACACTTGGCCTTGGTTTATTGTCCCAACTGCAGAACTAGACACTTAGCTTAATGTAGGCTACCAATAGCACATTTCCGTTCAAAACCAGAATTGAAGTCATTATGCCTAACATTTTTCAGATATGAAATAACAAAAGGTACTCATAAGACTTTGGAAAGAGTAGGGTATTGGTTTTTTGTCATAAACCATGAAAAAATAACCAGAAGAAATTTAATTTCGGCTAAGCATAGTGAGCAAATTAAATGAAGCTTGGCTTAAGGCTGGGGACAAATTAAAGGAATTTACATCTTGAGTAATGGTGAATTAACACACTTGAGTCAAATATGTTAAAAATTTGCATATTTGGCATAATCTTAATAATTTTACATGACTCTTTATTCCATTCAGTGAATTGTTATTTACATGTCAGTGTTGGACAGTCAAGTTGAGTGCTGGCTACTGCCGACTGGCATTGACCACCAAGGCAACAATCCTTAATATAACGATCCAAAAAAATGACAGATTACCTTCGTTTTGTCCAATTGCATATAACATACACAGGGCAAATAAAGCTGCATAGTCATTTTCACTACATTCTAAATCATTAAATATTGCTTCTAAATAAGGCCTAAGATAAAGGAAAAAAGTTTGGATTTGAAACAATTGAAGAATTAGAAAAGTTCAATAGTGACAGTTTGTTGAAATTTAAGCTGTAAAGTTTACTTCATACTGTAATCTTTCAAAAATGAAACCTTACCTATTTTTTACTATATAAATCAAGGAATAGCCTATTTTCAACAATATAAATCAAGTAAAAACCTATTTTCTACAACATAAATCAAGGAATAGCCTATTTTCTACAATGCAAATCAATGAATAGCCTATTTTCTACTATATAAATCAAGTAATAGCCTATTTTCTACCATATAAATCAAGTAATAGCCTATTTTCTACTATATAAATCAAGGAATAGCCTATTTTCTACTATATAAATTAAGGAATAGCCTATTTTCTACTATATAAATTAAGGAATAGCCTATTTTCTACTATATAAATCAAGTAATAGCCTATTTTCTACTATATAAATCAAGGAATAGCCTATTTTCTACTATATAAATTAAGGAATAGCCTATTTTCTACTATATAAATCAAAGAATAGCCTATTTTCTACAATACAAATCAAGGAATAACCTGTTTTCTACTATATAAATCAAGGAATAGCCTATTTTCTACAATGCAAATCAAGGAATAGCCTATTTTCTACTATATAAATCAAGGAATAACCTATTTTCTACAATACAAATCAAGGAATAACCTGTTTTCTACTATATAAATCAAGTAATAGCCTATTTTCTACTATATAAATCAAGGAATAACCTATTTTCTAAAATACAAATCAAGGAATAACCTATAAATTAAATACTATCCTGTTTTCTACCATATAAATTAAATACTATCCTGTTTTCTACTATATAAATTAAATACTAACCTATTTTCTACTATATAAATTAAATACTAACCTATTTTCTACTATATAAATTAAATACTAACCTATTTTCTAGAGAAAATCTGGGAGGTGAATTAGCAGGACCAGGTACATATGTCAGTCTTTGACATAACTTTTCTTCATCAGTAGAATTCTGGTTAGGACTAGATATATCTGTGTCTGCAGAGGCTGCTTCACTGATTGGACTTGTTACTTCATCTAAACCAATGAGAAATCATTAAAATTGCAGTACCCAATGAGGAACGTTGGGTCACATTTTTATCCATCTGAATGATTAGACACGTTTTCAAAGTAAACCCATCAACATGTCCAAAACCAATACATATTTCTACCCTGTTATACTTTAGTAGGGGGCAGCTAGATTGGTGAGTTATGCATGTTTGAAATTCATAGAATCAACCGGACAATGACTAATACAAGTTGGAGTTCGGAACATGTCTAGACAGAATTCAAAATGGTGGAGAAGGTAAAAGAAAGTAATGTTTTGATTGTGACATAATCTGGTTCTGTACTGTACGATTGAGACCAGAGTTGGAACAAACAGAACTTGCTCAGAACTAATCAATCAATCACCACTTAGATTAACATTATCTTAGAGAGTGAGGATCAATATACAGACTTAAGAAACAAACAGCAAGCCATTTTTGTCCACTAATCTGTAGAAGTAAATCCTACCAGAGGTTATGTCTGACGTCTGACTACCAGTATCAAATTGTGAAGTACCACTACTACTACTATCTGGAACCGTCTCAGTATTAGTATTAGACTTGCTTGCTTGCTTAAAGTTACGATGAGTATTGGCTAATGTCTTCTCTAATGATTCTGTTGGTTGACGAAACTCTCTTATTCTCTATAAAAAAAAAAAGGGAAAAAACACCAATGACAGGCAACGTCTGCTACCAGTTAACTGATCTCAAAGACAAGAATACATCAATCCATTGAAAACAGTTAATACAACTGTCAGTTTCCAAAGTGTACAATATTTTTTTGGCTGAAATTCATATGCTAAATTAACAATATTAAAGCGAATATACTTAGAAGGATGCCAAGCTGACATACCCAGTTACAGAGTGCCATCAAGTGTTTAAATATAGTGGTACTACTGTTTATAGTTTCATCACTGGGCTGGCTGGCATTTGATTACAAATCCAAATCGATCTGTGCAAAGATCGAACCCTGCACCCACAAGTTGACGAGCATGGATAAAAAAATGGTCAAGACTAGAAGATGTTATCCTTGTGAAATATAGATACATCTTTCTATTTATTTCTAAACTACTTACCATCTGAGGGGAATGTGATTGAGTATTAGATGATGATAATTCTGTTTCACCATGAAATATAATATCAGCTAATGGCTGTATTAATGATGGGTACTGTATTATCAAACACACCTATATTCATAAATAAATATTACTTCAAATACAACATCCAAATTGTATTAAGCTGCAAAACTGATAAAGGAGGGCATTGAGATTATAAAATAGCTCATGGATTTGAATATGCTTGGTTATGTTTTATAAATAATGGCCATGAGTTCTAATGGCAGTCGGCATGTGAAAGTATGGTGACCTTGAATAGAAATCTTCTTTCATTATTCCAGAAAAAGCAATGCTAAGACCAAGCTGGTAGAAAGGATCCTCGTGAACCCAAGTTGTTATCCTTGTAACAAATGGTTGTTTCTTTGTTTGATGTCAAAGCTGGTATTAACCAGAGCATATACACAAGATTCATGCCGAAGAGCTCAATTTTCTGTTATATTTTACATTTTACACTGTTTCACATGCTGTTGGTAACCTAGCAACAATAAGAAAAACTTACTTGTGACAGGAGAAATAAAGATACAACAGAACTGATGTATTTTCTATCACTCTATAAAAAAATCAAAATAGATAAGTTATCATTGAATTTAATATGCTTAGAAATATTTACAGTTTATTCCTTAACAAAAGTGTAAGATATGTAAAAAATAAGAAGAAAAGAAATAAAAAGAGAAATTCCTAGTTTGAAGTATTTTTCAAGAAATTTATGGAAAAAAACATTTACCTGTGCTTCATGAACAGAGAGTCGTTTACGTTTAGTTAAAGAATAAACATATAGTGGTATTAATAATCTGTTTAATAGATGATCTGTTAAAACTTCATTTAAAGCATCTATATCAATATTCAATATATCATTTAAATAGTGTAGATGATCTAAATGTTCAGCTACTAATACAGATAGACGATCACGACTTCTATGGCTGAAAAAGTGTCAAAAATTCAATAATATTAACTTTTTGGTCCTCTAAAATGGGAAGTTTTGAAAACAGTTGTTCGATGTTTTTGGCTTTTTTCTATCAATTCAAAAATGATAATTGAAAGTAATAGTGGCTTCAATATCTGGAGGTTTGGTTGGAATCGCAGGAACCATAATTGGCCAATAAACAGTATAGTGTTAATATAGAATTTATCAGTTATATATTTGTTGATACATATAGAAAGAATCTAAAAAAAGTCCCATGTTCCTATGTAGGATATATTTGATGTATGAGCAGAGCAAGAAGTATAGTCAAACAAAGTCTTCGCCCATCATAGTACCATCAAAAAATAAACACAATCAGTCATTGCTCATATTCCATTGAATTATTAGTCAGATCCTCTGAATGATTTACCTTTTATACCCCTGAAAATAAAATGGACTGGTTGTGTTTTTGATGATACCTGGATGAGTAAAAATATAAGAATACTTACTCTGAATCATGTCTAACACATAAATCTAATGTTAATATATGATTACCAATAAACCATACTAGATTAGAGAAATAAGGTGCAGCTGTTCTGTCTCTAATATACCTTAACATAGCTTTATCATCCACTGAAAAATACAAACACATCACAAACCTTGAGTTGAGCCTCAATATCATTTATGAGCAGACGGTAATGAAATCAAGTTTTACCTCCTATTTTTCTATTCCTGATGAGACTGAAGATGGGCAATGCCCTGATGTTTGCAATGAGGGGTATTTCGCAGTGGAATAAGCCAGTTGATTAATTGATCAAAATGATCTGCTCCGTAAGAACTGAAAGAATTTCCAATCATTGGCAATCAAAAATATTATATGCGTTTAACTCAATTTCGATAACTTAATTACATTTAATACCAAATTTCCCTTTGATCCAACACCTATTATTTTAGTATTCCAACACCCTTGACATAGTCTTCAATTTCATTTTATTACCAAGACTTGTTAAATATTTTTCAACATTATTCATGAGCTTTTCTACACACTGTATAAACATAACAATGTAGCATTAAATAGCTGCTCAAACAAGATCCAGAAGCACTGAAATGAAATGAATGGAGTTTTATGTCCTACTTTTCAGCACCATGTGGGCTAATGAAGATGGGCAACACCATGCACGGTACAATGAGGGAAATTTTGTCAGAACAGCGGCATTTGTCTTTTTCGATTTCCAACTGTCGAGGGATCTTTAACGTGCACAGCCTGTAGCACACTTGGCCTCGGTTTATTGTCCGAACCGAGCGACTAAATGCTTTTTCCATGTCAGCCCCTCTTACCTGCATGTCCACATATGCCAGAATTTAACCATGGACCTTCAGGTTAGCGAGCAAGCGTCTATTTCACGGAGCCACCGTGCCTCCCATCCAGAAACACTGAGGGGTTTCAAATGCATGAAAAACAATACTGCAATGTGTTATTTCGATGGAGGCTGCATGCAATGATTATGTTAATGTAGTAAAGCATTCCATTATTTACTTATAGAGAGCTCTGCAATATCTGACTTATCAGCATCATACTGGTTCAAAATTACATTTAAAGGACACAATCATATACAAATTGGCTTGATATAACCCTATTTCAGCCATCAGTATCACTCAGAATAAACAATCTGACATCAGGTTCTCCTACAATTCAACAAACATACTATCCTTGAAGTCGAGACTGCTGTTATTGAGATATCATGCCCCGGGAATTGATGTTTATTTCATTGTAGAAGAACTAAAAGTCAAATTTTAGATAGCTTTTATGTCTCTTCAATATGAAGCCCTAATCATTTATCATTTTTAATTCTTCTATCCCCAATAGTTTGGATCACTAGAATTCCTTTTGTTCTTTTAGAATGTCCTGCATGTAATTAAAAAATGAACTTAATTTCTTTATTTCGCAGTAATGCTGTCAAATATAAATGATTCTATTAGTAGCAATCTTCATTCCAGATACTTTTCAGTCATAGAAAATGTTGAGCAAATATGTATTTTTCAGACTAGAACAGAATTTTCAAGCACAAAAGTCAGGCAGAGTGAACTAGTTTCAATGTTAGTAGAAGCCAAAGACCTAATTCCAATTCTAAATAACTTTTCAAGAATCCTTGAGAACTCGTAATTCAGCAGAAAAGTTTATATATGATCACAAAATCTAGAGTGCATTAACTGTAATTAATCCTAAATAGCATAAATATAGAAATTAGCTAAAATTTCTAAAATGTCTCTGAATGTTTGCTTAACCAACTGATAGTGCTGATTTATTGTTGACAAGTAAAATCAGCTGGTATTGCAAATATTTAGAGAAATGTATCTCCTTTAAATGTTAGACTAAGGTATGGAACTGTTAAGAATTGGAATATATGTCTTGTGAGAGGTAGAATGCAATGAAGCATGTTCTGATTTATACTGGTACCTGAGCTATTCAACTGACCATAAACACCTAAAGCCAAACAAGGTAGAAATTAATAAGGGATAGACATGAGGCAAAAGCCACTGACAAAGCTTGTGAGTGTATAACATGTGGCATATTCATAAATGAAATGAATGGAGTTTTACGTCCTGCTTTTCTGCCCCTTATTGAAGGAAGACAAGGCCATGCAGTGTGCAATGAGAAAAATAGTCTACTATCTTATTTCAATCCTTATTCTACTGTTTTGTTTCGGTAAAATTAGCTTTTAAATCCCTGTTATCATTGAAAACATAGCTTCTACTAAATCAACTAAGATCAAGCGCAGTTATATATATTCCGGGGATATCGGGGAAAATTTTAGGGCATTTTTTGAAAAAGTAATTAAAAAACCAAGAATATTTTTACAACATTAAACCAGGAATTTTGTAACAATTCTTATTATTGTGAAGCTAATACATAATGATCCTTTTAGTAATGTATACAACTGGCATATATTCTAAGGCCTACACTATCAAATACTGAAAAGAACTAAAAAAAATGCCTGCTTTATATCAAATAATTGGGACATTAATGCAAACAAAACGTTTTACGAAGTTTCCAAAAATTATATCCAAAATTAGGCGTGGAAGGTGTTTTGTCCTATCAGTTTCTATTCAAGTTCAAATTACGCACCTTTATAGACATTTAATGTAATAGTTCTAACCGCTATTCTCACCATACTTTCTGAGTGATTGAAAAACTTAATAGCCTCTGTATACAATGCAAAATCATTGGTATGCTGAAATGAAAAATAAACATTGTTGTTGCCAGTTTTATTTCAGTTCATATTTTTACTCATTCCACAATTATCACAAAAATCACTAACAAGTGGCAGTGCCAGTTGGCAGAGTCAGTCTCCTTGAAGAGTACAAATAGGGGCTAATTGATTAAATTGGGGACATCTTTCAGGTTAGAGATTCAAATTGTGGAAGCGCCACAATACAATTTTGTAATTGAAAATATCATATTTTTCAATGTCCAGTCCAAGATTTGAAATGTTTAGCCTAAATTGTAAAGTGTCACTTCATGTCTTCTTGTCAATCGAACTTTGAAATGAAAGATATGTTTCATTCGGCAGTTTCTTGGCCCATTAGTATATCTATTATAATTCACATGCCTACTTACCTCATTATAAAAGAAGTGTATCGTATGTCTATTGAGTTTTAAAGATAATGTTTTTAAGAAAGATATATAATAAGCCATCACCTACAACAATAAAAAATATCACATGTTATCCTGAAATGTCAGCATTGGGTCAAAATCTGACCTTGAGTTTTAATTGAATTTTCATTTTAAACCTTAGGGTGTAAAGAAGGTACTAATGACAAAGTTACCATTGCGGTTAAGCAATGTTATGAAAACACAGGCACTGGCATGTAGGCGTAACCTCTAGTGATAGAGAAATGTTTGTGAAGTTAGTTTCAATAATAATATAGAATATTTGAAATGCAGATCCATAGTCTTCCGAAATTAGGTTAGGGTTTATATATTTAAAATAAAGACTGGAAAAAGTTCTTATCTTTAAGCTTTAAGCCATAAAGTCAAAAAAGCTCCAAGGCTCATTATAGTGACAGGACATGATTAGCATTCTGGAAGACCTGATGCCACTCTGCATATAGGTATATCACGTTTGACAAGCTTCTGTGTCAAGAGTCTGACATTTTGCCAGGACAGTGGCATTAGCCTGCTCTTTTTTCGATTTCCAACTGTTGAGGGATCTTTAACGTGCACAGTCTGTAGCACATGGGGCCTCGGTTTATTGTCCCAACCGAACGACTAGACACTTTTTCCATGTCTGTCCCTCTTACCTAAACCACTGATCGGGGGAAAACAGGTTGAAAAATCTGAAGGTATTATCACGACCTTCAGGTTAGCTCACTGAGCCACCGCGACTCCCATAGCTTATTGGACAATTACAATTCAGAAATCATATTTCTGAGCAGGACAAAAATTAAAATTGTAAAGTTACCTCTTCATCTGAGAAATCAAATTTATGTACAATAATAGAATTGATATGGTTATTAGATAATAAATAATCTGAAATAAACAAAAACAAATTCCTATTACTTAAATAGACTTCAAGACAGTTTGTTTCATTGTTAATTCTTTATGTCTTTTAATTTTATAAATCTGTAATAACTGATACACTTATAAGTATAGACCAAAACATCTGTCTCTATTCTAGCCTCTGATAGCAATTTAGACAGATGTCAGCTGGTGTAGAGAAAGAAAAAATAGGCCCTGTTAAAGGGGGACATTCCGCATCTCCGCAGGTGTGCAGGTTTTAAACCTATTTAGATACCTCAATTCTACAAGACCCAGGTATTTACAGTGTAAAAAATAGTGTTACAGTTTAACACGTATGATAAAAACAAATGATTGCAAGTTTCAACCTTTGATATGATTTGACACACTGGCAACACCCTTGATAAGCTTATACTGAAAATTTATTATTTAAGTGAGCATATTTTGCTATGCAACCATTTTTTTATATGTAGGTCTTATTTCTATAGGTTATGCATGAATTCTTCTGCCTAAAGAATAAAGAAAACCCAGACAATTTTAGAGAACGTGGCCCGTAAAATGGAATGGAAAATGCAAATTGTTGGAAAAGATGCAAAACTAGCCACTGAGGTATATTAACTAAATATATTTTATGAAAACATTTTTCTTAAAATAAAAAATTACCTGATATACAGAAAAAAATATCAAGCTTTATAATTTGTTCAAAGTAAACCATATGACATGTTAATATGTAAGTTAAACTACAATTATAATTTTTAAATTTACTTATTAAAGGATATTGTAAACAGGTTTTCAACTAAACTGAGTTTTTGAGTATGTCGTCCCCTCAAAGGTTTTTTTTTCAAAAATTTTTCAAAATAATATTCTTGACAAAAAGACTTCTAACGCACACAACTGACCAATTGGTCAAAAAGTTACTTTTAATCGTCCATTTCCAAGCACAAATTTTACACTTTCTCAAGAGCACAAAATCTCATCTGTCTATTCAGCCATCTTGTCTTGCCTCATGCATAAAGAAATTTTCATTTATGATATTTCAGAGAACAGAGACAGAAAAGAGTATTGCTTCAATTAAGGAATTAGAAAACAATGTAAACCGAAAGAAAGGAAAAGGGATTAAATCCAGATCATGCATTAAAGTTGTAAAGGTATGTTCATTTAAATAGTATTTCGTAAGATTAATTTGTAAAATTTTAAACTATGCTACAAGATCATTAAGTTTTACACGTCCGTCTGTAAGTATGTATGTACATATGTAGCAAAATTGATTCTCGTTCTCTAACTTTAGTTTGCGTCAACCATGTGTTATAAAACTTAACCACAATGCTTATTACACGAAATAGAGGCCAAGTTTTAATTTTTTTCATATTGAGTTCATTTAAAAGAGATGAATAGGCCTACTGAATGTCATATTTTTTTTTTTAGAATGTGCAGAAAATTGATTCAACACTTCCCAAGAAACATTTGGAAACAGAGGAAGAAGAAGCTCCTTATTTGGTGGTGTTCCTAGACCAAGAGGATAATGCATTATGTATATATGTAATTGGAGACATATTATTATTACCTTAAAAAGAATACAAAATCAATGCAATGGGTTACATTGGCTGCTTAGTTCAATTATTGACTTGTCAATGCATATTTTAGTTCCATGAGATCAGTTATGTCATGCAACATCAGAACTCGTGTTATTGGTAGGTTGCAACATGGGACATTTCAAAAGGATAAACACGTTAAAGTGTAAATTAAGTGTTTCCAGGCAAATTCACGTGTAATATGTTAATCAGTTGAACACATTAACATGTTAATTATTATTAACACTAGTGTTAGAGATCATTATTTTAACATGTTAATTAATTGTTTTTGCAGTGTATGTCATGTCTCAGGTTCCATCAAATTTTTTTTTGGCGAAAATGATCTAGTATCGACCATTTAAAACTGTGTGCGCATCCAAAAGTTCAAAGGTCACAGAGTCAACAATTCAATTCAGAGGCTGAAATAGAGGCAGATGTATCAGACTATTACTAGTAGTGTAGATATAGCCAACCTTTACGAATCAATACATAATATAATAAAAATAAATACATAAACATATCTCGATACATATCGCATTGTATTATGTATCATTGTATTGTGAATTCATTTCTTATAATATATTTTCAGATCATAACATATCATAAGTACGGGTACTTTACAACACATTCAAACAAGGATTCTAATTTCATCTGAATCTGTTGTATTTAGTTGACGTTATTGACACCAGGCAACTGGGGAATATGTGTTTGTAATTATGCCAGATAACGTATCTATATACAATACGATATATTGTAGCATGTCATAATGCAATGCATCGATTCACCAATATATCCACTTTTAGACTTTAAAGAAATTTGGAGAATTAAACAAAAATGACTTACATAAAGAGGTTTCATTTCTAATATTTTCAAATAATATATTCAATGTCTGTAATAACTGAACACAAATATATCTTCCATACTTCTGTCTTATGTATCTCAAGAAAAATGATAACATATTCTTCTCTAGGAAAAAACTGAAAAGAAAAATTGTAAATGAATTTTTTTTTAGCTTTATCTTAATGCCTTAGATGTCCCAGATGGAAAAGGTTCTAATTACAACATATTGCCCATACATATCACTCCTTTTAGTATTGTTTAATTTTTTTCTTGACTTGACTGGTGTAGAAATAATGGTTATAGTGGAAAAAACAAAAAAAAAAACTTACTCAAACACACTGCTGTCATTTTGATCACCCCATATGAGTATTTCTGATATGGATCTCAATGTTTCCACTAATAAACTTCGATTTTGTTCAGTCACAGTTTGGTTCTTACACAACATTCCATACAGAAACCTACAAATATGCAATAATAGAAATAAAAATGTGCAAAATACACATAAAGGTCATGGAATAAACTTCTACCAAATAGTACAATTGAGATGTTTTTCTAATACCACTGTCAGTCCTCGATGTTTAGAGAATTGCATTTCACCAATCATTTCTGTATGAATTTAAATAATGAATATTAAAATAATAACGAGAGTGTTTGGGTTGAGGAAAATGAATACCAATGAAACAATCACTATTCGTATAAATGATTTTACAGATGGGAATTTGCCATACCTAATTACAGCTGGGATAATAAGGAAAGGTAACTTATTTAGGGTCACTAGACTTCCACACACTGATTTGGATTAAAACCCACAACAAGTCAACAAACATTATTTTAACGCAAACAAATAAATGTCTTAATATACATTTTTACACACTCTAACCGACTGTGATACCAAAGCCCTCAAATATTAGTTCATGATCATGCTATATTGGATGTTTTCTCTGTACAATGCACCTGTTCTCTGCGTAGATTGAGTGATTTTGTTTGCTCAGTTTCATTTATCATCTTATACTTCACCTAGTCCCATTAGAAAACAAATCTCCGGGTGATGCGAAAGGAATCTTACTACCGTACATTTTCTGTCAAATGAGCATATTCCGACCAGTCAACAGGAATGCTGTCCTGAATGGTCTCAGTTCAGACACAGTCACACAAATTTATTCTATGGGATAAGCATTTCAGTAGAAAGTATCTTTGTTCGAATTGGTTTATTTTCATCCTGTATCCCAGTCAAAACATTTGAAAGCCTCGATATCTATTTTGTCTTTGACAGTTGATGGTTGGAACAGAGTCATAAAAGCCATGTCCTTGTTTTATTGGGATTGACCTGCACCTCGAATGGTGTTTTAATCATATTTAGTTACTTCTAACCCACCAAAGCCTGATATGATCTTATTCAGAGAGACAGATATTTTTGTTGTTCAGTCATACCATTATCATTCCCCTACCCTACACATGTTCATCCTACATTAATATCACGTCTGCAGATCCATCATAGATTAATCTAAGCTACTCTCTCGCTGACTAGTTGTATCCACGATCTCTACTAGGCTAGTGCTTCTATAGGATAGCATGATATCCTAACACCTAGACAGGCAAGTTTGTCGACTCTGCAGTGAAGTCTTAAAGAGACTCGAAAGAGGTCAGAGAGTAGTTAACAGGAACATCTTGTCAATCGATATTTTTTATCTTACTTACTTTAAATGTTCCAAGGAATGGGGATTTTTTGGTTTCCAAATAGCCCCAGTAAGCCAGTTCTTTTGTCTCGAGAACATTTTGAGTTAATAGACGGCTGCAACTTAAAAAGCTATAACAAAAAAACGTTAAAAACAAAACGTCAATAAAACAGTCGCCATTTTTGATCAGGTGACAGATTGAGTTATGCCCCTTGTAATGTAAATATCAGTTATCTCCCTTTTATCGTTTTTACATAGAGGATTATCATTACCTTTATGCGTTTTTATAAATAAGCCAAGTACTAACGATCTGAATAAAAAATTTTCGAAAAATTTCTGGAATGAAACGAAACCTCTCTGAAGCTCCATGAGAGGTTTGCGACAATATAGGAATCCAATTTTTTTAAATAGGCTAGAATGAATTTGTGCATCTTTTATTTCAAGGGAAGGGAATTCTCTGCAATTTTATTTGACCACTGCGGTTACTTATGAATTACTTTTAATTAGTTAAATAAACCAATTGGAGAAACTGTACAATACATGGACTCATGATTAGTCTTCGGAATGCTGTAATTCGAAGCATTGCACGAAGGTACAATGAGTACCTCTCAGTTAAATAGAGTAGTTCCTACATCAGACCCTCCTATATGATACTGTCTTTTTAATCAAAATTGCATCTCCTTCCTAAAATGCTGTTTTCCTTTCTATTTGATTTTCTCTTTCTCTGTTTTCTATTCTTTTTCTCCGTACATTTTCGTGTTCCCTTCCCGCTAACCGTCTCTTCCCCTTTTTCTTTTAAATTTTTATTCTGTCTCTCTTCATTCATCTCTACACTCGCGTCTCGTTAATTCTTCCCTACTGCTACTACTTCATTCTATCTTCTACACCCTGCTTCTTCTTCTCATTCATGCCATCCTTACTGCCCCGTCCACATGGTGCCGCTACTTCATTCATCCATACACTACTGTATCTTCTACTGTCGCTACTTCATTCACTTCCACACTCTCTCTTCTACTGCCGCTACTTCATTCATCTCTACACCCCTGTCTCTTCCACTGCCGCTACTTCATTCATCTCTACACCCCTGTCTCTTCTACTGCCGCTACTTCATTCATCTCTACACCCCTGTCTCTTCTACTGCCGCTACTTCATTCATCTCTACACCCCTGTCTCTTCTACTGCCGCTACTTCATTCATCTCTACACCCCTGTCTCTTCTACTGCCGCTACTTCATTCATCTCTACACCCCTGTCTCTTCTACTGCCGCTACTTCATTCATCTCTACACCCCTGTCTCTTAACCATAGATATATGGATAAAAATGAACAACAGTTTTATCAATAATTGGCATGGCTTTTATGGCGATTGAAGATAAACAAAGTTTCTCAAAAAGAGTCGATTCGGAATGCGATCCTATTGGCTCTTTTAAGCAGCTTTCTATTTGTTGTTAGATTATAGGCTATTTACCATTTCTATTAGCACGAGTGGCGGGGAATGAGTAACTACATCAATTAGAACTGGTGAGATTAGCTATTTAAACTTCAGAAGCGACATAACTGACAGAATACATGAGAGTAATACAATCTCACTGACTCTTACAAAATAGTTGTGCAGGTGGAATTGACTGTGAGGAAACTGTTGAATTATTAACAAAATTAATATGATCGTTTTTTAACTTTGTGTAAAGCCTGTTTCTATTTTGATCGTTGTTTCGGTGGAGAGAATTTGTATCAACCGTGAATTAGAAAAACTTAAAAACTATTTTCTGATCGGTTGTTCTTGTTTTGAAGGCGCATTACTCATTACATGGAAGCTACATACAATTATTGTGTTGCGTTATAAGGATATTCCACCAGGGACCGTCATCATTAGAACTATGGATATAGTTGATATTATAGTGTGGGTTTTGATATTTTTGTTCATGCTATCTTCTTTAGTAGTTAATGTGATCCATATTAAAATAATTTACAAGCTAAGTGGACGAAAACTGACTATGGAAAATATTCCAGTTATTAACTTATCATTATTATGTATAGTCATCAGTGCGTTTTATCTTTTTTCAGTTAATTTTATGATTGAGAAAAATACAAGTCAATTTCACCCGAAGATCTGTTTTATTCGAATGATAACTATAACATGGTCGTTTCTTTGTTTGTTATCAGCATTTTCTATTATTGGTGCCGAAAGATTTGCATCAGTTGTTTATCCGCTTTTCCACAGAACAAAAATTTCTACAAAAACGCTTAAAATGTGTTGTATTGGATCTTGGCTTTTCGATGCTGTTCTAGTTGCCTTGGCTCAAATTACTCCCATGGACTACGAAATATGTAGTCTGAACAAACATACCCTGATTATTTTATGTAATTTATGTTTTGTGAAAATAGCTTCTGTGATTTGGTTTTATTGTAAAATATCGAAAGTAGCATACACAAAAATTGCCCCTCTTGGTGCAACACCTCAAAATACTCGACAGTTAAGGCGATCTAAAGTAATGTTTATGGTGTATATAATATCCGTTGCCGTTTGGGTTCCACCTATCACGTGCATATGGACACTCAGGATTTTTGCTCCAAATACTGATTCAAGAATTTATATTCTTATCACACTATCGGCCTTTTTGTGTCTTTTTTCAAATTTTTTCACTCACATGCTGAAATATATTTCTTTTCGTAATGAAGTAAAATCATTTTTTTTAAGGTGCTGTTGTGCAACAAAGCAGATCAAAAAATCGTCTAATATCCGTTGCATTACAACTGCGAATGCAACCTAAGGTGCGGTATCGCAAATAGGCGCGTATACTGAGACACTGTTTAGAACACGATTTGTTTCATCTATTGTTTTTATTGTATCGATCACTGCACGCACTGTGCATCTTACTTCATGATCATATTCGGAAATTCAAGGGCATGGTTAGCCATTTTCGGGCCTTGGTTTGGGTCTTGAATAGGTGTTTAGTCTTCATTATCGCATAATTCATTCAAAAATATCTCAAACTAGGAATGTCGCTTTCTATTTCAATATTGTCGCAAAATTATTGTTTTATAGTCGCCCTATATTCATGGCTCGCCAAAACTTAAGTATTTGGGTCGCCTAAGCTTGTCGATGTAGATACATGTTAAAGTGATACTACGTCTTAGAATGAACATAAAATATAACTCCATAATATAAGAGCATATATATTCATCAGTACATATACCTGGTGTCATAAATAACATAACAGGATTGTTATATAATCCGATAAATCCAAAAAACTTAATAAAAATGCAATTAAGTATTGAAAAATATTAAGCGTTTTTCAATAAATACTTGGTTTTATGAGTTTTCCAATTTTCTAGATTTTACAGGGATTCTGTTTTAACTTTATGACACCAGGTAAGTTCACTGATGAATATATACTCATATTGACCATTCTTGAGAATTAAATTTTATGTTCATTCTAAGACGTGTATCACTTTAATACAATAATTATTATTTTAGTGTCTTAGTGTTCGGGTTTTTTGTCATGTGAGTGTTTGAATCCTTGCAATTTGTGAAAGATTATTATAGGTGAATAAGCATAGGTCTATCTGTTATTAGGTGAATTTTACCTTTTTGTTTTGGAAATGGTAATGGATTTAATAGGATCCGCTCGTCTAGCTTGTGACATAATTATATGTCGTCTTTTTAACTTTCAAATGCGGATAATTCTGGACACTCATGGATTTGAAGATTTGAAGGCTCAAATTTCGACGGTGAGCTGTGATATATTCCGTTTCTGAGACTAAGGTTTGTCAAATGGATGGCGAACATGTCCCTTTCAGACGGACCAAAAGTAAGAAAGGCCTAACATGTAAGTTTTTATTGTAAAGAGGTTTTGTAAAAAATTTATGTGTATCGGGGACACTGATAGCATCAATTTACACCATTCGAATTTTCAACCAGACGTCTGCGGCTTTTACAATGCCACTATCTGTTAACTATAAGTGTTTTGACGTCACTTATCGCAAAATAACTATGCTTCGCGTCATCTTACACTTAAATGTAGATTTAGTGACAAGGTGAAATGAGAATTTAGCTCATAGAAAGCACGGACCTAGGATCGAAGCCAGCACTATTCATTTGCAAGTGGTGGTTAGCTTAGTAATTTTTTTTTTTTTCAATTTTAACCATGATGAAAAATAATTTTTTTGGTGGTACCGACTTATCCTGTGCTATATAAAGAAAAATCTGCTTTGTATATTTCACTAGGCCAAATGAAAAATGAAAATGGGGGACTTTAAAGTATGAAAAATGACTTGTTGGACCATAGTCCGTTACCTAAAACAGGGAATTGCAGGAATCAAAGACGTCTGATTGAAAAATTAAATGGTGCAAAATGATGCTATCAGTGTCCCCGATACACATACAAAATTTAGAAAATTTCTTTTCCATCCCTTTAAACAGGATTTGTGACTCAATCCTGCCTCCCAACGTTCAATAATTCATGTATCTATATGTCTAATTGATGCTTTTCTTTGAAATTTTTGTCTGATATTGTTTATTATTTACTGTTTAAATACAATGTAAATATGAAAAATATAAATCAATGAAATGTACATCATACCCAAATTGTCAGTGACGGGTATATTGTAGATTGTGATGAGATGAGATATCATCGATCGTTGGGAAATTACAACATCTTTTTTGCACGCAACATTGGCAATTTTTTACATTTTTAATTAAATCTTATTCACGCAACAGAGCAGCTGTAGAAGCCTTGACCGCTAAGTAATCTGCCTTGGTGTAACGGTTCGACTTCCTCTGAAACCGTCGTAGAGCACGCTTGCGAGCATCTACGACAGCCTGGAGTTCATCGGACCATCAGGACTTGGGTGACCTACGTGCAATGCCATCCTTAGTCTGGGGAATAGAGCCCATAGCAGCATCAGTAATAACCTGAGTCAACTTCACAGAAAAACTAGAGACGTACTCGCCCCTTGCCAGATCTAGCTTGGAACGAGTGAAGTGACGCCTAAAGAAATCCCAGTTTGCCTTCCCTAGTCTCCATTTGCCTTCACACATGACTTCCTCCTTCACAACATTACATGACAGCGTGATTTCAATGACAACATGGTCGCTTCCAAGGGTCTCTTTGGTTGCTTCCCACGCATAGTCCTTAGCTAACCGACTGCTTACTAATGTGAGATCGAGATGCGAACCAAGAGGAGCAATTGCAAGTAATTCTACGATCATTTAAGCTCATTTTTGGCCTCAATGAACTCAGCAACTTGTCTACCATTAGTAATCAATGACTTTATGAATGAGTATGGGGTTTGGGGTTCCGTAAAAACCTCTACGTTCATCTCCGTTACGGAGCCAGTTGGCAGTGGTCTAGCTAGCGAAGTGCTTCTAGAACGCTCATTAACGGGTCTGGAGCCTATACTCTTACAGATGCTCCTTGACTGACGAGGTTGGCCTCTCGTGGATACCGCCTTTACTTTCCACTGATTGACNCACTACGGAACATCCGTACTGGATACCTTCCTTGGTTTGGTATCCTTGGTTGGTTTGTGACATAGTCGGCACACACTGTAGAAACTGCATCCATTTTATCTTTAGGGTTGATTTCACTCGCCTTGGTTCTGGAACTGACTGCTACTGCAACCAACCTACAACAAAAATCAAAATAAAATATTCTCATCCTTGAATTCCGGCGTGAATCCTTTCGGAGTTGGAGTCCGGGCAGGTCTGGGGCATTCGACCACGGGCTTGGGGCAGCGGGCACCGTGTTGGTCGAGACGTGGTGACGTGCTTCTTGCGAAGATGCCGTATATAAGTAATTAAGTATGCTGTGTCCTTATTTCAGCACGTCGGGACAAGAAAGAAGGACACTGTGCAGAATTGCTAGAGTGGTTATCACTCCGACAATTCACACAGCGAACCTTCTTTGACTTACACAGCTTGGTGCTGTGCTCCTCTCCACATTTCTTACAGCAAGCTTTGTTGTGACCCAACTTCTGGCATCTTCGTACCATGGGGATGTATGGGTGGAGCTGGCACCTGGAATATAAAGGGGGAAAAGGACTGTCCCTCATGCACTTGCCCTCCCGAGGTTTGTAGAGGTAGAGTCCTTCTACTGCGTGGTTGTGGAGTTTAAGGTCCTCCAGCAACTCACCCTCGGAATATTCGGAGGGGACGCCATAATCCAGACTAGAGAGAGAGCTAATTGGTTGTTGACAGTACGAATATCGAACTAATTGTGATTGTGACACCAGGTAAGTTCACTGATGAATATATACTCATATTAAACATTCTTGAGAATGTAGCAATATTATAATTGTTGGTTAATTGAGTCCATATTGAGTGAGAGATGACACCCCTAGTAATTAAGACAGTTTAAGAGATTATCCCAGTATTAGTTCCTTGATTTTCATGTCATGTACATGGAAGGTAAAACCATATGTGGTCTAATCAATTTAGTATCTACGGACGTCAGGGATGTGGTAAAAGCTTTTCCCCCTTTTATTTTTTTCGTCCCTCTTTTCTCACTTCCTTTTTTTTTTTTTTTTTTCAGGTCTTCTAGTTTTCCAACAGATAACAGATAATCTAACCAAACCAAACCAAACCAACGACTACCATTCGACCACCAATCAACAAGAAATACCATGATCAGAACGAGTTTGGAAGAATGAAGGAGATCGAGTAACTCACGCCACACCATCCAGGGCCGAGTTTCACCGCCATGTCATTCGACCCGACCAGATCTAACGAAGAATCAACAACCAAACCAACAACACAGAATCATCCAATCTGAACCAATCCAACTACACTACGACTACCATCAGCTACCTAGTTTGCGATATCAGCATCCGTTGGAAGCGAACGTTAACTTGTCATCTACCTACCTACCTGTGGTAAGACAGGGGCTGGTCTAATATCTTTTATATAGAGATTTGCCTTAATTGGTGCCACCTGGGTGGGCGCATAAATATACCCTATATACAAGAAAAACTATGCATGGTATTCATTCTTTGTAATTCAATGTAAATATAAAAAATATAAATCAATAAAATGTACTTCATACCCAAAATTGTCAGTGACAGGTATATTGTAGATTGTTTTTTTAGTTTTAACCATGATGAAAAAAAGTTTTTTTGGTGGTACCGACTTATCCTGTGCTATATAAAGAACAATTGCAGGAATCAAAGACGTATTATTGAAAAATTAAATGGTGCAAAATGATGCTATCAGTGTCCCCGATACACATACAAAATTTAGAAAATTTCTTTTCAATCCCTTTAAACAGGATTTGTGACTCAATCCTGCCTCCCAACGTTCAATAATTCATGTATCTATATGTCTAATTGATGCTTTTCTTTGAAATTTTTGTCTGATATTGTTTATTATTTACTGTTTAAATACAATGTAAATATGAAAAATATAAATCAATGAAATGTACATCATACCCAAATTGTCAGTGACAGGTATATTGTAGATTGTGATGAGATGAGATATCATCGATCGTTGGGAAATTACAACATCTTTTTTGCACGCAGCATTGGCAATTTTTTTTACATTTTTAATTAAATCTTATTAATTAATTGGTTATAATTATGTAAAAGATGTAGCCTACGTGTATGTTTACTTGTTGCCTTGGCCAGTGCTTTCTTAGAAAACACTTAGTTATATAGTGGAATTGCAGGAACCACAGACGTTTGATAGCATCAATTTGAATCATTCCAATTTTCAAGCACTGTCCCCGATATGCACATTTTTTAATTAAATGTCTTTACAATATTATTTATATCCCTCTGCTCCCCTTTGGATCCGCCACTGAAATATGCTGATTATGCCAATTCTCGCTTAAATCCAGCTCGTCTAAAGGGATTTAAGATTATATGCCCAATTTTGTGTCCAACTTGCAAAGACCACGGCTGGTGCGAAATGGTAATTTTATCCTTGGTAATTTGTATCCAGTATTGTAATAACGATTTAAAACGATAGTGCAATACAAATATACAGTGTTACGGGCACAGTCTTCGTTGCCGATTTTTGTCGACGACTAGAGTCTTGTCATGAGTTTCGCCGACTGGCTGCGGGCTCACGGGGAGACAAAAGAATGATTCGATTCGGCAGCAAAAATCTTATGCCCGCACATTATAACAATAATTTACTTCGAATGATTTATAACATTATAAACCATATATAGCCGAAATGGAGCAATTTCAGTAATTAATTAGACATCATAAAGAGTATTATGATTATATCCCTTTACATCTTAGATTATCGATTATAACTTGAATCAGTCTAATTATGGAAAATAAATATACAATATACGGAAGCTCGAAAACGACATTTTTTTTAATTTGAAATTTTCTTTTTGACTTTAAAAAAATACTTTTGAATTTGTAAAAATACTTTTGACTTTGTAAAAATACTTTTGACTTTGTAAAAATACTTTTAAATTTGTAAAAATACTTTTGACTTTGTAAAAATACTTTTGACTTTGTAAAAATACTTTTGACTTTGTAAAAATAATTTTGACTTTGTAGAAATACTTTTAAATTTGTAAAAATACTTTTGACTTTGTAAAAATACTTTTGACTTTGTAAAAATACTTTTAAATTTGTAAAAATACTTTTGACTTTGTAAAAATACTTTTGACTTTGTAAAAATACTTTTGACTTTGTAAAAATACTTTTGACTTTGTAGAAATACTTTTAAATTTGTAAAAATACTTTTGACTTTGTAAAAATACTTTTGACTTTGTAAAAATACTTTTAAATTTGTAAAAATACTTTTGACTTTGTAAAAATACTTTTGGCTTTGTAAAAATACTTTTGACTGTGTAAAAATACTTTTGACTTTGTAAAAATACTTTTAAATTTGTAAAAATACTTTTGACTTTGTAAAAATACTTTTGACGAAATACTTTTGGTTTAAAAATACTTTTGACTGTGTAAAAATACTTTTGACTTTGACAAATTAATTAGTAAATTCTTATGCATGATAATCGGATGGCTGGAATCGAGGCCTGTGCCAAGCTAATTTGACATATTTGCTCGTACGTTCCCTACCACTGGCATTAAAGGACAAATTAAACTTGTTTAAGAATGTGTGCATATATGCGTCAGCTAGACACTCTCAACCGAAGTTAGGCTATATGACCAAATTCAATTTCATTGAGAACCATATTCAAAATTATTTGTTCAAACTCAAAAGTATGTTTACAAACTCTATAGTATTTTTTTTTTTTCAAATTCAAAAGTATTTCCTCAAATTAAAAATGAAAAAATGAAAAAAGAATTTCGTATTTGAGCTTCCGTAATAATATGAAGTTTTCCTGGTAGAATATTAATAAGAATAACAAATAATTATTACTGTTTTAATACTGCTCAATATATCAATCGCAGAACCATAAAACCTAGAAATAGCCTATAGAAATAGAATGATAACCAAATTATGTAAGGTAGGCATAGGCCTACACATTGAAACAAGACCATTATATTTCCTTTTTAATCATGGAATGATAATTAATATCAACACAGTCTCATATTCTGATTAAAAAAACTAATTATCGTTGAAAATAAACGTGTCTGTATTGGTATGGTGGGGTATTTGTACCATGTGTAGCTTAGTTTGTTCGAAATTACAAGACCCACAGTCGCCATACGAGATGTCTGACTGTAGATTTATTGGAATGGTGCAAATTTATGCCATCAGTGTCTTCTATACGCATAAAAAAAAGAAAAAATCTGAACAATCCCTTTAATATCTTTATTAGCCTACTGAGATCTAACAATTCCCATTTGAAATTTTTTTATATCATTACAGGTTGCACATGAGGCATAATAGTACGATGAATTTAACACAGTAAATATAACAAATATAAATATAACAAATATAAACAAACATATAGCTTGCATGTAGACATAATATACATATGAAGTTGGAAGTTTGACATTGCAAATACGGTTACTTAAATACAGATATGTATATTTTTCTTGACTATTCATTAAATCAAACAGACTAATAATGTTCCTGTTGTTATAGATATAGGCCCTAATCAGATATAAATTCATGTCTTTCTTTCGTTTCATTTATTTTTCGGTTTTTTTTTCAGTTTTTTTTAACGAATTTTGATAAATCCTATGTCGTCACGTCAACCGAATAGGACAAAAACCATTCTAGATTAATTAGATGATTATCTCATTATTTTATTATCTGCATGGTGATCCAAAACAAATCCGCTTGATTCCTTTCTACATAGAATATTTGTGGTCAGAAACAGTTCTGGATTAGTCTCCCTTTGTTTATATGTGTGATCTCGCGAGATTAGGTTGTCAACGAGACAAGTACAAGAGGACCGAAGTTGTAAACATTTTCATAATATTTTGAGAGATCCTCAATTTACACAGATATAATGGACGATTTTCAGTCAGCCGAAGAGGTAAGTAGTAATTTGGTTTGCATGTATGTATGATTTTTACAATATATGTGTGCGTATTTTTGAAGTCAGGCGTAAAGTCCCTGGGTCTGTATCATTTCATTTCGTCAACTCAACTCAGACAACTGATCTATGCAGTACACTGTACACTATGTCAATGTGTGGTGGTTTCAGTTCTAGATTCTAGATGTCATTGATTATATATAATGTCGTAGTAGGTTTTATCCTGAATTAAAATATTGATGATGAAATTTGATTAACAAACACAGGGCCGAAACAGTTACTATTACTTCTCTAGGGAAATGTGTGGTCCAAGATATCTTTATTCCAAAATGAAAGATTTTTTCATGACCATGATTGCCATGTTCTATTCAAATTCAATATAATTATGTTGTGTGCCAAGCCAGATAACAAAATCATAAGTAAATAAATAATTTGATATCTGTCTCAGTGTCTGTGACCAATTCATATTATTCATATTATTTTATTGATACCGGTACCATTTAAGTACGGTAGCGTAGCTATGTTGACTTTCATAGCAAATCAAGTAAGGCTTTGTATAACCTGCAATTTTTGTTGCAAACTTTTTCTAAATAAAAAAAAATGTAGGCTAGGTTTTCACTTTCGGGGGCTTGTACCTTTTAAGGTACTTGCTCATTGGATAATTTGAAATCGTAGCTATTTGTGATATCTGTATCACTGTCTGTGACCAAGTCTGGTACGGTACCAAGACTTAGCCTTAATTAGCTGAAAAAGCTTTTATATAGATATAAAGAAGCTGACTCAATCTGCCAGTTTCAAATCGGGCATAAATGGTTAATTTACTATACAGATTCTGTTTGTTGTATAAGATAATGATAGCTAATAATTATATAATTTCAGACAGCATTTGTTATTGATGAAGTGACAACCATCATTAAAGAGGTAAGTTGAATTGAGACAGTTCTGAGGGTTTTCTTCAGTAGGCCCTTTTTTTTTTTATTATGATAGATATCTTGACAGCTGGAAATAGAAAATGAATCAAAATGAATTAACAAAGTGTTGTTATTAAAATATAGCCATTGATATGAAATGCAAATCTTGATTCGATAAACAATTCTTCATTTCAAAAAAAAAGAGAAAAAAAGACCTATCACTGTCCTGGCAAAATTTCCCTCATTGCACCCTGCATGGCGTTGCTGCCTCCATTAGTCCACATGGTACAGAAAAGTAGGATGTAAAACTATTCATTTCATTTTCATTTCATTTCATTTGAGTTGAAAAACAATTGTTATTAAGATAATATTGATAAAAAGTTAAGCAGTTGTTATTGCTAGGCTCACAGATTTATATTCTATTTTTGTATCAATTTCTGTCACCTATATTCTCTCTGGTGGTGTTAACTAGGCCAGGAATCTCAAGTAAAAAGTCAAATAATTCAAATATCAAAGTTCAGTTCACGTTTTCAATTTGTACCCATTTCTATCCCAAATGAACCAATGGTCAGATTTGCAAAAGCACCCAGTGCTAAATTCAGCTGTTGATAAAGTGATTTATTTTGACTAACTTATTCTTTGCTTAATTTTTAGGCTGTTGAAGGAGCTATTGGAGGAAACACATATCAACATAATAAGGTTAACCAATGGACTTCAAATGTTGTAGAACAATGTTTAAATCAACTAACAAAATTAGGCAAACCCTTCAAATATATTGGTAAGTTGTGTAAGCTTACATAGTCATCTTTTAGATTCTTTGAGAGTTATGTGGTAGTTCAAAGACTTTCAGCATCTGGCTTGAGATCCATTCTTCATATGAAAGTTTTTTTGATACACACCAGGGTATAATTTAGATTAAAAAATCTGATGAACAATGTACCACACAGAATTTCTCTTTTGGGGGGCTGACCTGTAAAAAGCATCTAGTCTTTCAAATGGGACAATAAACAGAGACCTCGTGTGTTCCAGGATATGCATATAAAAGGTTCATGGACAGTTGGAAATCAAAAGAGAGCAGGCTAATGCCGCTGTCGTGACACAATTTCACTTTTTGGGTTAAATTATTCCTTTGGAATATGACCATCTCAATTATGGTAGTAAAGTTTTCTGTTACTAATCCACAATGTCCTCCTTATTTCAGTAACATGTGTAATAATGCAGAAAAATGGTGCTGGTCTTCATACTGCTAGTTCATGTTATTGGGACAACACAACTGATGGTAGGTCATCTTTTTATCTTCTAAGCTGTGTTAATTCAGTGAACTAGACACTTGATCGCTAACCTGAAGGTCCAGGGTTCAAGTTACCTTCACATTTTTCAACCCAGCTACTCCTTGTCAGTGATGCAGGTTGGAGCCGCTAGCATGGAAAAGGAGTCTAGTTGTTCAGATGGCAGAATAAACCAAGGCCTTATGTGCTACATTAAAGATGCTTTGACGGTTGGAAATATTAAAAGGGTTGTCTTATGTTGGCAAAATTTCACACAATGCTCACTTCTTGGTGTTGAATGTCATCATCATCCCAATTAGGTGTAGAAAAGATAAATGGAATGAAAACATTTTCAAAAAATGAATATGCTGTTTAACATTGTGAGCTACAAGCCATAGTCTATTGTCAAATTCTCTCAATGGCTGTGCTAGTCAAGATTTCAATTCTACTTTCATAGATTCATATCCTACAGCCATTTGTTTTATTTTACAGGTAGCTGTACAATTAGATGGGAAAATAAAACCATGTACTGCATTGTCAGTGTATTTGGATTGGCTATCTAAAACATTTCCAGGATGAAAGACAAGAAAAGAGGAGTGGTTTGAGGGATATTATGACATGTTTGGAATCTCCAGGACCTGTATCTATTAAGACTTTCTGTCTGGAGACGTGGCTTCTTTTCATTTTATGTCAATGTGTATAAATTATTATTTATTTTGTTATTATCTCACTTGTTTTGATTTGCATTTTGAGTTTTAGAACAAATATTGGTACAGGGATATTATTATTGACCTAATATCACATCATCTATGAAATCTTAATTTTAATCCTTTACTCTTGTCAATTTGAAAAATTGAATTCTGTCAGTTGTTTCAAGGAATAAATAAGGGAATATTTCAAAGTTATCTTAGAAATTCTTCTTTGTCAACATTGACGTTTCTTGTAAGCCACATTCAACTTAACTCATTTGTATAACAAAATTTAGTTATCAAGTTTCAATAGAATATTATTGTAAATTGAAAAGCATTATTAAATGTTGAATTCCACATCTAAATAAAATTTTTATGTATTCATATCATTTTATTCATACCAAGTAGCTATATTGACTTCCATAGTGAATCAAGTAAGGCTTTGTATAACCTGCAATTTTTGTTGCATGGGCTAGGTTATCACCGTGGGGTGTTTGTACCTCTTAAGGTACTTGCTCATTGGACAATTTGAAATCGTAGCTAATTATATCTGTATCAGTGTACATTTATTCATATCTGTCTACTGTGGAAACATTGCTTAAATTTTTTTTTTAAATTGTCCCTTTAACTATGCATTTGGTCTAAAAAGCGGGGAAAATATCTGAACTGTCATGGAGCCACAGTAAGTTAAACGCTAGCCTGAAGGTCCAGGGTTCAATCCTGGCATAGGTCGAGATAACTTTTTTAAGCCAGTTTCCCCAGAGGGGCTGATATGGAGAAAAGAAGCTAGTCATTTGGTTGGGACAATAAACCTAGGCCCAATGTGCCACAGGCTGTGCATGTAGATCCTCGACAGTTGGAAATCAAAAGATGATTAGGCTTATGCCACTGTCCTGACAAAATTTCTAATTACACAATAGGTTCCCCGTCTTCCTTAGCTTATAAGGTGCAGAAAATATAAAACAAACAAATACATCAAATTTTATTCAATCTCAACTTCAAGACTTGTAAATAACACCATCACTGCTGAAAGACTGAGACCCTGAATCCATAGTGTGGGGTTTAGAAACTAATGGAGCTTCTGATACTAGGTGATCCAAAGAGTCTGCTTCTTGCTCTTTTTTCAAACTTGCTAAGTAAAAAGTTCCCGGTTTATAAGGAACTGCCTTGCTGGAAATGGCTTCCACATTACTAGATTCCTCCAAATCGTCTAATCCATCATCCTTCTTCACTAGACGTGTGTCTACAATATCTAATTTAGATACAGTACTTCCCACAGTGTCCTTCTTTAATCCGAAATTCAGACCAGATAAACCTTGACCTTGGTGTGAGAAGTATTGAGAATAATTTGTGTTGGTTCTTGGAGGTTGAAGTTCATAGTTCTGATTAGGTTGAGGCATATAGTTTTGATTTGGCTGAGGCATATAGTTTTGAGAATACTGAGGCACATAGTTCTGATTTGGCTGAGGTGCATAGTTTTGAGGGTAATAGGAAGGAGGTGGATATATGGGTGGTTGATGGTTAGAAGGATTTTGACCAGGAAGAAAAATATTTGGATTGTACCCAGGAGGTGGCACACTAAAATTGGGTATATGTGGAGTTAGGTCACTTTGTCCTAATCCTGCAGGGTCAGTTCCCCATTGTTGCTGATAATTGCTTGACTCATCCCCAGAATATGGAACACAGTCTGAAATACAGAAAAGACACACATTACAGAGTGAATAACTATTCATCGAAATATATCTGATACCATCTGATAGAATTCAATCTCTGCAATCCAAACTACTTTTCAGGATTTCAAATTTGCATCTGCTGCCTTTACAATTCAACAAAAGTCTGTTGAACTTCAGATGCTTCAGTTAATTCCCTTGTCCAAGTACTGGAGAGTCTGACTTCCACAATAGATTTTTGATGAATTGTAGTTTAACCTGGCATCAGATGTTCATTCTAAAAAGTGACACGGATAGCTCTGAAATGCAACCAGCCAAAAGATATAACCTTAAGCTTAATAGAACATGCATCCCTATTGCAAGGCCATCTGATACTTACTGGGATGATATATTAGATTTGTAATATTGAGATTACCCTCTGTGTTTTGTGGTGGTTGACTAGCTAAGGATCTCTGTTCTGATAACATGTTATCTATACTCTGATGAGCTGTTGTCTTCTCTCCTACTGAAAATAATGATGCAGATCCAATGCTGTTATGTATTATTTTAACATACCAACCAATGTAGCAGGATGGACTTTATTATCCAGTAATGTATGACAGTGGTCTCCTAAATATTTGGTGGAGTTGTTGGTCCAAAATTTCATCATAAAAAAGATCTATATTTCAATAGGAAAAGATAACATGTCCATGTCAGTTAGATTCTAAGAATCCTGTCTTCCAACCGTCCTTGGCCAAGCCTTGTGGCATTACTCCTGGATTGCCATTGCAGATGATTCAAATGCATTAAAGACATTGGAAAAACTGGATGTTCTAAGATTCTGACTACTTAGTTTGATGAATAGATTTTTAATGTCAAATAAAAAACAAAAGAGACTGATGGGAACTTGCGACATCTGTTTTTCATTGGTGTACTCACATCATTTAAATCAGGCAATTTAAGCCTCAAAGCCCCAAGTTGTTAGTCATTCTGCAAGTTGTAAGGTTGACAGGTGTACAGCTCAAAGAATAATATTAAGAAATTGTGCTTTACCTGTTTCAATAGGTGTCTGTACTTCAACTAATTTCTCAGCACTGTTCCTTTGGTTCTTCTTTATCTTTGACTTCTTGCCCATTTGTTTAGGAGCATCCTTATAAATGGATGGTGGTGCAAATTCTGGATCTCTTTCTTCTCTTCTGTCTTCAAAATATTTCTCCTCAGACCACGCAAACAATCCTGAAATTGTCAAAGAATGACAAATGAAATCATTACATCAAAGTCCTCAGACTGTGGGCTTGGCATGGCACCATTCTCTTTGGCTTGGACAATCAATGTTTGGTATTTGACCTTCAGCTGAGGCAGTCTATCTGTTTTTTCTACACTTTCTTGTCAATAGCTGTCGCATAGACATTCTGCTAAATTACCATCGCCACGTCAAAAATTCTTGAATTAGGCACAAAAAATTATTAGGCATGTATGTAGGTTTTGACACTAATTTATGATTTGCTTAATTTGAATTTTTCAACATTTTTACACTCAGAAAGTAAACATGTTGCACACATTTTGGACCAAATATTACTCATTGCCTTGGTTTTACAATTTCTCTACCACATGTTCCCAAAATATTTTATGCAATAACATAACTTCCCCCAATAAGTTAGATCTCTTACTTTCTTTGCCTTTGTCCCATTCTCTTAAAGGCTTGTCTTTCTTAGTTTCATTATCTACTATAGATCTCTGTTGTGTCAACATTTCGTCTATTTTGGGTCCAATTTCATCTTCTTTTTTAACTTCACTTTCTTTATTTTCCACTGTAAAAAAGAAAGATGCCTTTACTTTCCACTGTAAAATAGAAAATATCTTTAATTTCCACTGTAAAATAGAAAAATATCTTTAATTTCCACTGTAAAATAGAAAAATATCTTAACTTGCCACTGTAAAATAGAAAAAATCTTTACTTTCCACTGTAAAATAGAAAACATCATTACTTTCCACTGTAAAATAAAAATATCTTTAATTTCCACTGTAAAATAGAAAAATATCTTTAATTTCCACTGTAACATAGAAAAAATCTTTAATTTCCACTGTAAAATAGAAAAATATCTTAACTTGCCACTGTAAAATAGAAAATATCTTTAATTTCCACTGTAAAATAGAAAAATATCTTTACTTTCCACTGTAAAATAGAAAAATATCTTTATTTTCCACTGTAAGATAGAAAAAATCTTTACTTTCCACTGTAAAATAGAAAAAATCTTTAATTTCCACTGTAAAATAGAAAAATATCTTAACTTGCCACTGTAAAATAGAAAATATCTTTAATTTCCACTGTAAAATAGAAAAATATCTTTAATTTCCACTGTAAAATAGAAAAATATCTTTATTTTCCACTGTAAGATAGAAAAAATCTTTAATTTCCACTGTAAAATAGAAAAATATCTTAACCTGCCACTGTAAAATAGAAAATATCTTTAATTTCCACTGTAAAATAGAAAAATATCTTTACTTTCCATTGTAAAATAGAAAAATATCTTTATTTTCCACTGTAAGATAGAAAAAATCTTTACTTTCCACTGTAAAATAGAAAAAATCTTTACTTTCCACTGTAAAATAGAAAACATCTTTACTTTCCACTATAAAATAGAAAAAATCTTTACTTTCCACTGTAAAATAGAAAACATCTTTACTTTCCACTGTAAAATAGAAAACATCTTTACTTTCCACTATAAAATAGAAAACATCTTTACTTTCCACTATAAAATAGAAAACATCTTTACTTTCCACTGTAAAATAGAAAATATCTTTAATTTCCACTGTAAAATAGAAAAATATCTTTACTTTCCATTGTAAAATAGAAAAATATCTTTATTTTCCACTGTAAGATAGAAAAAATCTTTACTTTCCACTGTAAAATAGAAAAAATCTTTACTTTCCACTGTAAAATAGAAAACATCTTTACTTTCCACTATAAAATAGAAAAAATCTTTAATTTCCACTGTAAAATAGAAAACATCTTTACTTTCCACTGTAAAATAGAAAAAATCTTTACTTTCCACTGTAAAATAGAAAACATCTTTACTTTCCACTGTAAAATAGAAAACATCTTTACTTTCCACTATAAAATAGAAAAAGAATTTGCAAATATGACTCTTACAAAAAGATTTTGCAAAGGTATGACTTGCAAGTATTTTCTTTGGAATTAACATGTTTTTGACATTGTTATAGCTAGTGTGACTTTAATTGGCCATAAATAAATGTGTAAAGTTTTCTCACCTTCATTTTCCACATAACCTTCTTTCATTTTTCTACGTTGTTTAACTTTCTGTAATCTAGCTTCTAGTTGTGCTTTTCTCTTTTCTTTTAACTTCTCTATTTTAGAACGTGATGAAACAGTCTAGGATATATAAAATATCAGCCATTAGCTTGTCTTATAATAGATGTCAAATATCTCGTTATGTACACTAACAGAAAAACAAATTCAGATTCAGGCTTGAATGGATACAAATTCTGTGATAGTGAAACCTGGAGGCTGTTGTATTGCTCTAATTTGGGTTTTACTTTCCCACAATGTGTCCTTGATGAACAATAAAAAGTATAACCCCATTTCCATAAGGCATGTAAAAATGTGAAAAATAAGTACCTCATCACGAATCTTAGTAAGAGTTTCCATCTGTTCCTTTCTCTCTTTATCATTTTTAGAAAACTGATAAAATCCAACACCATGTGTTCTGATTTCTACAAATTATCAATTAACCCATTAAAGTAATTTTGAAGAAGTGTTTATTCTCTGCTATTATTTGATCTTGGCGTGGCTTATTGAGTGGGCTGTTTACAAGCAAACAAGCGATTTGTGGTTTGATCAATTTAGTATTCATTAATATCAAAGCGAGAAGTCATTTGGGCAAGACAGAAAATATGGCCTGTCTTGGTACACAATAACCTAGCCACAGTGCAACGTTTTTAGGAATTGTCAAAAATACATGAACCACAGTCAGCACACTGTAAAATCAGATAATCCACAAATTGACGTCTGCACAAAATATAAAACAATGCCATAACAATGTAATAGGATATAAAGACAATAAAAAACAATGCCACAAAAAAGTTCAAGGAATTAGAAAAGAACAAAACTAATTCTTGGTTTTGAAAAAAAAACAGAAATTTGGTAAAAATGATAATTCATGAATTTACATCCATTTGAAAATGCATCGGGTGACAAATTCCTGAAATTTGGTGCACACTAAAACAAATGATTTCACACTGAGCTATAAACTTAATGTATAAAAATGAATTACCATTATGTTGAACATTAGCATAATGTATAGGTCCTTCGTTTATTTTTTCTAGCTCTTCTTTCTCCCATTTTTGCCGTTCTATTTCTCGTCTCATATCATTTGACAGCAGAGTTGGTAGATTTTCAGATGAACTTTTAATTTTTTCATTTTGAGCTCTATAATATAAAAATAGCTTGACTTATCGACTACTATCAATCAAATTCATTGATCCATATAACAAAATTACATGTATATTAAAAGGATGTATATTAAAAATGCTCCTGTCAAAACTTCCACTTCATATCCATAGTTCAATTGCATGAGAACCATACAACAGAAATCAATTATGGAAAATGATACAGATAATTGGAAATAAACTCTATTACTTGATATATTCCAGAAGACTTTATCTCAAATACAGATTTTGATAAAACTTTTGCTCAACAAAGAATAGTATAATATCATTATGACAGTCATTGCTAACCCTGGTTGTTTGGAAAATTTCTTGTCTTGTTCAATTAGGACTGGTAAATCTTTCCTTAAACATCTTCTTGAACGTCCCAGTGTATCAATATAATCAACCCTATAAAGATAAGAAACTAGGGAATGTATACTTTGACAAAAACACATGCACTGGCTATATAAGGAAGGCTTGTAGCACAGTCAGGTGGAACATTGGAATGGAATTATTTGCTCAGTTACAAATGGTGGTTGTGGGTTCTAATCTCCGTGTCTGAATGTCTAATGACCTTGACCAAGTTAAGTCATGAAGAAGCTGGCTTGACAAAAAAGTTTCGAAAGTGGAATCAAATTCATTGGTAAAAATTGGGTTATTCTAAAAACTTATATTACCATTCTTCATCTGGGGTTGAAGGTGATGGCACATCATCATCTAGTGGACTTCTCTCTTTCTCTCTGTTCTTTTCTATCTTCTCATCAATAGAATCTATGACTTTTCTTTGAAAATCAACTAAATATGTCCCACTTCCATCTTCCTCTGTAAAACGAAAAAATATGAACTCAAATTCAGTCTACTAAAAGGGATTGTAAATAGGTTTTCTATGTGTTTTGGGGACACTGATACCCTGATACTGATTGCAATTCCTCAAAAAATAAGTGTTTAATGAAGTCACAAATCGTGAAATATGCTTTATAATATAAGACCTTTCATGATTAGTGACATCATCATTTAACACTTAGTTTTAGTTCGTGTAAATTGATGCTATCATTGTCCCTGTAGAAAACCTCTTTACAATCCCTTTAAAAACTGACCAACCTTTCTGTTCATTTCTGTCGTATATTTTAGTGAATCACTCCAGGTAGGTCCAAGGACTTCTCTTCCTAACTTTCATTCTAAATTAGGCTAGTGTCAGAAACATAGAGATAATTGTGGGGCGCTTTACAACTCTATAAATGTTCATGGTATTGGAAGTCGGAAATGAAAATTTATCAAATAAAATAAGCAAACTCAAACCTGGTATTTCTGAACTATTAGTAATCTTGTCATACAGTCTAGCTTTGGCTTCTAATGCTTTTCTGGAAATATAAATGAACTTTGAACTAAAAAGAATGATTGAATAAATGATGTGGGCTGTGGTCTAATTTTTTTTTTTTTAAAATTGCAACACTGAAAGTGCAATTTGATTGGTTTCCTTCAAATCATAAAACAAAAGTTACATAACAATTTCATCAGATCATGGATGATCAGTGGAGTCACTCTCAGAAAAAAACATAAATATCCAGATTTTCATTTTCATCAACTAACCTGGATTTTTCATTCACATCTTCTTCTTCTGCCTTTATTTCAAAATCTCTTTGAGCTCTTTCTAAAACACCTTTATTCTTCTTACTCCAGATATTGGTTTTCTTCTATAAAGAAAATGTAGTTTGTAAGATGTAATCCCAAGTAGAAAAAAAGTGGATGTAAGCTTACTTTAATATATTTGTATTAAGTTTGAAAAGTGTAAAAGAATTTTTTTTTCAAAAATACATTCAGCCAAATTAAATTCAATTTTCAGAGAATTTTTGAAATTTTTGAAAGGGGACGTAGACATAGATAATAAATGACAGAATTGGATCATAATTTCAAAGCAAAAACCTGGTTATAAATAAGAGTTATTGACTACCTTACTTCCACTGTCTTCTACCTTTCCTTTGATATACCCTTCACTTGTTGATAGTATTTCAGCTTTCTTCTTTTTATACTCCTCTTGCTTACGAAATAGCTCAGCTTTCAAATCTATCATCTACCAATATATAGAAAATACACAAGTGAATTGAATTGACATTGAAAAAAAAGTTCGCCCAAATTTTCAAAAATGTCTTACTTTCGGTGCCACATACTGCAATGTGGGTTATGTCTCTATTCATATGACACTGACAACAATGTATGGCATGTGGACGTTGTCATTGCGACATTGCATTGGTAATGGTAATACTAATCCTAATAGAACATGATAAATTAACCATAAAGTAAAGCATGGTATATGTCTAATAGGCTGCATTTATGTATCCCGAATTTCAAGCTGGGCATTTCGAAATCAACTGGTTATTTACTTACAGAAGCAGAACTTAAAGTTCCAGTATTTTTCGCCATTGTTTATATTTTTAACATACTCTTCAATGGTTGTCGCAATCTGGAAATTGTCGTAAAATATTTTTCACGATTGTCCAGTCTTTTTAGAAAATATTGATTTACCTTGTTATGACAAACAAGACTACTAATGCCACAAATAGGTTGTAAAGAGAAAATTTTCAGAAAAGAGACAGAATTAGACGCCGGCGAGTCAACGTCTCATAATTTGTAAGAATGAGTCATATCTTTGAAAATTTGGTGCTTTGTTTGTATTCGGCTTGTAACGTTTATCATGAATTCTTCCTTGTCAGACTGTCTACAACCCCAGACATAGAATCAATTTAGCTTTAGCCCTCCTCGATCACACTCCAAGTCCAAGTCTAACCGGCAAAAGGCAAAGTTAAAGAATTACAATGAGCTCAGAAACAGAAAAGATTCTCTGACTCTGGCATCACAATATAAGATTATCAAATTATGTCATTTGTGTCACAATATAGTCCTAATGTCTTCATTCAAGTCCATATAAATAGATTAATTTTGGAGAATTGCAATTGAATAAACACATTTAGGATTTTCATTTTCCCGTCTTTAAATTCTTATTGAGAAAACCCAACAAATACGGCCACATAACTTTAACTTAGGATGGGATATCAGCTGAATAAAGGCTGAATGTCATAATTGTATGTGAGTAGGTTCAACCCACTTTTGTTTGTCTAGTATTTGACAATTTGAGAATCATCACGGTACCGGTATATAAAGCCAAATTTCGCATGGATTTTGGTTTCTTTACAAAGCTAAACTATTGATCGGTCAATGATCAAGACATAGCTGGATATTCTACTATGTCCCTATACCTCGGACAGTAACAAAATGTTTTTTTTTTTTTTAAAGATAAGTCCTATTAATGAGATAAAGAATGTAGAAAATAAGATGATAGCTGTAGGAAAACTTTTATGGAATGACATCAACACCAGAAAATACAAGCAATAACTTTTCATCCTTCATTAATTCAACACCATTAGGAGGTACCACTACATTGACAGCAGTTCCTGCTTCAGCACCACCTTCCTCCACTCCACCATCTATCAACTATGCTGAAACTATCAGAAAATTAGAACAGCAAATAACTGTAAGTATGACATGAGCTGGTCAAAGCCGAAAAAAAAATAGAAATATTATCCAGACATTTTATAAAATCCTAAACTGAATCTATTTTATAGCTTTTAGTCATTTGATAATTTTAAAAGTCCAAAAAATAGCCAGGCTATTCAAACATGGGCAGAAAAAAATTAAACAAAATTTACTGGGCTTGAATTGTATGCAAAGTATATGATTATATTGAATTTCTTCTTTTTAGACTTTATGTAGAGGACCCCATACTCCTCAAACAAAAGAAGAATTAACTAAGCTTCAGATTTTACTCCAGAAATCTAAACAAAGAACAGTTAAAGGTATGTTATTAAGAAAAAAAAAATATTTTCGCATTTATTTAAAAATTTTACTTAAAAAAATAAAAGATTTATCAACTTTCTGTTAAAAAAATTTTATTCAATGTTATGTATTGGCTTTTATATTTTCTGGGCACTTGGCATTACTTTTATAACTTTTATAAAAACTTTTGTTGTTGTTGGGTAAGAGCCAAAGAGCAATCAAGTTATATTATGGATGGAGTGTAGTACTCCGCAGAAAAAAAGGAAACAGATCATCCTGTTAAAACATATTTAATAAGTTTTTTTATTTGGAGTTGAAAGTTTTTTTTTTATTTCTTCAGCTTACAGGATCCATAGTAACCAAAATGGAGAATTCACCTGGTTTAAGTGGAGTAGCAGGTTTACCACAATCATCACCAATAACACACACTTCCTCACCTACTACTACACCTATAGCTATGACTGGTTCTCCTATAGTCCGTCCTGCCAGTACCGGTAGTGTTGCTTCACCCTATGTGCCTGTCACTACCCCAGTAGTTAATAATACTGTGGGTGGGGGATCTGTTGGTGCTGCTACTGTTAGTGATAGTAAAGTATTAGATAAGAGAAGGCTACAAGAATTAGTGAAAGAAGTTGATCCTTTAGAACAACTAGATGATGATGTGGAAGAGGTACATATTTTTTTGATATACCTACATTAAAACAACATTGTGGATGTATTTGCTTATTACCACTATAAAGACTTAAGTTTTGATCAGATTTTGATTGAACTCAATATGTTAATGAAGATTGATTGTCCTTGACAAGCTAAAATAGTCAAATTTGACTTGTGAAAACAATGGAGACTGCAGCTTTGATGAAACTTGGTACGCTTATGTATATTGATCAGATCTTGGAAGAGTTGAATTTGTATGTGATTGAGTCTGCAGAAGAATACTGCAACTAATGTTGTTGCTGTGTATTGTATGGTTGCATTGATTTTTCAGAATGGTGGACTGGCTTAGAGCAGTGTAGTTTTTTTCAGATGGGACAATAATCCTTTAATTTATATGAAAGTCGCATTTCTGCATTGATTGATGTTTCAGGTGTTGTTACAAGTAGCAGATGATTTTATAGAGAATGTTGTTAGCTCAGCTTGTCAAATAGCTAAACATAGAAAATCTAATACATTAGAAGTAAAAGATGTTCAGCTATATCTAGGTAATAACTGTCAACTTTCTTCAAAAGATTCACTTAAAAGTATGACTCCTCTTTTCTCGAGACTCGACCTTATATAGAAAACACATTTATATATAGTTAGAAGTATTTTTAAGGGAATTTGTGATTTTCGTACATTTCTAGTACTTCTGAAAACTATTTACATACATTCAAGACCCAAATCAAAGCCCGAAAATGTAAAGTATTATTAAGTATTAAAGAACTAATATATGAATTTACTAAAACTTTTGCTGTTAATATGTTTGTAGAAAGAACATGGAACATGTGGTTACCTGGATTTGGTTCAGAAGATGTCCGACCATTTAAAAAGGCCTGTGTTACAGAGGCTCATAAACAGGTACATAGGTTATTTATTATGTACTGCGTAGTATTGTTGGAAAGAACAACTGAATGTAAGACAAAGCTCTTGATTTTTCAATTTTAATTTTTTCCTTAGAACTAAATCAGATTATAGAAAAGAATGACTAGCTTGAGAGAGATTAATTTTGAGTGACTCAGTTTGAATTAACTTATTGCGTGCACAGAAATTATTCTTGCTTCAAAAAACTAGCCTGTTCTATAAAATTTCATTGTAGATGAACTGGTTTCTATAAAATTTCATTGTAGGTGGACTGGTTTCTATAAGATTTCATTGTAGGTGGACTGGTTTCTATAAGATTTCATTGTAGGTGGACTGGTTTCTATAAGATTTCATTGTAGGTGGACTGGTTTCTATAAGATTTCATTGTAGGTGAACTAGTTTGTATAAAATTTCATTGTAGGTGAACTGATTTCTGTCAAATTTCATTATAGGTGAACTGGTTTCTAACAAATTTCATTGTAGGTGAACTGGTTTCTAACAAATTTCATTATAGGTGAACTGGTTTCTAACAAATTTCATTATAGGTGAACTGGTTTCTAACAAATTTCATTATAGGTGAACTGGTTTCTAACAAATTTCATTATAGGTGAACTGGTTTCTAACAAATTTCATTGTAGGTGAACTGGTTTCTGTCAAATTTCATTGTAGGTGAACTGGTTTCTATCGTAGGTGAACTGGTTTCTATCAAATTCATTGTAGGTGATGTGAACTGGTTTCTATAAAATTCATTGTAGGTGAACTCGTTTCTATCAAATTTCATTGTAGGTGAACTGGTTTCTATCAAATTTCTTTGTAGGTGATGTGAACTGGTTTCTATAAAATTCATTGTAGGTGAACTCGTTTCTATCAAATTTCATTGTAGGTGAACTGGTTTCTATCAAATTTCTTTGTAGGTGATGTGAACTGGTTTCTATAAAATTCATTGTAGGTGAACTCGTTTCTATCAAATTTCATTGTAGGTGAACTGGTTTCTATCAAATTCATTGCAGGTGATGTGAACTGGTTTCTATAAAATTCATTGTAGGTGAACTCGTTTCTATCAAATTTCATTGTAGGTGAACTGGTTTCTATCAAATTTCATTATAGGTGAACTGGTTTCTAACAAATTTCATTATAGGTGAACTGGTTTCTGTCAAATTTCATTATAGGTGAACTGGTTTCTAACAAATTTCATTATAGGTGAACTGGTTTCTAACAAATTTCATTGTAGGTGAACTGGTTTCTGTCAAATTTCATTGTAGGTGAACTGGTTTCTATCGTAGGTGAACTGGTTTCTATCAAATTCATTGTAGGTGATGTGAACTGGTTTCTATAAAATTCATTGTAGGTGAACTCGTTTCTATCAAATTTCATTGTAGGTGAACTGGTTTCTATCAAATTTCTTTGTAGGTAAACCGGTTTCTAGCGAATTTCAATGTATGTGAGCCGGTTTCTGGCAAATTTCATTGGAGGTGAACTGGCTTGTAGCAAATTTCAATTCATTGTTATATTACTTGATATAACATTATTTACGATGCAGGGTTATTTTTGTTATTTCAGAGAATGGCTTTGATAAGAAAGACATTAAAGAAATATTAAAACTGTATATAGTAAACTGATGATGTTACCAAAGTTTAACAATGTGAACACTGAGTAAAAATAATATTTAAAATCATAAATCATGTACCCTTTACTTTAAGCAACTCAAAAAACTTAACTTAAATTTTTGTACACCCTTAACTTAAAGTGTTGTATACCGTAAACTTAAAGTGTTGTATACCCTTAAGTTAAAGTGTTCTATACCCTTAACTTAAAGTGTTGTATACCCTTAACTTAAAGTGATACTACGTCTTAGAATTAACATAAAATTTAAGAATTTTAAACTTGGCGAATCAGAGCCAGTAAATATATCTTGTGTCATGAATAACATAACAGGATCCTAAGACGTAGTATCACTTTAAGGTGTTGCGTACCCTTTACTTTAGGTGTTGTATACCCTTAACTTAAGGTGTTGTAAACCCTTAACTTGAAGTGTTGTATACCCTTAATTTGAAGTGTTGTATACCCATAACTTAAGTATTGACGTTTGCATTATGAGACATCACTTGATCAATCTCGGTAATTTTGTGACTTGGTAAAGGTAATTTTGTGGCCGTTAGAAGGGTCAAAGGTGATTGAGCTGTATAAATTTTCAAAATCATGTATCATTACATTTGTATATATTATATAGTCATTTAAATAAAGATATATACCACATATTTCAGTTTATTTTTTAGACAAGCAAAGATATTTGTTCACAATTATGTCTGAATCAACCCAATAAAGCGAGCAGTCCATTTCATTCCAATGTAGAATATATTGTAATAAACTAACTTAAGACCAGACTACTGATACCTAAAGGTGCGGGCACACAAGCGGTCTTGGTCGGAGATTTTTGTCTCTGACTCGAATCTTGAGTTAAATCTTGTTATGTCTGTACTTCCATGACAAGATTATCGTGTCTCTGACAGGATTTGTAATATCAATAATTGATAATTGTTGTAAGACAGACATTCATCATTCAATCAAATTCCTATTCCTTCCAATTGCATGCCCGGCACCTGATTATCGGCAAGGTGGCAAATGACTGACGGGAGGTTTTTGTCTCCTTGTGTGCCTGTGCCAAAACAAGACTCTAATCGGCGACAAAAGTCTCTGACCAAGACTGACCCGCGCCTTAAACTACCTAAAACATAAATGGACTGCTCATTTACCTAATAAAGATGAAAAGATACTCCTGACACCTGGAATTATTGCACAGATGTGGCTGGCCACAGTCACACCTCCCCTTTTCTGCTTTGTAACGTTTGGTATTTGGAAACCATGATTATGTATAAATTACAACAGCATAAAATTTTTGTTAGGCAAAAAATTTTGCTCACCAGTAGAGTTATCAGTTTAATAGTGTAGCATGGAAAAAATACCACTACACATCTTAAAATATCTGCCTGGATCAATGAATTAGGTGATTTAGATATTAAGATTCTTGCTTCTTCATGATATGAGGAACATCATAGGCGTTGTCCTTTAGCTCTAAACAGTAGACTCTGGCTACCTAAACCCACATATTTTTCACTTCTCACAAGTCAACCCACTATCTATGGATAAGCAACTAATCTTGAGACCAAGCCCAAACACAGCAGAGTGAGTGACTTTCTTGCTATTCCTAAGATCAAAGGAATTTTTAATATCATGTTATAATATTGATTGAAATATTAAAGACCAAACTTAAATGTTGTCTGATCTTACTCTCCTGTGATGGAGACTGGAAAGATGTCAAACCAAAAAAAGACAGGTAAACAAACTAGCAATTTGTGAAACAAACTTTTTAATTTCACCAGAACTTTGTGAACTTTAAAAAGTTTATTGATGAACTTTACAACTAGGACTACATTCACATTTCCTTGGCATAGCATTATTTCATATTTATTTGTTAGCTTAAGTTTTTAACCCTTTGTACAAGGCAAATAGCATAATCAAATGTCCCTTACCTAAGATCCAAGCTATATTAAAATAGACCTAACTTCTAAAGCATATGACCAGTTACTGCTAGGTAAGCTAGGCCTATTGCTTAGTTTTTGTGACTGGTAGCGTGACAGGCTCCTCAAGAGTTGATACCACTACTACTCTTTGGCCATATCAAGTTCTAAATCACATTTTGGCTATCATTTTTGCATAAATTGAAATATTAATCTCCAAATATTGCTGAGAGTCTTAGGTTGTCTTTGGGTTGATGAATATGCCAACCATTGAAAACAAAATTATTTGAAACTATGAATGTACAGAGGGAGATTTTCAGTTCAAAATGTGTCATTTTCACATGAAATTTCTTGGAGAGAAGTGTGTTCATTTCAAGTGCAAAATTTTCAAAACTTATATATTCATGGACCCAAAGGCATTCTAAGACAATTGGTATGAACTTGATATTCATATTTTGAATATTTGTGACATGAGAGAAAAAATTCAATTTAGAACTCAATGTGACCAGAGAGTAGAATAAGCTTGTTTTACATTTTAGTTTAAAAGTGTCTTGGTTAAAGTAAGAGATCTGAAGTGAATTTTTTTGGTAGGCCTACACAACAGACATAAAATAAAATGGTATTGAAATTGACCAGTTTACCTAATGAGTGTATTTGTAATATATTTACATTTTTATCCTTTAAAGATCTCATCAGGTAATTCATTAATAACATTTCTTTGGCTCTTAATTACCATGGCTTTATAATCTGTAGTCTTAGATATATATTTATAATTAAAGCTGAGTTGACTGAATTGAGGACAGTTAAAGTAACTATTTGCCATAAATGACTGAAACTCAAATCTAAAAATTTGAGAGACTGAGAACAGTTCAGTTAAAGTTTGCACCAAAAATATGAAATCAAGATAGAACCCTATCAAAAATAAAATATAAAAAAGTCTGGATGAAATTATTAATTATTACTCAAGGAAGTGCAGTGATGGGTTGACTGCATGAAAACAGCATTAAGACATTCAGATGTGACAATAAACCATGACCCTCATTGCTCATTGTATCTGAACTATGTACAACCCTGTGCAGAATACTGGACATAAAACTCACTTTCATTTCATTTTGTAGGTGTTCTCAGGTTTGTCATAGATTTAATGCTATTACTAAAGATGATGCATTATGGAAAATACAGGCCATACGACAATTTTTACTCAAAACGTAAGTAATAGTCTGATTTCCTTTGACCTCTGATAGTTAATATAGACTTTATTCAGATAGAAAAAAGAAATAACCTCTGTTTTTCTATCATACCTCCAAAAAATGTCAAATCATCATAATCTCACCTCCACTGATATTGATAAGCTAGTGCTTATTTACAAGAGTGGAAAAAAAGCACTACTCAGTTTGGAAATTTCTGAAAAGGAACTGATTCGAACTGTCTGTAACACTTTTCAGATTTAAAATCTGGTTCTTCGTCAATTTAACAAATGGTCACATTTGGGCTATTCATATTATTAACATTGTCAATGACAATTATGACAACAGATATCATCTGCACATCAGAATGTCACCTCTTTTTTTATTAAATTTTGTGATGCACATTTTTCTAAAAACACGACAAGTAGCTGGAAGTGAGCTCTATCACCTGGTCAAGCAAATATTTATATCACCATATCACTTAAATGGATTACAGAAATGATGTGTCTACTACATGGAAGGAAACATTTCAAGATTATTACAAGAAATTCAAAGATGAGTTAGAAGTTTATCCTGCTATACGTCATGCTTGGAATCAAATGGAGAGCTATATCGAGAAATATATGCCTATGGAGTTTGAATCTTTAAGAGGTAATGTACAACTTTGAAGAGTTAAACAATTTGTCAAAAATATTTTAGAGTTCATATTTTTATGTTTTAACATATGTGTTTGCCTGAATTTGGTAAACTCAACTTGAACCAGATGATCTGTAGTGCGATATTCGATTTTATGACATATAATTCTCGCAATGTACCCTCACTGGTGCTGCAACTTCTAGAATGTAATACATTCTGTCTTCCTAGTTACTAAATGCTCTAAAACACTGTATCAGTCAGTAGGCCTATAATTAAAGAACATTCTTCAAGGGAGATCATTTAGAGATAATATTAGTCAGAAATTTCTTTTCTCTGCTCAGTGCATGTATTATTTCAGCAAAATAATTTGTGTCCTTGATTTCATTTTAGGTCCAGTATCAGATGAAGATTTACTATATGCAGAAAGAAAACTAAAAAGGCGTTTTCCTCCTGATATTAGATGTTCTATGAAAATACATAATGGACAAACACCTGAACCAGGACCAGGGTGAGTGGTTATTTGTATGCTCTAAGAAACTGTCATGTTTAATTCTTAATCAACAGATTATTTGGTTTAGCTTCGTTGTGTTAAATGGAGCTATAAAGGTATCAAGATACAGATTTTATATTTCAGATTATTTGGTTTAGCTATGTTATCAGATTATATTATATCTGAAAAGTTATTAGATTGTAGAACTATAAAGAAACAGATTTTATATTTCAGATTATTTGGTTTAGCTATGTTATCAGATTATATTATATCTGAAAAGTTATTAGATTGTAGAACTACAAAGATACAGATTTTATATTTCAGATTATTTGGTTTAGCTATGTTATCAGATAATATTATATCTGAAAAGTTATTAGATTGTAGAACTACAAAGATACAGATTTTATATTTCAGATTATTTGGTTTAGCTATGTTATCAGATTATATTATATCTGAAAAGTTATTAGATTGTAGAACTACAAAGATACAGATTTTATATTTCAGATTATTTGGTTTAGCTATGTTATCAGATTATATTATATCTGAAAAGTTATTAGATTGTAGAACTATAAAGATACAGTTTTTATATTTCAGATTATTTGGTTTAGCTATGTTATCAGATAATATTATATCTGAAAAGTTATTAGATTGTAGAACTATAAAGAAACAGATTTTATATTTCAGATTATTTGGTTTAGCTATGTTATCAGATTATATTATATCTGAAAAGTTATTAGATTGTAGAACTATAAAGATACAGATTTTATATTTCAGATTATTTGGTTTAGCTATGTTATCAGATTATATTATATCTGAAAAGTTATTAGATTGTAGAACTATAAAGATACAGTTTTTATATTTCAGATTATTTTTTTTAGCTATGTTATCAGATTATATTATATCTGAAAAGTTATTAGATTGTAGAACTATAAAGATACAGTTTTTATATTTCAGATTATTTGGTTTAGCTATGTTATCAGATTATATTATATCTGAAAAGTTATTAGATTGTAGAACTATAAAGAAACAGATTTTATATTTCAGATTATTTGGTTTAGCTACGTTATCAGATTATATTATATCTGAAAAGTTATTAGATTGTAGAACTATAAAGATACAGATTTTATATTTCAGATTATTTGGTTTAGCTATGTTATCAGATTATATTATATCTGAAAAGTTATTAGATTGTAGAACTATAAAGATACAGTTTTTATATTTCAGATTATTTGGTTTAGCTATGTTATCAGATTATATTATATCTGAAAAGTTATTAGATTGTAGAACTATAAAGATACAGATTTTATATTTCAGATTATTTGGTTTATCTATTTTATCAGATTATATTATATCTGAAAAGTTATTAGATTGTAGAACTATAAAGATACAGATTTTATATTTCAGATTATTTGGTTTAGCTATGTTATCAGATTATATTATATCTGAAAAGTTATTAGATTGTAGAACTATAAAGAAACAGATTTTATATTTCAGATTATTTGGTTTAGCTATGTTATCAGATAATATTATATCTGAAAAGTTATTAGATTGTAGAACTATAAAGATACAGATTTTATATTTCAGATTATTTGGTTTAGCTATGTTATCAGATTATATTATATCTGAAAAGTTATTAGATTGTAGAACTATAAAGAAACAGATTTTATATTTCAATATTTCAGATTATTTGGTTTAGCTATGTTATCAGATTATATTATATATGAAAAGTTATTAGATTGTAGAACTATAAAGATACAGATTTTATATTTCAGATTATTTGGTTTAGCTATGTTATCAGATTATATTATATCTGAAAAGTTATTAGATTGTAGAACTATAAAGATACAGATTTTATATTTCAGATTATTTGGTTTAGCTATGTTATCAGATTATATTATATCTGAAAAGTTATTAGATTGATGAACTATAAAGATACAGTTTTTATATTTCAGATTATTTGGTTTAGCTATGTTATCAGATTATATTATATCTGAAAAGTTAATAGATTGTAGAACTATAAAGATACAGATTTTATATTTCAGATTATTTGGTTTAGCTATGTTATCAGATTATATTATATCTGAAAAGTTATTAGATTGTAGAGCTATAGCTGATACCATGGTAAGATATTTCTGATTTCTGTTCTGATTGAAATCTTTTAATTATGAATTTTAAAACTTGGTTGCAACCAAACGACAAGGAATCAACAGCCTAGACCAGCGCTTCTCAACCTCACTGACATCATTTCTCTGCGGAAGAGTTCTTACAAATCCATTCCTCTTCAAAAGAAATCAGTCATTTTGAAACGTATTTCACTCGAAATATGTATCAAGCGATTAACAATGAAAAGATAATAAATCATACTTATCGAGATGACCTGTATGACCTGGGCGAATGACATTAATTTCAGTCATAGATCACCTCGCTCAGTTATCTTTAACAAACCATGGTTCTCTGTGAGTACATCATAAACCATGCAGAACCCGCACTCCAAAAAATACATGGTAAGAAATAGCAGCAGTAGATTCCTCCCCCTTGGCTACAATTGCTCCCCATGGTCTTCCAAATCCTCCGTTAAGGAGGAATTCCTCCCCTATTGAGAAGCACTGGCCTAGACAACAGATAGATTCAGTGAGTTTAAGTCTGGTAGCTTGGATTGATCAAGTGTCTGATCATTGGAATGGGGCAATGTACATAAACAGTACAGTCTGTGTCAATTTTAGATATTCTCAACAGATGGGCTAATGCCACTATCCTGATACATAGTATATTGCATTAGGATGTGAATCAAACAGGAGCAGAAAGTAGTTAGTCTCTTAAAGGAATTTGATAAATGATTTTGATAATTTAGGATGAGATTGAAGGATGTGTGAGATTAACAGAGTGTTTTGCCTCATCAACCTCAAGATACCTATCTTTAACAGAAAGTAGTGGTTATCCTGAAAATCAAATATTTTATCCTTGTAATGCTACCTCAGATTTAACTAGATGTGATCATTTTATAATAGGTTAGTTATTCATCTCATTTCATCAATTTATGATACCAGTTGGCCTACTGTGAAATAAATAATTTTTGTGAGAGATCTTATCAGCTGATTCTTTGGATTTACATCCTAACCATGTAAAAAGAAACCTTGTGAATGATCTTTATTAATTTAAAATGAGTATTTACAAAAGAAAAACAGAAGAATAATTCAAGAATTTTGATGAAATACAAAACTTTAAAAAATAAAAAAAAAATAAAAAAAGGATTTTACGAATTTCATTCCTCATAATTTGTTTAAGTTACTTACTAAGTTTCCATTCCAGCCAATTCATTTTGTGAGGTATTTTGTACATTTACTCAAGAATTAGAAGATGATATTTATTATAAATGGAATAATTATGGTAATCCCCTGATGTAAGTCTTATTCTTTAAGTTTTATAGTTTATTTCAAGGGACATTCTTGAATGTATGTAATAGTCTTCAGAAGTACAAGAAATGTACAAAAATTCCGTCAGGCTAGGAATTTCTTTTCCTATTTCTAGAGATGTCTTTTCTATATATGGCAGTGTCTCAAGAAAAGACAATTCGTCATTTAACCCTTCGAAGGGAGATAATTCTGGACACACATGGGTTTGAAGGCTCAAATTTCGACGGTGAGCTGTGAACACTATTACTCATTGGCTTAGCTAAAAAATTCACCTTTCTGAAAGTAATTTACAATTGGTACAAAAAATGGCGCATATCTCCCTTTAAGAGAATTAAGTCACTGAATTTTTAGACTAAAATAGCGAATAAATTCCAAAAAAAAAATATTTTATTATAGATTTAAACAGGATGAAGACTGTATAGCTGTTACAGATTATATATTTACTGTTACTGTAGGAACTATTTTATTATAGATTTAAACAAGATGAAGACTGTATAGCTGTTACAGATGATATATTTACTGTTACTGTAGGAACTATTTTATTATAGATTTAAACAGGATGAAGACTGTATAGCTGTTACAGATGATATATTTACTGTTACTGTAGGAACTATTTTATTATAGATTTAAACAAGATGAAGACTGTATAGCTGTTACAGATGATATATTTACTGTTGCTGTAGGAACTATTTTATTATAGATTTAAACAAGATAAAGACTGTATAGCTGTTACAGATTATATATTTACTGTTACTGTAGGAACTATTTTATTATAGATTTAAACAGGATGAAGACTGTATAGCTGTTACAGATGATATATTTACTGTTACTGTAGGAACTATTTTATTATAGATTTAAACAAGATGAAGACTGTATAGCTGTTACAGATGATATATTTACTGTTACTGTAGGAACGTATTTTATGGCACAAATGAGTACTGTTAATCCTCCAATGTTCCTATTTGCTTACAGAATCAAGTAAGTTTTTGATTTCTTTATGCAATGGCCACACAATTTTTCCAGGGGCCGCATGCAAGTGGGAGGAATGGGGAGCAGCCTCTAGATCTAGGGATTTACAAAGTCTATTTTGCATATAGATTGATACCAAAGAAGTTCAGTGGTAATAATAAGAGAAAAGATCTATCTCTTTAATGTATCATCATTAAGTTTTTCAATTCATTGGATCCATATGAAGCGATGTCATGTGTTCTCTCTGTTAGCTGATCATAATTTTTTGTAGCATGTCAATGAAAAGTGATGCCAGTTCAAGTAAATCCTGTAAATTAGAAACTAGACATTGGATTATTACTGATGAAGAAGGTTCTGAAGAAAGAGTTGATGGTGCAGGTGTTATAGGTAGATCATACAATATCTTCACAATGTCAAGCCATACGAACTTCTTATACCTGGACTGCAACATCCACCCATCTTTCAATCACGTAATGGAGCGATTTGATTGGATTGTACGCCAGTGAATATAGTCAATCATTGCCCTCAACAGACAAACTGCCAAACATTAAGGCTTACTGTGTACAGACTTTCTATAGAGGACTCTTTTTGATTGGCTGTTATTGCTAACGTAAAGTCCAACCAAATTGCTGCATTTACAAATTTACGGTGGCTATTGCACTGAAGGTAAAGGATGAAGTTCGTAGTAGCTTGACATTGTGAAGATCAAGCAGATTATTTTCCAATGAAAACTATTGCCGTACTCCTTGTCTGATAAGCTCAATAGAAGGCGCAGTTTTCATTTGAAAGGCTAGATATTTTAACAAAGGTTTTGGGTTTGATATCAGTAAAGGTACAAAACGGCTGACATAGCTAATGTATCTAGTTCATCAAATGGGACGATAAGATGGATACTCTAGGCTGTCCTGTGTTTATTGTTGTTATCGAAATGTCCCTTCTTTTTTTTTTTTTTTTTTTTTTTTTGTTTCGTCCACACTTTCCCGTGCTTAGACTACAGTAGTTGCAGCAACGCTTCAAATTTCATAGACCTTCTATATAGGTGACGATGTGCATAAATATAAATTGGAACATTTTTGCAAAACTGGAAGTGCCACAGTTCAACATATGAAAAAAGTCGAAAATCGGCTCTAGGAGGCATATTTTTGCATTGATTTTCTTCGGGTTTTCATTTTTACAATCTACCTGTAATTTCTGACCTGATAGCACTTGAAAAATTACGAAATTCGGAAATTCGTCGCTCACTTTTTTCGATCAAATTTTTCAATTTTTTTGCAACTTTTTTGCTTTTGCATCGATTGATCTGAAATTTAATATGCAAAGGGACATCACTAAAGCAAATAATATGTAGTTGTCAAATATTTAACTTTACTTCCGGTTTTAAACGGGGAATCAATAGAAAGTACAATCCACTTCCTGTCGAATAACTTCCGGTGTAATTGAAATAGGTCAACGAAATTTATGCTGATCGTAAGTAAATGCTAATACAAAAAAACGAAGAAAATAAAATCCAGACCGGAAGTGATACTTTGGCCGCCATATTGAAAAAACACACTTTTGTAAAACTCAAAATGGGGCCTCAGGGTAAATGTTCAAATTTGATGTGAATGTATTCCGCAATCAATTGCGCAAAAAACATTGGGAGCCGAATTTTGAATTTCGCTTTTGCTTTTTTGCAACTTCCGGTTGAAATCTTTTCATGCTTTAAACGATCACATCATGTGACCTTGACCTTTGATGACCTTGACCTTCATAGGGTCAAAGGTCATTGACCTTGGCTATCATTTGATACTTTGACCTTTGACCTCCGACATGTACTTCCGGTTTTATAGCTATCCGTAAAAAGCCAAATTCGCAACTTTGGACTGCTCTAGCACGTGACCTAATTAACCTAGAGAGTTAATTTTTTCGGTTTCCTAATGTGCTGTTTATGCACTTTACATAGATATAGAACAATTGCTTTTTTAAAGCAAAATTGAAATTGGTGATTTTTTCAAATTTGAGTTTTGTTTTACCATATTTGTGTCATTTTGATCTTGGTGTATGTATATCTTATGACCTATTTTATGTAGAACCTTGATATTTGGAATACAACTAAACAGTTTGAATATGAATTCACCTATGACAAAAAAAATTGGGGTGGGCGTGGCACATCCGGGTTGAATTTCTAATTGTTTACATTTTGGGGCTGGGGCATAACTCGCATAGGATACGTTTGTTAAAAAAGGGCCTTTGCACACAATTACCTCTTCCTTTTGGCCAGTTTGTGTTAACAGCTCAGTTGTTTCAGCTTTATAGTTCCAAAAAAGGAACGGGTTTTAACATTTGGATATTTTCATTTTTCGATTTTGACCTTTGTTGACATTTGTTGACCTATATCTTTTGACCTGAATAATGTAGAAGCTTGCAATTTAAAACACAACATAACATTTAGAATATCAATTACCCTATGCAAAAAAAATTAAGGTGGGCGTGGCACATTTGGGTTATATTACTCATTATTGATATTTTTGGCCAGGAGCATAACTCGCAAAGTATACGTTTGTTCAAAATGGAACTTTGCATACAATTACCTCATATTGTGAGCCACTTTGTCTTAGAATTTCGGTTGTTTCCGCTTCTTAGTTAAAAAAAAAAAGGAACAGGTTTTGGAAATTGAAAATTTTCAATTTTTGACCATGACCTTTGTTGACCTTGACCTTTGTAGGATCAAACGTCATTGGCATTGGCTATCTATTTGTACTTTCATATTTGCTGTCCTATGTCAACTTCCGGTTTTATAGTCGTGTGCCATTAGAAATTTTGATGACATATATCTCTTGATCTTGACCTTTTTAGACTTTCTCTTTTACAAGATCAAAGGTCATTGACCTTGGCTATCTGCTGATACTTTCATTTGTGAGGTCTGACGTCTACTTCCGGTATTAGAATCTTCTAAAAAATGAAAATTTCTCAACTTTAGACAGTTCTTGCGCTTGATCTAATTATCGTGGATGGATGATTTTTTCGGGGTCTTTTGCAATTTGCTACATTTGCAAAGTCCCACTCTGTGCCACGAGTGGCTCTAGTTTTTTTTATTTTTTTCATTTTGCAGGAGAATACCCAGTCATGGTACCTGGAAGGACTTATTCTTGGACAAGCTGTACAAGTTTTAAAACAACTTATGGCAATATGAAAGGATATTTTATGATGAGAGGTCTAGAAAATGGCGACTCCATCCGAATTGATTGCCCTTGCTTTCATATGAAGTGCCTACCATATGAAACATATGAACAAAGAAAAGAGAGACAGTTACGGCTGAAAAAGAAATTATGATGAAGAATAAGTCTTTGATCTTAATTCACATCTGACGAGATTGTACACCCTTTTGGTCAAAGGAAGCGGAACTCTAATAAATTAGAGGAAAATCATCTCCAAGGACAAGAGTAAGCTAATCAACCACCAGATGATGTTAGGATAATAACTATCCGACAACAATGTTTACAGATTGCAATTATCCAATCATTTTTGTATTAATTAAAATATAAACTCTCAACGGTCGATGGAATCGTTATCGTGCACAGTTTGCATTACATGGGGCCCAGAACGACCAAACGTTTTTCCTCTATTAGCCATTCGACCTGCATCACAGACAAAGGAGACGGGTGTCGTATTTGGAAGTGATTTTAAATAGGTTTTCTGATTTTTATATGTGGGACCATTCCAATTTTCAATCAGACGTCTGCGTTCCTGCAACTCCACTAAAACTAAGTCTTGATGAAATCGCGAAGGGCCTCGTGCGATACAAGCATATTTTGAGATTAGTGAGGTCAACAAACTCTTATTTTTGTGGAATTGCAGGATCCACAGACGTCTGACTGACAAGTGGAACTGTGCAAATTGATGCTATCAGAGTCCCCGATAAACATATAAACTATTTAGAAAACCTCTTTACAATCCCTTTAATTATATTTATAAAAAGTACAATAATAATATAATATTATACATTTTAATACACAATCTACTTTTAGTAGTTATAATCAATTATGTACAGCAAATAGGCGTCCGCTTTCAACAGCCGTGACCAATCAATGATATTTAAATGTATCCAATACTCGAGCAGGATTTTCTTTTGTGACGACTTTAAACCTTAATAAGAGCTCAAGTACTTAATATTTTCGCAGTCAAGTCGGTAAATCGAATTTGACCGATATTTTTTTTTTATGTAATAACAATATCAGCTTAAAATAGTATTGCTTGTCTAAGAATGAACTTCAAAATATTATAATTAGTACAGATTAAAATTTAGAATATTGTTTTTACCGAGGAAATTTGGATCATTAATTTTTGGTTCAAAATTCAACTTTAATTTAGATTTTTAATTTTATCAACGAAAAGTCAATCTAAGACTACCACTATTATTCTGAAGCTGTTATTTTCTAATTCACATCGCACAATCGATGAAATTCTATTTACCAACACGAGTGCTAAGACAGTAGTAATTCCACTCTCTGGTTTTGCCAAGTACGGTTCTCCGTTGCGATGGGCACTCGACATGTGAGATTTGGAGAATAACAGATTGATCTGTTCGTCCCAATTAAATTATATCTAGTTTTATCTAGTCAGTCCCGTAGCCAGCCAAGTAGGTGGCAGTTTAGGTACAACCCCCGCGATTTCCTGAAAACTTCCCGACGAAATTAGGCCCTAGGATTTTTTTAGGGGCGTCAAGATTGTATTTCGGGTGGGGATACATACATCATGATACAAAAAAATACATAATATGTGATATAATATATAGTAAACAATGGAAAAATATCGAGTACACATTGTAACGCGTGAGGGAAGCTTTAAACAAGCAAAAAAGGGCACCAAGCCCGTATATTTTATAGGAAACGCGCTTAGGAACGCATTATGGTCAGATATGTTACTGGTTGATACCGACTGTTGTAGAATTTGTAATACTAAGGGCCTTTGTTTTACGCAGTTCACGTTTGTCGACGATCAAATACGTTTTTAGTCGCTGTAAGATCGCAAATGGTCGCAGTCCGGTGTAACGGGACTATTACCAAGATTAAGTGGCGAACTGTCCACACACATTACATAACAGATATGAAAATCTTTCCTTCTATAGAAGACATCATTTATGTTTTTATGTTATCTTACGGCACTTGTATAAGAATTAATAAACAAAACTTTTACCTCTGGGGCTTTCATTTTGTCAACGTAGATTAAATCCAAATTTAGGATATACGTCAATATGATTGGTTAATAAAAGTATAAGTAAATTAAATCTAGTGCTGCACCAATAAGATAAAGTTGAGTTTTTGTGAAAAGGGCCCCGGGGAAACGTATTTGATAATGATACTTTATCAGCAATGAAAATACTTATACCAGGTTATTGATAAGTGACATAATAATTGTGTGTGTATATTCACGACGACTCGCTGGAGGCCATCCCAGGGCATCAACTGGATCATAGGCTATTCTTTGGGGATATCCAGGTAGCCTTGATAAGTTGAACACCGACTCGACCATAAAAGAATTACATATTGCCAGGTAAATTGGCAAGAACAAATCACTCTGTTTGACGATTGATTTTAATTAGCTAGAACAGCGTAGATATTTTGACTGTGTAATTAAAACATAAATTAGGATTAAGTAATTATGAAATAGTTTTTACTTTACCAAACATTATTCTACTCAACAAACAATGTGAAATATAAATAATTCAGTAACCACTTGATAAATAAAGATTCAAAAACTCGTTGACATATTTTGTAATTAAAGCTTTGTTGATACTAAAATATTCATTGTATCATTTGAATGGAACCGACCAAAACTATTTTTTTATATGGTGATCTACGTACAATATACGTAATTAAAGCACTTTAGTCCCGAAGTTCATACGAATGTATTTCTATTCTGAAAAAGGTGACTTGATAATCATGGCTTAAAGGGGCAGATGGGCCATTTTTGGGGGTATATTTGAGTCTTCAATATATGTAAATTGTCTTCAGATGTAGGCCTACTAAAAATGTAAGAAAATCGCTTACTTCCTTCAAATATATCTCAAACTAGAATTTTTTTTTCCTTTTATTATAGATCTCTTTTCTGTTTATGGTAGTGGCGAAGCAGGGCCAGCCCTTTTCCGTAAAAACTCCACTGTCTGACCGTCAAGCGCCAATAAACGGCCATTGTTGATTTGAGTAGGTTCTTTTAATCGAGATACAGAAAAACAAATATATCTCAAGTTCACTCGTATTCCAGGATTATGATTTATTAAAATCAAAAACTATAATAGTGAGAGTTTTTTTAATATAACTTAAAATTGGTCATTACAAGCACAGCCTGGGGGCTTTCGAACATGTATATTATTGCACCTTCAAGATAATCTTTCGCGCCCGAGTGTATTAGACCTTAGGCAAAATACTGTGTTTATTGAATTCTTTATCAGTATCCTTGATTGGTATCTAACTCGATAAACATCTATATTCATAAGCTTAAATATGCTAACAGCTGTTGATTAATCTTGTTTACATTCATCACCGAAACCAACACACCAACATGTCCATTTCGGCATCTAGTTACTCGGGAACTTTTAAACTTTGTCTGTTTATTGTGGTATTGGTGGCGTTTTCTTCCTATTGTGGATTTGTGATAACAAGAGAAGATTCACAGTTTTCAAATCATTTGCCCAAATTGACGTCAACTAACGTCATTTTGGAAAAATTAGATTCTTTGAGAAAAGATTTCTTGAAACAGAGGACCAATGTTGCTGGTCAGTTTAAAAATTTGGGGTCGAAGCTATCTGAGCTCGTCCTCAACAAAAATACCAAACCAGAAAATCAGCACATAAAGGCACAAGACGAACCGTGGCGGAAATCAACAAAAACAGGTTTGACGCTATTTACTTCGTGGGTTGATGTGCCAGAAAAGGATCTGGTTCATGGAAATGTGGTCCGCATGTGGAGGAAGTGGAAACCTCTAATTAAACCATTATTCTTTTATAGCAGTGCATCTACAGGAAAACGTTTAGAGAAAGAGGGTTGGTTGGTGCAGCCAGTATCCAAAACTGGTTGTGGAGTTACTGAGATGCCAACTATCAAAGACATGTTCTTAGACGCGATGAAAAATCATGAAAGCGTTTTGTACGGTTATGCCAATGGTGATATCACTTTTGATGATGGTATGCCAAAAGCCATCGATTATGTCGTGAATATGGATGTTGTGCGCGAGAAACCGGTTCTGGTTTTGGTTCGTCGAACGAATGTGGATTTTTCTAATGGTCCTGAATTAGATGCAAATTCGGACATAACGGAAATGTACAATGAAGGCAAGGCTTTAAAGGATGGTTCTTCCGACGGATTTTTTACAAACAAGTTGTTTCCATGGAAGTATCTTCCCGATATTGTGATAGGCAGAATAGGAATAGGAATGTGGCTTGCATCGTACGCTCGAGCCATGAACGTAACTGTAATAGACATCACCAAAACGGTAAAGGCTATTCATATGACGACAAAGAGCGGAAACAGCGAATCTCACTTTAAAAAGAATGGTCGATGTAATCATGTTATTTACGGTCGGCTCAAATTGTCCCCGACAAGTTGGGGATGTGGTTTTATCACATGTGCAACAATTGATATAACTTTTGATAAGCAAGGACAAACAACAATGCGACGTAAAAACCCGAAAAGTATGAACCCGAAATGTGGCAATTGCTCTATGGACTTGACGCAAATTTTGCCAAAATCTCTTGGAATCACTGACAGAATTTATTTTGGACAAAATATCGAACCAAAACAAGTTGTAAATAAAAGACCGAAGTCTCCAAAATAAGTTATGCGACATTAATTTGTTCTCGTGGTTTGTGTTGACGCTTCATTCTGATCAGGATTGATTGTGCTTCCAAAATACAAAATTTTGACTGTAAATTTGTACGTTGAAGATTGGAACGTTGAGATGGAGAGAGTAATATTTTTTTAAAGTCGACATAACGAATAGATCTGATACTGGTAATATTCAATTTCAAAGATGACCAAGAGATAATTAAACATTTTCCATCAGAGCGAAAAATGCGCGTATTGTGTGGATCGGTTTAAAGTTTAAATGAAAATGTCGCATTGCTAAACTTCTTACCTCTTCATAAAACATCGCATGTTCCTATACACTGTAAAAAAATTTCCTTCGATTAACAGAAAAAATTCCGGCAGCTGATTTACCAGAATTTAAATTTTGCCTTCAGTTATATAACAGAATTTCTTGTAAAATATTTGCTTTAAATAACAGAAATATTTTACTACAAAATCTGTTAAATTACAGAATGACTAATAATATTTCCTGTAATTAACAGAAAATAGGAAGGATATTCTGGTAAATCTGCTGCCGGAATTTTTCTAATATTTCCTGTAATTTAACAGAAAAATAGGAAGAATATTCTGGTAAATCTGCTGCGGAATTTTTCCTTCCAGTTCTGTAAAAAAACAGAATTTTAAAAAGGATATTCAGGTAATAAATCTGTTGCCAGAAATCATTTTCATTTTACTGTAAAATAACAAAACATTTCAACTTTATGTGTTTATTGGTATTATTTGTGCATTTAAAATAATCAGAGAAAATGATGTTAACTACACCTTTAATTATACATACAACTGAAAATGTGGGCGTATAAAAACAATCTCTTGCATAAAAACAAATGATGAACTTGAAATACATACTCATGCATCACTAATGACATCTTTAACACATCTTTTAATGACATTCTCATAACTAATGACATCTTAATAACGTGCTGATCTAACTAATTCGGATTTAACTAATGTCTTTTTTTATTTATGTTGACACTCTTTTCTTCACATTGCCCATATTTTATTAATATTGACAGAACTTCAAGGACCTGTGGTCCACTTCACTTTTTTTAGTGTTCCACAAGGTTATAAGACTCCATCATCCAGCACAATACAGTTTATGATGCAACTCTAATCATTATTATAAGGCCTAATTGTTTTTGATGTGCACAGTTAATTGTTGCTCGTTCGAAAGTCAGGTCAAGTCTCATAATGCTCCGTAACTTTTAGCTGGTAAATAATGGCAGAAACTCTAAAGAAAGGGAAAAGGTGACATACCTGAAAAGATAAATTTAAAATGAGAAAATATTTGTTGTGCTAACATACTGTAGTAGTGTAGTAATAGTAGGGCACTGGATCTTTTAGTTCGAGAAATCCAGAGTCCAATTTACCCTCGTTTACGAATTTTGTAATGCCTCGCCTACGTGGTGGGTCCTAACATTGAGTGTAAACGGTTAAGGTTTATTGACAAGAATATTAATGACAAAATTCTCATTCCTTGTATTCTTGTACTCTGGTGCAATCATAACCATAAAAGGCTGANAAAGCGAGGATGTACAAAAACAGAAAAAGAAATATAAATTAAAAATAATAAAAAGTTTCAGACCACAAATACCACACATGTATAAAGTCATAAAATGGTAACATTACAAATTTATTTAGGCAATAATTAAAATACACTCACCTGTGAATTTGTATTCAGTGATCATTTCCACTCTACCCAAGACCAAGTAAGTTAAGCCTAGTCTAGTTCATCATGTAGGATAAATTTAAGTCATTTTGTCGTTGTCCCCACACGCTTAAAATTCAGTAAAACATTTTGCAGTTTTTGACATGCATCTCACCATACTAAATTTAATTTAAGAAATTCACAAAAATCCCTTCGACGTAGCCTTGTTTTGATGTGGGATAAGATGGCGGCGTGACGATAAACTGACCTCGTGTCTTTACCGATGACGTCATACCTACTTTGATTAACAGGTCGAAACTATCATAACGCAAAATCACAGTTTCCGTAAATTAACAGCAATCCTGTTATAATTTTCCGTAAGGAAACATAAAGTTCCTGTCAAAAAAACAGTATGACCACGCATGCGCAGACTTCGCTTATCTACAGACAAGTTTGGAAAAAAATGATAATAACACAGAATTTAAGTAAATTTACTGACAAATAACGTAATTTTTCTTAAATGACATACGACAAAGATTAATTTACGTAAAATAACATATTTCCTTATTGCAGAACTAACATTCTGTTAATGTAAGAACAAAGTCCGTAAATCAACAGGAAAGTATGTACCATCAGCAGAAATTTACGTATATCAACAGAAAATATCAAGTAAATTTCTGTCAAAAAAACGGACTTTTTTTACAGTGTAGCAATGATAGTATATTATCAATGTTAAATGTGGAAAATATCGCACACCGTTGCTAAACGAATGTACTAAAGCATGTATTAAAAAAACGCCCCAACGAAACCTGCAAAATGGTACTATATTCATTTGAGACTTCTCCTTTAAAACTAAAGAATGTGTATGTGGTGAATACTGTATTATTACAAAATGTAGATCATGTTTGAATGTTTGTTATGAGTTTTGAGGTATTGTTAAGAATATCATCAGGGTCATCACGCGCCTGGTTTTCACTGAACACCTTCTCTGACTTGTATTTTGCATCAACTGAATTTCTGAAAAAAAAAGAAGGGAAAATCAGTGTATCACTTTCATGCAATCACGAATTCTGTCTAAATTCTTTATCTTAATGCACAACGATATTTAGGTTTTTGTAAATTTGTATTTCAATTTCATGTCATGTTTAAATAATGAACTTCATTTGATTGTAAATGATAAACTCATTATTGTGGCCATGATTTAAGAATTTTGAAATATGTATTCTGTAAAATGGCACAAAAGGGGGGGGGGGGGTGTACGATATTCATATAATAATCATTATCATCATACCGTTGCTAATGGGACATGGGGGACTCGCAGATTTGATTCAAAAAGTCCCTATGATAGTTGACATCGTAATGTGGTTAGCTCTTTCTACAATTTCAACTATGAGGTTCATAGAATCAGGTTTTGTAAATCTCCATCAGCCAGATAAGCCACTTTCGATTTGAACATTAGGTTAAACACAATACGAAATATATAATTTGTAAAAGCTACCTTCCAAAATATTTGGCATCCTGAATGGTTTCCGGGAGAGTTTTACGTAATGTTTCTGGTAAATAAAGTGAGAGTATACCGGCCACAACTGATGAACAACCAAATACTATCAATGGTAAAGCTGTACCTATGTCACCGGAGATGAGTGTTCCCTGAAAGCAATGGTAGGCTGTATTGTATAGTAATATCAATCATTTTAGCGTAATCGCCAGGCATTTAGTCAAATGCGCAGACAGTACCAACACTAACGCTACCGTCTATACTTTGGCCCTAACGATATGTTTGTAGCTATTCTGTCCAGTGTAAAATAGATTTTGGTCACATTTTGAACTAACAGTGCATTGAAATCGACCAAATTTGAACTTCATGCATAGAACAATATATCCACAGTCCATAAATGTCAACACCTAGTTAATTTATTTATCTCAAACTTTAAATCGATCGGCTGGACTATCAGGCAATGTGCATTTCTTTATTCCTTCTCGTAAAGTCTTATTGCTGTTCTTGTCTGACGACTACTACTGCTAAACTCGATGCAATGAATTTTGTATAAATTACAATTTCAACTTAAAATCGTTTTGAAAACTTAAATTGTCACTGGGTTTATAATAAAACTTTAGCTCCGCTAAATTGAACCATACAAGATCGTGGATTTCTTTTTATTGGAATAAGGTAACAGAATTTTAATCCAAATCATGTGAAAATTAGTCTTACCAAATCTGCAATATACGGTGATGCCAGTCCACCAATTCTTGCTAGAAAGGAACAGACACCCAGACTAGAATTACGAACAACAGTTGGAAATAGTTCAATAGTAAAAATATATATAATGACAAATGCTGCAGATGCTCCTAATTTCCCCACCATAGATAAGGCAATTATCATCCACTCATATTCTGAAAAATATTATTCATAAATTTGTCAGTTCTTCTCAGACAGGAAATTAGATATAATCATTTTTGAATGAAATACGTTATCCGATAAATTGTCAACAACTTACTATTGTCACGTTTACTAGCGCATTTTTCATAAAATTGCATTAATAAAATCGAGTCAAAAAGTTTCGTCAAAGAAACGACCCTAAAACATCTGTCTGGACAAATCACACGATACCATTCAAGAAAATTTCAACTGTCCTGGAAAACACTAAAAAAAAAAAAGGCCGCCATCTTGGATTTCCGCCATTTTAATATGTGGTACATACTGTTTTCACACATTTTTATGCATCTGTTGCTTCTACGGTGGTACATATTTTCGGCTGGAGGTGTCTAAAAGTGAAATTAAGGAACCTCCTCACGCCCACAATGATTACAAAATTACCTTTGCTTCCGTATAAAACAGGAAATATGGTACATAAACAGGCAATTCCACCGACCAACATACTGGTACAAAGTAAAGTTTTTCGTCCCATTCTATCCAATAACAACAGACACAACACATATGCTATAGTTTCTACAACATTGCTTATAGTAAAGTTCAAATAGATATTTCCACCAAGATTACCCACGTTTAGTCCTAGCCCATAGAAAACCATATTCACAACAATCCTGTCAATAAAATATACAACTTGAAGGGATTGTTAAGAGGTTTCTAAATTTTTTATGTGTATCGAGGGACATTAATAGCATCTATTTGCACCTTTCCATTTTGGATCGTTACTGCAATTCCACTAAAAAGAAGAGTTTGATGACGTCACTAAGTATTATTCTTGATACAAACTTCTCAACGCTTTTAAACAAAATGAAGATTAAGCAACTTCGATGAAAAATTGATATTGTGCAGTGTTAAAAACCCCAGTCGACAAACTGATAGGTAGACAAATCTTCTGTACAAACGTATGCATATAGCACATGTCAATTGGCTACAACGGTGCCATACCAGAGAAACCAGAAACAGGAATAGCCCTGCCTTAAATTCGGTGCCAGGGTCCCGTTTCACAAAAATTTAAATTTTGTCGTCAGTATTATATTTCTGAACGTAAAATTTCTAAAATGAAGAAACAGATTTTACATGACACGCTTTGATTGGTTATGATAACGTCATTAGAATGGGACTGCTGAAGGAAATTGTCAGATTGCAATGGAGACGAAAAATATCAGGAAAAAAGTAAAAGAAAAACGGAATCAGATTGATAAAAGAAATCTCTAGAAGGAACAGTCTTACCAATTTAAGAAAATAATTAAGGATCTTATTATTAAAATAGGTGATGTAAACATTTCCCATATCTGTAACTGTGGTTGGTCGTTATCTTTAATGTCTAAAACTTCATCTAGTTGAGCAGTAAGTTCTATTTTATTTACTTTGGCTGCCTTTCGTAAAATATCTTCTGCCTTTTTACGTTTACCACAAGTCAACAACCATCTTGGTGATTCTGGCATGAAACTAAAGTAATAATTGAAACGGCTACATACCAGGCCCGTAGCCTTGATTGTTCGTAAGGGCAAAATATATCTAGAGAGGCAATGTTTGATGTTCAGTTGCTGTCATGGAATTGGGTAGATATCCTATTTTTTCTTCGGGGGAGGGGGAAGATTTGACCATTTTCTTGCAGTCTCAGTCAACAATGTGAACGTTGCCGATAGTTTAACCTATTGTAGATAACACTATATAGGGTGGAAAATTCTGTCACAATCTATTTCCTTCTCCACCATTTTGAATTCTGTCTACAAAAGCTTTTTTTTCGGCACACTTGGAACGCATTCTGAATTCTGTTTCAACTTGTTAAATTCCATTAATCTAGAACGTACAGAACTCACCAATCGAGCGGCCCCCATGTTTACTTTAAAAATAGATTGATGTGATCTTACCAGAATATGAAGATATACAGTAGACATGGTACTGATATAGCTATCTGCAGATATTGCCAAGTCCTTATGAAATACGCTAGAAATGATAACGTAAATAATCCAAAAGACCAAAAAAATAGTTGTACCACTCCAACAAAGGTTCTCTTTGATGAAGGCACCAACTCCATTACTAAAACCAGAAAAAAACATATAATGAAAATTACTATAAAACAACCTATTTAGACAAAATTTCTACTAAGTAACAGTGGTGTTTCTTTGAATGAATCTAGAAGAGGCAGAGTAGCGGCCACAAAATAGGTCTTGGAGATCCAAGGCATGTCTTTCCTTCTGTAACAGATAAATAATTTGGGTGTTGAGTTGAACCAGTCTCAGTTCTTTGAGGGTGGGAAAGGGAGGAGGGCATAACATGCATATTTATAGCTAATAAATACATATTATACAAAATTTGCATAATTACCTAACACAAAGCAGGCCATATGCGAACCAATTGTTGCCATACCATTGATAAACCGTATTACCACAAAACTCCAAAATGAAGAAGCAAATGCCAATCCAAAAGAACTTGCAATACACAACACTCCAGAAGTAATAGCAGCTATCCTTCTTCCAAACCTAGATTGAAAAATAATTAATACATTTTATGGATGGGGTAGAGTGAAGCCCTCATTAGGGTTGTATGAAAGGGCAAGGAAATCCAACGCAATACCTAACACTGTGGGATCCCATTCCATAGTCGTTTTCAGCGATGGTTCTTTACATGGCGTCATTTTCTTGGTTGTATCGAATAAATCTTTGTCGTGGACTCTAATCTCGGTCGTCGTGGAAAAGTCCGATAACGTTCATTCTCCCAGTGAAGCATCTGTCGTTGAATTGATGAAGTACGACACTATAATGCAGTGTACAAGGATAGAAATGCTGCTAGGACAAAGACACATGCCTAATCTTGTTGATTTGTCTGGGGATCATTAACTTGAGCAGCACATAAGGTTATATGGGTTTGTGTGTGTTTGTGTGAAATAACTAGGACTCACGTCTTTTACAAGAACTGAGTAAAACAAAGTATGAAATAAAACATATTACATGTCGGAATAAAGTCCAAACGCCAACGAGCCAACCATGATGCCAGCCATTAAAACCATATTGGCATGGGACCTGTATACTGCTTTGTCACACACCATGTTGGTCTAAAATATTTAATTGAAAAATCAAACTACAAAGGAACATCTTTCATTTGGATAGTGCTTGGTATGTAATAGTACATGTATTAGCTAAAATAGAATAATTAAACCTATACACAACCATTTACTAAGTTCAAAGCAAAGCAACAGTACAGTTCAGGAAAAAGACATAGAGAATTTTGGTTAGTATTTTACGGGTCCGCGACATCTGCGAATCATTGTCACCGAAATGATGATTGATCATTGATAGAGTAATATAAAAATTTAGCCTTCTGACAATAACGTCAATGTTTTTGTTTTGTACGTTTTATGTGTCAACGATATATTTGTAGTCTGTAGGTCTGTTTTTTTTTATTAATGTGACTGGCAGATCAAGTCTAAAATATAAACTAGTAAATCTCGTCTATCATATCGTTTTTCAAACTTTTAGATCTATATATACTGTCAGACTATATCTATGTACATATAACTAGGCTAAATGAGCACAATATTATTCATTGTTTTGCATTACTATTTTCTGTGCCTTTTTATCACTTAATTTCTATGTTTAAATGTGAATTTTATTTCACTATTTTTATTTATTTGGAGGATCATGTATTATCATCTCTTATATTTTTATATTGAATATAAGGTTGTTAATTAATTTAAATTTTTGACGTGAATATTTTTTTTATCTAAGCCAATTCAACGCCACGTGTGTCCAGAATTACCCGCTTTTGAATGTGAAAATGACGACTCGTCATTTTAACTTACTCTGTGGTATATAGAAAAGAATGTTGAGTAATTCTGAAGACTATTTACATATTTTCCAGATTCAAATGAGGCTACTGAGGTAATTATGATATTGATTCTGATATCAGAAACAAAGCAACTGTGGGTTACTGATGGTGATAATGATGTTGATATCAGAAACAAAACAACTGTAGGCTACTGATGGTAATTATGATATTGATGCTGATATCAGAAACAAAGCAACTGTAGGCTACTGATGATGGTCTTGATGGTGATAAAAGAAACAAAACAACTGCAGGCTACTGATGGTAATTATGATATTATAATATCTAATTAGCTATATCAGAAACTAGCAACTGTATGCTACTGATGATGATGTTGATGGTGATACCAGAAACAAGCAACTGTATGCTACTGAGAATGGTGTTGATGATGATATCAGAAACAAAGCAACTGTAGGCTACTGATGGTGAAGTTGATGGTGATATCAGAAACAAAGTACCTGTAGGTGTCTGATGGTGATAATGATGATAATTGTGATAGTGAAACAAAGTAACTGTGGGTTACTGATGGCGATGATGGTGGTGATGGTATTGATGATGATTGTGATAGTCAAACAAAGCATCTGTATATGTTTCTAATCGAGGCGATGAAGAGAATGAGGATCCACTTACCTGCGTTATGAAGGTGTCTACAAATGTTGATGTGTCGTACACCCATTCATTACAAGATGTAGTAGAATAATTTTGGCTCGACACTGGATAATCGTCAATGGTACTGAGGTTGATATATCTCTGACAACCAGACCATTTGTCTTCTATCCGCGGTATCGTTAGGTTTACATAATACTCCGTGACATCATCGTTTGGGTAATAATTGGTATCATTAAACTCTTTAGGAAGTCGACATCTACCAATAAAAAGTTTCAGATATTTTATACTATATCAAGTAGGAAAAAGGCTTATAAGTTTTCATATGTGTATTCAGAGGCAGATTCTCTTACACCATGCCGCTTTTCCGTCTGGCTATTTCCACTTATGTCAATACTTATACAAAGGCTTGTAACTTTTGTTACCCCTTGTGCAGAAATGATATATTTTCCATTTGAGCATTTTGGACACCTTTCGGACATTATATATTAACTGAATTCCTGGGCATATTTCTAACGAAACACAAAGAATAGCCAACAACGTGTTGTTAATTGCAAAGTCTGTGAGTACAGGGTCAAAATATCATCTGAGACTGATAGGAGAGCATTTGGGCTGTGAAATAATTTGCACAGAAATTAAATCAATAAAAGCAGATTTGGTAATTCAATAAATAAAAAAAAAATGGTTTTAGGTTTTTTTTGTTTTTTTGTTTTTGGGGCTCCAGCTCCAGCGATTATGAACTTCTCCGACCAGCCTATCTTGCTCAAGTGTTCTAGTGAAAACCCTTGTTCATGGTTTTGCATTGGTTACGCTGGTATGAACTTAGTAGCAATCCTTACATTGAATAATACGTTACCTATAATTTGGTATAGCCAATATGAAAATCGACGATAATATTAATAGAGCATCTAAAAATGAAGGTATACACGACATGAGAAACAAACGTTTCTGATAGGTACCAAATCCTCCCAATATGTCCACAACTTTGTCAAACTTCATTCTGTATCGCGTATGGGTGCAACAACTTGCTTTATGTATGTTGGTCTTTTTTCTACAACCCTACAATGTATTTTGTCAAAAGGTTAATTTGATGAACGTTCAATAAGACCTTAACTGAAGTGGCTACATTGCATATAAAAGCTAAAGATGAAACGGAAGTTTCGTCTAATTTTAATTAGATAATTTGTTAGATTGATATACATTAGTCTCACGTCTGTACAGTTTATTTCACCAGAGGACCTCACGGACGAGATGAACCTTTGCTATGACAAGCTGGACAAGTTTGATACGCGATTGTATGGCATTTGACCTCCTAGAAAAATGGTACGTACCCCAATTTGCCTTTACATCATTTCTAACAATTGTAAAAGTATTATTATAATACATTTTTTCGCCCAGAATATGTAACAGAATGCGCCATTCAGTTCTTCATCTAAACAAAATTCTTGAGGAAGAACCATAGGAGATTTCAACCTCAATAATCCGTCCCCTATCTGTACCTCCAGTCTCAGAACGTGTTGAGATGTAGAAAAGCGATTTGATAATTACCTTTACCAAGCATTTATCAGTCCAACGTCAAGCAGTTTGCTCTATTTGAACAAAGTCTACTGCAGAGTAAATTCTTGTGCAGTAGACCAAGAGTATATTACACCCTCAAATAGTTTCGGATCAGTCGAGTGAAAATTATAATACAATAGTTTCTATTATATTCTGTGCTTTCATAAAAGTGATTGTATTTTTCATTGTCGAAAATTACATACACAAATATTATGAATTTGTCCCCGCTTTACGCCATTCTTTACATTAGCGACATACTATAACTATTATCGCCTATACAAACAGTTAAACTGTAACGTTGCAGCGTAATCTTTTTACTTTAACCGATGTTGATCAATCCTATTAGTCAATTTAATTTGAAACCAAGATTTTATTTGTATCCCCCACTCTCCCCACCATATAACCATGGAAGCCTGTACAGACAATAACTTAGTTGATACCCCATACGAATAATTACTCGGACACTCTGTTTTGAAATTTCATCGCTGGTTGAAGGTCACGACAGATTCCGAAAAGTCATAAAATAGGGGTAGCTAATGCCAAGTATTATCGGTCAGGTGTGTCTCTTCCACTGTTGGTTCTATTATGTTAGGCCACAACAAAAAGGGTAGCTTCAAAGCGTAGGATTTAAGAGGAAATCTGTCGTATAGTCTTGACACCATTAATCATTTTGGCCAAGTTTAAATATTTCACATTTTTGGTCATCCTAAGGAGTAGTATAGTTTGATTCAATTGTGTAAGAGGAAATGATAAAAACATCATTCGTAACCATTAGATACATGTAACAGTAATGGTAAGATTTCTTACTTAATAATCACAACTGTACTTATGAAGCATTTTAGAGTCGTTATTGAGATCAAATAGGTCGTGTCATAGACAACTCACCAACGTAAATTGGTGACAATCTAACTCACACCAGTGAAACGCTTTAAATGATTGTCATTGTGCATTAATTTAAGATCGATAGAAACAATAACTTAGAACTTGCCAACCTGTTTATATTTGTTTCATTATGTTTATATATCGAAACACGACAGAAAACACTGTTTAAGATCATTAATTTCATTAGTGATGTTTATATGATAATGGATTTATTCACCTTACAACGGTTCGTCAAGATCGCCATCTTTACCAACTACATACGCAGGACCGCTACAAAGATCAAAAAAGTCAGCTTGTCATACCTCAAGGATTCACAACAGACATATACAGCTGATTGATTCTGTTTTAAGTTTGCCCGAAAATTCCACGATGAATTAAACTTTTGAAACGTCCCGATTGTCGTCCTTAAACGCCTCTCATCGTTCCAAATCACATCTCATCGTCATGAATCCTTTCTAATCATCCTAAATCGACTCTTTTTTACCCGATTGAATACCGACCAATGGACCATGGCATGGGGGGTGTGAATCATGGACGTTCCCGGAACGCAAAAGTACGAAGGTACAACCCAAACGCCCGATGGAGGCTCGCTTCCAGTGAGTGTGTAAGCAATCTGCGCGCGTTGTTCGGTTGAGAGGGGTTGAAAATTGAAGACATTTGTCGAATGAAGATTACCATGAAAATTTTGAGCTACTAAAATTGAAAGTAGACTACTACCGGTTCTACTCATCCGCTAGAGTTTGGCACTTCACAAAACAACTATTTTTAGATTTCGGGGAAGGGAGGGTTTGATTTCTGGAAAAAGTTGTAGAAGGTTGAATTTCATGTTTTAACATGGGAAGAGATGGCAAATGAATTAGTGGAGTGAGTCCATATATCCAATTGAGCGCATAGAAATTGACTTGCCCGAAGATGAAACTGCCAAATTCCGTCAATCTAAGGAAGCCCATTGGATTGAGACATTGAATACAGCAAGACCTATAGGACTAAATATTCACCATAATGTAGGCATAGCACCCTTTGTTGTCCCGTTCAATACAACCAGCAATCGAGCAAGCAAGATAGTTCATGCCCACTATAAGAGCCTTCAAGAGAAATTCCCCCATGTCTATAAACAGAAAATGATAGTTGCATATTCAAAAAAAAAAAAGAACTTTTAAAAATGTTATTACTGTTCATAGTAAACTAAAAACAGTCAGTACATAATAGATACTATACTTCTAATTTTTCTAATTTCAGATCAGAATCAGAAGAAAACCCAATATCAAGACTCTTAATCCTAATTTCTAAATAAAGTGTCTGCTCCGCCCTAGGCCTGTACATTTGGGAGAATCAAACCCTCCCTTACCCGAAATCCAATTTAAAGGGAGGTAACTGACTACAATATTTGTTATTAATATATTGTTCAATATATTGACCGTCGAAATTTTAGCCTTCAAATCCATTTGTGTCCATTTGTGTTAAAAAGACGATTCGTCTTTCCTTGAGACTTTACCATGTATAGAAAAGACATATAGGCTCAATAGAAATAAAAAGAGAAATCCCTAGTTTAAGGTTTTAAGGAATCATGTAATTTCGAAATCTCAATTGTATATCAATATATAGATTTCTAATGAGCTCATAATATGCTTATTTGTTCTATTATTTCTTCTTTTTGTTCATCCTGGTAATTCATTAGCCTTATTATTCATTATTATAGATATCAGGATTTGTTATTGCGTCTTTTTCACTCGTAATTTGACTCATATTGTGTTTTTTTTTCTATTCTGTTTTTAATTTCTTTTCGTATTTCATGTATTTTATGTGAAAATTTGCCTCATTAAATAAAAAGTGAAAGAAGCAAAAGCGATTTGGACTTTTTATATTTATCCAATATATAGATTTATGGTAAGAACTAAGTAGGTTTAAAAGTTGATGTAATCGATTAAATTTTTTGTTTTGTCCAAACAAAGACATGATAAATAATATTAAGAAAAACAATTTTTGCTCACGTTTCTTATAATTTTTGTGGGTGTTAATAATGCCCACCTCTTTCTATTCGAGTTTATTGATCACTCAAGCATTTTGGTACAGCTTTTTTTGGTGCTCATTTTTATATCAGAACATTCAACGTTAAAAAAATGAGCTACCCGTGTTTCATAAATGAAGCTCGGTATTCCTGTCTGTATTTAAAGTTTCTTCCTTGAGCTTCAGTGCCTTTGTAAATTCAATGTTGATGAATCCACGGATTTTAAAATGACTGATCACTAAACAAAAGATTTCAAAGGTTTATATATTTATCGGGGCACTTGTAGCTTCTATCATTCCGATTTCCAGCCCGAAGCTTGTGGTTATCGTCAGTCCATAAAACTAGACATGAGTTTTAAAAGGACAGATTAGCCATTTTCAATGGTTGGTCTGGACCTTAAATAGAACTGAACGAATGTGGCATAATTCTTTCAAAAAGACCTCAAATAAGAAATTTTACTTTTGATTAATTACTTCCGGAAATGCCGCATCTATCCCTTTAAGTCAAAATCAGAAATATTTACAAGTATTTTATAAATGTTCCTAATATACATACTAAGGTCAGAAAATATCTTTTGATTCGTTGTATTATATAGAACCTGAAATATGTTGTTACTATTTCTATATCGCTCTACAAGTGATAAATTGAGCACTAATATACATTTGAAATATTTTGTTAAACAAATTAACTTAAATGTTTTATTTTCATTTAAATGCAATATAGTTTAAAATACTCGATCATGCTAGAAGGTCAACTACCACTGACGGCTTTTAACATTTATTTCCAACCAACTTAAAGATGAATATAAAATCCGATGAAAGCTAAATTAACTTAAACTGAGAGCCATCAGCTATGTAAGCAAATGATAAAATAAGTCAAGATAAAAATGATAATAACTCGAATCCGCTTAAGTCCGCTTGTCTTCTTTCATTTCAAATGATTCTTTGTGGTTTCCTTCTCGAGATCCACATCCTTCTGTCAAATAATATTTATCTTTTTGGTTTTTCCTAGAAGCAAAATATGACATTGTCTTATACAGTATCAAATTGATTTCTTCTTATGTTTATCAAGATATTTGAATAGATCTAGGTTATTTTTAAAGTTCATTTTATATTAGTTATAGGTATTATAGAAGATACTCTCCTATAGCAGCACTGGCCTAGGTCACAAGTAGAGACTATGGATTTCAATTCAAACAGAATATGTTTTACTGAAGATTATTCATGGATTACTACTGTAAGTGTTAAAGATGGGTTCCCTTATTTTTATTTATGAAAATGGAAATTCTAAAGACTTTGAAAAATACCAGTTTGTCTCACATGCCCATAATTAATTCATAAGTAGCTAAATTAGAAAAGTATTACCATGAGAGTGACCGATCAAGAAAGGTCAAAAAGTATTTTTTTGTTTATCCAGACTGTACTAACATGGACATTTGTGATTGGTTCAAATTCTTAATTGTATGCAATAAGAACATAATGATATGATTAAAAACACATGATAATTCACCAGAAAAACCAATTAATCAAATTGTTTGCTTAATTTGACACTAAAACATAAGGAAACCCATTTTTAAGAGAACCATTCGACAAATTTTTGATAAATTATACAAATGGTAACGGCAAAACAGTTCTACAAAATGGGCTGATGAAGGCGGGATCTATCATGCAGAAAGAAAATTTTGTTCTTTTTTGATATTTTAATGCGCTCAGATTATAATGTAGATGCCTATGCTTTTCCTCCATGTATTCTTATTGCCGTTAATAATTGTGAACGCGATGAATCAAAATTCGACTAGAGATCGAGCAAATATCTCACAAACTTCAAGCTAACTGCCTACTTTTCTTGTATCACGGAATGCAAATATTTGATTGGATTTTATGCAAATGGTTACAGCCAATCAGAGTCCTTGACGGATAGCTGTAAGCAATAATGTATACAATCTTACTGTCGATGGCTCTGATCAACTGTGATCGCAATGCATATCCTTGATTTGATTGTATGCAATAGAATACAGCTAATCAGAGTTCTTGACAGAAAGCCTGTAAACAGTAATACTGTTTGATTGGCTATGTTCGCTTGCGTTCAATCCAGTCAAATCTCTGCATTCCTTGATACAAGAAAGGTGGCCATTGCTTTCTGTAAAAGTATAAGACGAATTTCGTAATAGCATGATATTGTGAAGATGATATATCACCGATCCGTGTGCTTCCAAGCGTAATTCATAACAAATATTGTTACCTTCCAAATGATTTAGCATCATCAATGGTTTCCGGAAGATTTTTGTTGAGCGTCTCTGGTAGAAGCAAGGAAAGCAACCCTGCTGATAATGCTGCACAACCAAATACGATCAATGGTAGGGCTTTACCAATATCGCCTTTAAAATATGAACCCTAAAGAAAATAAAAAAGGACACAATAAAATGCATCTTGTAACAAAATCAATAGAGAAAAAATTCACAAATTTTTAACACAATAAACTTTTAAAAAATACATTCTATAAATATTGAAACATGACTTGAATAATAATCAATAAAATAGTATTGAAATATTTTAAACAAATTCAAAGAGCCAAAAAAGAAAAAAAAAGAACACAAATATAGGTTTTCATGTAGATTCTGAAGTTGTCCATGTTTCGTAATAATTTCAAGGTAGATTGAGACGAAATTTGACACATTATTCGATTTGTGTTACCTATTGCACGAAGAGATACTTGTTTGAATCAGTGTTTATACAAATATGTTACCCTGCACACACTGCTAAAGGTTTGGTCGACTAACTCGGCGAATTTCTTAAGGGTCATTCATTGCAGACTAAATTTGTATTGTGTTTCATGGATAATGATAGCTTAAATTGCACCATTCCAATATCTTCAATCAGACGTCTGTGGTTCCTGCAATTCCACTAAAATTGGTGTTTCATGACGTCACTAATTGCGAAGGCCTTAAGTGATACAAGACGTCGTCAAACACTATCTATGTTGCATTGTAGGAACCACGAACGTCTGACTGAAAATTGGAATGGTTCAAAGTGATGCTATTAGAGTCCCCGAAACCTCTTTACTATCTGTTTAAGTTATTGAATTAAAGTCAATAAAAAATAAATTGTATGTAGCATTTTAGATTAGAGCACCGAATGTCTCTATTTGCATTATTCTTATTTTTCGAAATTGAAAAATTAGCCGGATCCAAAATGTCCGGATTACAATCTACTTGCACACAGAAAGAACTTCAAAATCTCTTTCTGATCTATGTAAATCACAATTGCTGCCTTTGACATTGAGAATGTAATTGTTGTAGTTACCAAATCTGCAATATATGGACATATAATACCTCCAATACGGGCTGCCATAGAACTAGCTCCCATACCAGAGTTTCTTACTACAGTAGGGTATAGTTCAGCTGAGAATATATAAACGGATCCAAAAGCTGCAGAAACTCCAAATTTTCCTACCATAGATAGTGTGATTGTTATCCATTCATGAGCTGAAATTGAACATTATTTGCTGCTTAAACGACTTTTTGCGCATGTTTATTACAATTTAGTGAGTGGTTATATAGCTAACCTTTTACTTGGTGTGTTTCTTGATCACTCAAGCATTTTGGTCGATAAACCTTTTTTTGTGCACATTTTTATATAAGAACGTTCAACTTAACGATCAGCAGCCCTTGTTTACCAGTAATGCCATCCCGTCACTTGAACTATTTCTGTCCGCTGTATACGAATTTCGACGAAGGGTTCGGGGTGCCTTGTCGAAGGTAGAAGATTTAAAATTATCAAAAAATTGGCATCCATAAATTTCCGTAACATGTACGTGCCACTTGCGTAAACCACTTCTGAACCTTGTGCAAACTCTGCACAAATACTACGGACGTTGAATGTTAAGTTAGAATTCAATATCAAGTCGTGTGACACGCATTCCGACATCAATTGAGTGGCATTGACAATCGTGCGTGTGTCAGGGTGATATAAGAATCTGCAACGCGACCTTTCCTACAAGACTTCAAGGATCTTCCACTGTCGACTGCAAAGATGATAAAAAATTCAAAACATTTGATTCGATTACATTGTCCCATTCAAACAATTGTCTGGCTTGTTTCCTTCATTCGTTTATTTCTTTTATTGGTTATACTTACACTTATCTCCATATAAAACAGTAAATATGGTGCAGAGACAGGCCACGCCGCCTAATATCATACTTGAGCAATGAAACGCTTTACGTCCTATTCTGTCTAAGAGAAGTATGTTGGAAAAGTAGCCAAGGAACTCCACAAGACTTGCAACTGTGAAGTTCAGATATATATTACCGCCAAGGTTACCAACATTCAGGCCCAACCCATAATATATCATACTAACAACGGCCCTGTAACACATTACACATATTTAACACTGTTTATTTTAATAGAAAGTTGAGAAATATATAATACTACTGTATTATACGTTTCAGCTAGAATATCGGCTGAAGATAAATATTTGTAAGGCTATCAATGTCCCCGGTAATACAAACAGAGGGTAAAGAAATGCTGATCCTCAAAGGTCATGGCATGAATGAGGACATGGCTTTTCGTTTCCTGTCGAAATGGGTCGCATGGATAATTGGTTTTAAAGGGACAGATGCGCCATTTTTTTTACCAATCGTACCTTAGTCTCAGAAAAGAGAATTTTTTTTAAAGTTTTCACATTTGAGTCTTCAATCCATGTGTGTCCAGAATTATCCGCGTTTGAAGTTTAAAAAGACGAGTCAACTTTTCCTGAAACACTGCCATTTATAGAAAACACATCTATAGAAAAAGGAAATGAAATTCCCAGTCTGGGATATTTTTGCAGGAATTATGCGATTTTCGTACATTTCTAGCACTTCTGCAGACTATTTCATAATTATATTCAAGACTCAAATCAACCCCTAAAAATGGCGCAACTGTCCCTTTAAGAAAGATCACTTTAACATTTTAGAATTTAAGTCATATTCCCAAAATGAAATGAATCCTAAATGGTTTGCTCTGAGTTTTGTGGAATCTAGAATATATTTACCAGTTATAAAGAATGACCAGTGTTCTGATCAGTAGGACTGGTGAAGTTAACAATTCCCATACTGAAGATTTTGGTCCATTATCTAACGTATTTTCATCAAATAATTTGGTCGGTAGTTCCACTTTATTTACTCGAGCAGCTTCTCTCAGAATTTTCTCAGCTTTATCTGTCTTACCACGTGATAGTAACCATCTTGGTGATTCTGGTACAAACCTTTAAAAACAAAAACAAAACAGAAGAAATATTTTCTCTTAAGAACGATCGTTTTATATATTATACAACTTTGGAATGACTAATTTCTACTCCAAAGAATTGTATTTACCGGAACTCTTTACGATCTAGCAATTGGTCATGCCATTGAACTTTCCCCGATTAACCGTACCCATTTGTTGTTTGGTCGACAGGCATAATGAGGAACGATGGCCACATTTCAGTCGCTGACGAGATTAAAGTCCACAACCGGGAAAAGAATAATGCAACAAGATTGTCCACTTTAACAACATTGAAAGTATTGGATCGCTTTATGGTTGGATACGCCGATCGTTATTTTCTATCGATTTCAATGTTACAAACAAAATTAAGGAAGAGGTCTTATATTTCTAGTATATCTAAAGAGTGTCTAATTACATTAAGTATGAATTTTGCATAAACACAGGTTATGCATTACACCTATAAAACAATTGGTATTTTGTTTTGAACAAACACCAAATGCAGAGGTGTTACAAATAAATATTATACTATATATTATTGAGAGATAGATTATATATTATTGAGACAATTCTTACCAAATTATCCCAAGAAGAAAAGCTGTGGGAATAGCACATACTAATTGTAGATAAAACCAATCTCGTATAAGATAAGCAAGAAGGGCCAAAATAAACAGTCCGATACACCAGTACAGTTCTATGATAATTCCAGTAAATGTTCTTTTAAATGGTCCTACAAATTCCATACCTAAAATAACCAAGATTGTCATTTTCTTGAAGATATTATTTGATTCAGTTTAAATATAAGTGATGATCAGCATAGTTTTGGTACCACGATGAACGTTGAAGCAGAATTATTAAAGGTATCAAGTACCAGACAACAGCTGGAAGATGGGAGTTATTACCTGAAGTACGGTACATAACTTTCTTTGCATGAGTCACATTGGTATTGTAGACGAAATGTCAGAACAAAATCCCACCCAGAGCAGAGCAGTAAGACTAATTTTCGGCAAGTCACTTACGTTGCCTCCGATAAGATAAAAATAAATACTTACTTATTACAAAAGCTGCCATGAAAGTGTTGCCAAGACCAATCATAAATCGAAATGCAGCAAAAATTATAAAATTAGGCGCAAAAGCTGTACCAAACGCACCAATAATGTTGATAAATAGTGACAGTACAAGAGTAATCTTTCGACCAAATCTTAGAAAAGATAAAACAGAAAAGATAGAACACAGAGTATACGGTTATTATCCAGTAAAAACAGGAAGTCATTGGCGAAGCCAATTTCTAACCTAGTTGCCCGAAAAAATTGTATTCGGGGCTGCACACTCGCCCACCTCTCCTTTTGGCTCCGCCAATGACTTCGTGTTTTTACTGGATAGTAACCATATACTTTGTGTTCTACGCGCTGTACACGACCATTTGGCAAAGATCGAATAATGCCTTTGTTCTTGTTAAATTTCCTCCATTGTATCATTGTGTCCTTCATGTCAACTCCAACGAAGCAGAAAAACATTTGATATTTCATTTGACATGTCTACAGAAAGTGCAAACTCTGGTTTATATCATCAAGGAACGTTTCAAGGGAATCTTACACATCTGATATGATACCACAGCCAATGGAACCAATTAATCTACCAGCAAATACTGCCATATTACCATGTGATCTATAGCTCTCGTATTCACATACCAAATTTTGCTGAAAAATACCGTCTCATAATGGTAATTGCTTAAAGGTGAAGTCTGATTGATTTTTCTTATTAGGTTGGGAAAGTTAACGAAAACTACAGACCGAAATATAGAAATATGTTTAGCTTACCTTACCTGAAAATAATTATGAGAACGCAAAAAAGTGTTTATAATGTTTACGTAAACCTTTTTAAAATCGTTCTGTTTTTTGGCTGGTGTTGGACAATTAATGTATAGATTGAACGCCAAATATATGTCTCCTATATACCCAATACATTTATCTAAAGCTTACTTCTGTAATGAACGTATTTCGAAAGGTGGATGTATCATAAATCCAGTCATCAAAGTCAACTTTGCTAGTATTTGTAAAGACAGGGGAATCTGGCTTTAAATTGGTTAAATTCACGTCATATCTCTCACATTGTGACCATTTACCATTATCTTCTGGTATTGAATGGTTGACATAGAAGAGAGTTTTATCCTCTAACGGTTTGAATACTGTATCATTGTATTCTGTTGGTAAGCGGCATCTATAATGCAAAGATTGGTAATAAAAATGAATGGGACGGTTTTTATATGCGTACATTAGACCCTCGTAGCTTGTATTTCCCGTTTTACGCCTTTGGTAGCAGATTACTGAAAAGTATGTCCAGATGGTGACGCAAATACCATTTGATTTGAATGAAGACGAGAATATCGTATTTGACTAATGTGGCATTTTCAATAGTGATGTCATAACCTGCTCAAGTTTTTCCACCACGTTGAAGGGAAATCAGAATTATGTAAATAATTTTTAAGTCTCCTCGATTCTCATGCAAAAGACAGAAAAAATCCGGAAAGAAAATTTCTGCTCTGAAATCACAATAAATATGCAAATTAAATTAATTTTCAATTTTAACCAAGGATATTTAACATCCCAAATACAATGTCAGCATTGTTCAAAATTAGAAATATAAAAACAAATGTTTACTCGTATTTTTATGTATAGTTAAACATGACATAGACTTTCTCTTCATTTATTATTCATAACATCAAGTTCGTTGTGTTTATATGTTCAGATTTATAACAAAAAGATTTAAAAATCTAATAAACCTCATTTTATACCTTAGTAGGCAAATCTATAATCAAATTTCTTAATACATTAATATCCCTCAGTACATAGCATCTTATATCTCATAAATTCTTCAGTACATAATATCCTATAACTTGTAGATTTCTCGTTATACAGCGTCCCATAACTTATATACTTCTATAATCAGAATATCGCGTTCCACGTCTTTTAAAACCCAAAAATACCTCAGCACATAGCATTCCATAACTTATAGACTTCTAGGTAAAAAAACGCCCCACACCTTTTTAACACCTCGCAACATAGCATCTAATATAATAAATCATAATTATTTCAAAAATAGCACCCAATATGTAATTAATTTCTCAATGCATAGCACTTAAAATTTTATAATTATCTGATAAACTCTTCAATTTATATAGCATATTTTATAAATGTATAGCTAATGCTGTTTATAGCAACCCGTATCTTATAAACACATCAGATGTATACATTACATCCAATGTTTTATAAACTTCTCAGTACGTAACATCCCATATCTTATAAACTCATCAGTACATAACATCTCATATCTTATAAGCTCATCAGTACATAACATCTAATATCTTATAAGCTCATCAGTACATAACATCTCATATCTTATAAACTCATCAGTATATAACATCTAATATCTTATAAGCTCATCAGTACATAACATCTCATATCTTATAAACTTCTCAGTACATAACATCTCATATCTTATAAGCTCATCAGTACATAACATCTAATATCTTATAAGCTCATCAGTACATAACATCTAATATCTTATAAGCTCATCAGTACATAACATCTAATATCTTATAAGCTCATCAGTACATAACATCTCATATCTTGTAAACTCATCAGTACATAACATCTAATATCTTATAAGCTCATCAGTACATAACATCTAATATCTTATAAGCTCATCAGTACATAACATCTCATATCTTATAAACTCATCAGTACTCATCAGTACATAACATCTCATATCTTATAAACTTCTCAGTACATAACATCTAATATCTTATAAGCTCATCAGTACATAACATCTAATATCTTATAAGCTCATCAGTACATAACATCTCATATCTTATAAGCTCATCAGTACATAACATCTCATATCTTATAAACTTCTCAGTACATAAAATCTAATATCTTATAAGCTCATCAGTACATAACATCTAATATCTTATAAACTTCTCAGTACATATCATCTAATATCTTATAAGCTCATCAGTACATAACATCTAATATCTTATAAGCTCATCAGTACATAACATCTCATATCTTATAAACTCATCAGTACATAACATCTAATATCTTATAAGCTCATCAGTACATAACATCTAATATCTTATAAGCTCATCAGTACATAACATCTAATATCTTATAAACTCATCAGTACATAACATCTCATATCTTATAAACTCATCAGTACATAACATCTCATATCTTATAAACTCATCAGTACATAACATCTCATATCTTATAAACTCATCAGTACATAACATCTCATATCTTATAAGCTCATCAGTACATAACATCTCATATCTTATAAACTCATCAGTACATAACATCTCATATCTTATAAACTCATCAGTACATAACATCTAATATCTTATAAGCTCATCAGTACATAACATCTAATATCTTATAAGCTCATCAGTACATAACATCTCATATCTGATAAGCTCATCAGTACATAACATCCCATATCTTATAAACTCATCAGTACATAACATCTCTTATCTTATAAACTCATCAGTACATAACATCTCATATCTTATAAACTCATCAGTACATAACATCTCATATCTTATAAACTCATCAGTACATAACATCTCATATCTGATAAGCTCATCAGTACATAACATCCCATATCGTATAAACTCCTCGGTACATAACATCTCATATCTTATAAACTCATCAGTACATTACATTATCATATAAACTCTTATAAAGTCTTAAAAACTCACCAGTACATAACATGCCATATATTAAAAACTCCCCAGTACATAAAATCTCATATCTTATAAACTCATCAGTTCATAACATCTCATATCTTAAAAACTCATCAGTACATAATATACCATTATCTTAATAGCTCATCGGTACATAACATCTCATATCTTAAAAACTCATCAGTACCCAATATACCATTATCTTAATAGCTCATCGGTACATAACATCTCATATCTTAATAACTCATCAGTACATAGCACACCATACCTTATAAACTCATGAACATCTGCTGTCAGTAGACTCAGAAGACGTATCAGTTCAGAATGATGCAAAATATATTTTTTTGGGTTCGAAATTATAGTCTTACCTGTGGTCGGGTATTGTTAAAATGAATACTGTAGTCAGAATTATCATTCCATTTGAAATAGCTGGTGTGCATACTATGTAATATAACTTCTTTTGGTAAGTTCCAAAATCTCCTAGTATGCCTATTATCTCGTCGAATTTCATCTCTGCTAATTTCAAAAATCACCCAAGTTTCGGTGATGATGTAAATATCTAGGTGTGTCAAATGTCTTTAAAAATATACAGATATATACTATGGTATATACTATAACCCTCTTGTAGGTCAATTTTTATACAGTTTTCGAGATAAACGTAACATGAAGACAGTTAATAAATAAAAGTAAGTTTATAAGTAACGACCGTGCATTATTGTCGTATATCATATATTAGGGTTCTATTTCATTTTTTTGGAGGTGGTAAGGGAGTGCTCTATTTGTATAAGCCTGCTGTCCACATTTACAGATCAGTTTATCTCAAATTCAACTATTGAAAATAGCAGTTACATTACAATAGAGCGTTTCATACCGAAAAAAAAACAAGTTTTACGTACTCCCATGCTAATAGGATCTGTAAAACGTTTTTTTGTGTATCAGGGAAACTGATAACATCGGTTTTCGCCATTACAATTTTCAGACATCTATGTTCTTGCAAGCCCACTAATGCTAAGCCAGTTATGGCGTCACACTTCTTTTTTAATCTTAAGTTTTAAATTCATCAGTATCATTTACTTTTGTGACGACATTAAAATCTGCTTTTTCCCTAGAATTGATTTCTTATATCAAAAGCATAATCAAGTTATATTGATGTGATTTACTTCTTTTGTTTATAAGTATATCAATAATGGACAAGTCTGTGGAAATTTCTCAGGTCAGGAAACACCTTTTTTGTTTTAATAATGCGGATGTTTTTATATTGTTTGAACATTAAGATCTTGAGGTTTAAAAATATTTCCGAAGGAAAGTAACCACTTGAATATCTAAAGTTCGATTAACTGTTCCAATGGACGCCTTTGTTTGATGAAGATTGGTACAGTTGAGGTTTTCTTTTTAAATAAAGGAATGTACCGCTGTATGCTAGGCCTAGTTTCTGTCAAATCGGATCATTGAGGATCATTGAGCGTGTTAAAGTAACATTATATGTTTTCAAGACAAAATTTCTTGTCGAAATTGATTTATTAGAATTATTATAAAAAATCAATGTTTCTAAATTACATATTGGATTTATCATTCATACTGTAAAAATTAACAAGAAAACAAGGTCGTATGTAACATGTTCTATGTTATTTTCTATATTGTTTTGCTATACATCTCCAATGATAGATGAGTCAGACGTTCGTGTTGGTCTATGCATGATAATTCTACTTAGCAAGTGATCTTGCTTCAATTAATTATGCAATCAAAATTTTATGGTGAATTTTAACTATCGACCACGAACAAAAGCATTTTAATTCCTTTCTTACTACGGATATAAATTCTACTGCGGCTTGCTCTTGGTACTAATCGGATAAAAGATTAAATTGGATTCTTGCCATCAAAATGGTCGTAATCATCGTTTTGTTCATCACTTTCTGGAATGAAATCACATCTCTGAGAACATCCGGTTATACTCAAACATTAGTCATCAAAGACAAATGTTTCAATCTACATTTTAAAATGATACCGTATGTTAAATCTCAAATGCGCTGTTCTGCATTTTGTTCTCGGGATTCTCGCTGTAAACGTTTCATGCATTGTGGTTCCTCAGCTTCTTCAGCAAATTCTTGCTTCTTTTTTGAAAATGGGAATGATTGTGTCGTAAACGAAGGGACTGGAACAGACTGTAAATGTTTTGTACAAGTAAGCACATTAATATTGAAAATTTTTCTTAAAGGGAATGTAAAGAGGTGTTCTAAATTGTTTATGTGTATCAGGGACATCAATTAGCATCATTCTCTGCAATTCCACTAAAAAAATATCTTTCCCGGGTTATCAAACCCGTTTACAGCTAGATCATCTTACATAGTGAAAGTATGACCTATGCCCCCCCCGCTCGGCCATCTACAATATTGCTTCCTAGAAAGGCTACTGCTGACCCCCTGAACACGGTTATGCTCTCGGATAGTTGATGCAGATTACGAGTATGGTGTTCTGAAGCCACCTATTTATTTCTATTATAATTGAAATAAAGAAACAGGACCTAAAACATGTTGTTACATGTTTCAGGTTCTGTTTTAATATTTATGTATTGCTCTACAATTGATGTTTATAGCAGTATTTCTGACAGTGAAAATATTAGTTATTTTATTAATAATTGTATCACTATTTTTCAGATGTACTCTAACTGTGAAAGCGGCCAATGTGAATGTCCTGCAGGAAAGTATGGAGTTAAATGTCAAGAGGCTATCAAAGGTGAATGTTTTTTTTTAATTTTGCAATTTTGTAAATTTGTCTAGAACGTCATTGAGATTCCCATAGGATGTAAGCATCTTGACTTTCAGATCATTATCAAAGTTACACTTTACGTGAATATACAAATTGATGTGGTTTTCTGTTAATTAGACAGGTGCGAATAGACGAAATTCGGAACTCGTGCAGTGAGAGATTATCGATTTAGTTATTTTAATGTTGCATGTTTATATCCATGCTTTCTACCAATTGTTCCCAAATTCTGTTTAAACTAAGCAATATAAATAAAGAGTTATATAAGGCGAATGAGTTATAAATTCTTGTAAGGGGAGATACCATATATAATTATGTTATTGTGGTCTGGTGGTATAATGGTTGCGAATCCTCTTTCTGGACTTGCAGGAACCACAGTCATCGACCGAAGAATTGGAATGTTCCAAATAGAATAGTCCCCGATACACATAAAAAGGCTAGAAAACCAATTTACAGTTCGATGGACATTGTTATCAGTTTGTTGCAGATATGGTATTTGTAACTATGGCTTTAAAGACGCTTGCTTTCATTCATATTTTTCAGATTGTAGCGACTCGTCTGTACTGTCTTTGTCTGGCAGCGGTTTAGCCTACATCAAACCAACAACATATCCACAGCCATTTGAAGTTCAATGTGATTTTTCTTCTAGTTTAACGTTTTTCCACCATCGAAAGTCGTCTTGCACTCACCTGAATTTCAACAGATCTTATTCCGAATATGTGAAAGGTTTTGGAAACTGTCGTGTTGACTATTGGCTGGGGTTGGAAAAAATCTACGCCATTTTAGAAAATGAGCCAAATTCAAGATTGGATGTAGGGTGGTTTGATGCGAACGGTAATTTTCAAAATTCAGCATACAAAGATTTCAAACTAGGAAATGCCACCACGGACTATGTTTTCTATTCTTCGAGATTTTGGTATGGAGATACCGATGACGCTCTACTATCTCCACCAAGTATTGGTGATCGACCTTTCTCGACGTATGATAATGACCATACAGGTGGCCACAACTGTCCAATAAACTTCGGTGGCGGATGGTGGTATGCTGAAGATGCAAGATGTACCAATGCCAACTTGAATGGGATATTTGATGCTTCTCCTAATGGTATAACATGGCTTAACAATTCTAATTGGAGCCCGTTATCTGATTTCTTTATGCGAATCGGGCCACCTTAAGACTTTTATATCAAAAATGTTTGAGTGTCATCGTAAAGTAATAAACACTTACTTTCTTTTCACAAGAGTAACAAATTGGGTTTTAAAAATTCTTGTCCTAATTCTTGACCCAATTGGGTCGAAAGGCTTAATGAGACGGGATTTTTATTTCAGGTGACACAATTTTCTCGGTTAGGTCAGATGTATATAAAAGTTATAAATAAGTAGATGAATATCATCATTAAATATTACGGACTAAATATGATTTAAGGAGTTATGTTGTCATGTTGTCATGTTGTATATGGTGTCACACGACATTCGGGTCAAATTTGTCCACAATACTACACACTCCCTTTGTTTAAAGGGATTGAAGGTTTTCTAAAAGTAAGTTTGATAACATCAATTTGCACGTCTGTGGTTCCTGCTATTACAATAAAACTAATTGTTTTATGACGTCACTATAATCGCAGCGAGTCACACGTGATAAAGCATGTTTTGCGATTGCTGACACCATCTAACACTTAGTTTTAGTGGAATTGTATGAATCACAGACGTTCAAAATGGTGCTATCAGTGTCCCAGATACACATACAAAATTAAAAACCTCTTTACAATCCCTTTAAATTAGGACATTTGGAATCTCTGGAATTACTGAATTTTCAATATGGTTCATTCTTCAGTGACAATGAAAAATTCCGTTCAAATCCATCCAAAATACAATGCCCCCTTGAAGGTTTACCAGCTTAAAATCTATCTTATGAAGAACAACTCATTTTTTTTAAATGAAACGAAACATAAATTTAATTTTTGTATTTGAAAAATTCACAACATCCATATCCTTCTTGTTTCAATAGTTTCATCTCTTTCTATGAAAATCAATAATCAAAAATATTAGTGATATCAATTTTTGCGCCATATTTTACTTCCGGTTGATCGTCTGGGATTTTACACTGACTCTCTTTTTTAAAAAATCCTTTTGATTTGGAACATTCAATATTTTCTTGAATTGTAAGAAAGTTTTGATAAGAATTAGTCTATGTAGCCAACCCATTCAAATGCAAAGTAATCAAACCCAATGTTGACAGAACAACTCTTCAGCAATATTCGGTTAGTAAGAAAGGCTTTTAGTGTGAAAGAAGAATAGAAAATCTGCGCATTAAAAATCGATTAAAATTTCAGCATCATACAATTTACCCCTAAGCTAAATGAATTTTTAAAAATAGTTGTTTACTGAAGAGTTGTTATGGAACCAAAACTTATCTCATTGAGTTTTCTTTCAAATATGCTTTATGTTATAATCATGGCCATGCCCCACTGATAAGGTGCTGGTCCGGCTTTACCCTCGCCAAATTTTTATCATTTTACATAGTGAAAGAATGGGGCCAAGCCCCCTGGAAAATTTTTTGACGGCTGCTCGTCTCCCCTCACCTGATGTTTCCAGGCCGAGTTGATAGCAATGACTCATGAATCGCCCTGCGATCTAGATGTACTCTTTGAATCTTAAGATCTTAACCGGCTGTATTTGTTTTATCTATCCATACTACAATAAATCACAAAAAAAAAATTTACGAACTGAATTATCTTTACTTCGACATAGATGTTGAGTGACATCTCAAAAACTCAAAAAACCTTCATATTCAATTTGTCCGATTTAAACTTTTTCGATTTCGATACCTTATCACACACCAAGATCCGTTAAATGAATGGAAAACGACACATTCTATCGTGTGAACCAACAGATTGCGTTTTAAAAAAAGTCAAGGGCAATAACTCCAACAACATTGATCTCAAAATCGTCAGAATCGAACTCGTGTAAGATCTATCAATTCTATTGATCACACCAAGATACATCATAATTGTTTAAAGACTCCAATTTCTATTTCTTTCATTTAAGTGCTTTTGAGACTTTTAAACTTAACAACCTTAATATCAACAAAAGAGCTTATCAAGAATTGATCTGGCGACATTGTTGTTCGCAGCAATGCTTCATCAAATCTTACAGCCAATTTGTGAGATTTTCGGAGGGTAACGTTTAATTAGCGTCTTTCAATTAAATGAAAAACGAACAAACACTCTAATTACAAACATTACATACAGTTCAATTTTAATTATAAGATACCCTTTGGGTTTATACATATTTTATACCAAGTCTAATAAAATTTGAATGAAAACTGAAAGAGATAATATAGCATTTTAGTATTCGATGTCATGGGAGACAACTGTGTTTTGAATTTCAGTCGCAACAGCTAACTTTTTCATTTCCCGATCATATCTTTAAGCTATCATGCTTTAATTACACTAAAATAAAAAAAATTGTTTTTTTAAAATAAGACCGCTTGTCCGCCAATTTACTACCAGCAGTCGCCGTATTCGTTGTACAAATATGGCCGTCTCCCACCCAATATAAAAGACACGCCCATCAGGCACTTGATATTAGACCTAGGACTGTCAACATCGATAATCACAACTTATTGTGAATCCAATTAACCTTGAAATTAGCCAACCTTGTCTTTAAAAACAATAAAAATGAAGACAGAGGTAAGAAAATGCACAATTCCACTTTCCTTCTAGTAGTATATGTGTTTTCTGATATAGCGCATCCAGTTTGATCCGGTTTTTAAGATGTCAGGTATATGTCTTTTCGGATATGACGCATTTCACTTCTGCGCAGCTTTTTCAATATCCGAAAAGACACAACTGTTAAAATGTATTATAACAGACTTCCCCAAACTGTTAAAAAATGTATTATAACAGACTTCCCAAACTGTTAAAAAAATATATCATAACAGATTCCTCCAAACTGTTTTATAAATTACCCAAAACCACAGACAAGAATCACTAATAATAATACAGTATAAAATAACCGCATTAAAAATGTCTTTAATTTTAAAACACGAAAAATAAAAATTCGAAGGAGACGGTTTCTTCTCTGCGCTAACATCTCTCATCCCCAAAGTGGCCAATTTTGTCTCAAACAACAAATCCCTCATTTCCTCAGAAGCGCAAGCTCTTGGATCTGTGGCAAAAGCAGGAGTAAATATTAGCGATGCAGTGAAAAAATCTGACGAACTTAAAGAACTGCAGCTAATAAGAGAACTAAGAAACAAGAGACTAGAACGACAAGCCCTAGAAAAACAAGGAAAAGGGTTTAAAATCATTGGATAAAAAAGGCATCCAATCTTTCAATTGTATGATCCGATTCAATATTCGTTCAACAAGAAGAAAGAGGATTACGTAATCATCTCACCATCGGTAGGAACAAAGACCCAAATAAACGACGGAGGAAGAGTTACCTTTGAAATTAATTCGTTATCCAATTGGTTGCTGCTTTCCCATGCCCATTTCCGATGCGATTTCAAAATCAAAGACGCCGCCCAGAATCGAATTCCACAAACCAACACGACTTTAGAAAACAACTTCTTTCCGTCTTTATTCAGCGAAATGGTTTTGGAAGCTGGTTCAAATCCGATAGAGACCATAAAACACCCCGGCGAGTTTGACACAATGTTGAAAACGGTTCTGTATCCCAAAAACTACGATTCAGTTTCGGGATGGATTCCCGATGTCGGTGACGGAGAAGTTTTAAAAGAACCGGTCAGAACTGTAGCAAATGACGCAGACCTTGCTAGGATAAGGGTAGTTGCTAGAAACACACTGGAAAGAGTGACTCGCGGAGTAAATCACGGATTTGAAAAACGAGCGCTTCAATACAACAATGTTGTCGAGAACAACAGATGGGGTAATTACGTAAATTGGAAGTTGTATCCTTTATTTGGTCTCTTGGAACACAGAAAGGTTTCCTTAGGTTTACCGTATAAAATTCATTTGCAAAGAGAAATCAACGACAACAAGATATTCTTTGGTGAAAACAACTCTGACGCAAAATTGGAAATAACGAATATCCAACTTTACATACCGTTAATCACTCCTTTCGTAGAAGTGGAAACGAGAATATTCAACTCTTTAACCAAAGACATCGAAATTGCTTTTCTTCGTTGTAACACGGTAGGTAGCATGACTTTAACGGGAGAATCCACCATGTGGCCAATCACCAACACCGTCAAACCAGCGAGATATCTAATGATCGGTTTCAAAAACTTGCCAGATTCTCAGACAAACAACAACAACATTTTCAGAGTGGCATTGAACCATACTCAAGATCCCGTCAGATTGAACCACGATAATTATCCCAATCAACCTTTGACAATTGATCCTTCCAAAAAAGATTACAACGAATTGTACAGAAACTATAAAAACATGTGCGAATTGTTTGGAAATACGCCTCAGTTTGAATACACAGATTTTTCAATCAATCATCCAATCTTTTGTTTCGATCTGTCAGCTCATCAAGAAGATCTTCTCAAAACAGGAGTAAACATAAATATTCACATCGATAAAACACAAGGAAATGTAACCGGCTACTGTTTATTGCTGGAAGAAGCAAAACATTTGATTAAAATATCAGGTAGAAGAATGATAAGAATTGAATAAAAAAACACCCTTTAAAAATGAAACCAGAAACTTTAGTTATGAAAATAATAGAAGCTATGGAAACGAATTCGCCGTCTCTAATAACTTACAACGGTAAAAAAGTGCATATAACCCAAAAGATTATCGATAAATACAAACATTGCAAAGTCAGAGACGATATAGACTTGGAAAGAATTGATGAGAATTTAACTAAAAAAGGTGGATTTTTACCTTTCTTACCTTTAATCTTTGCTGGTTTAGCTGCAGCTGGTGCAACTGCTGGTGGAGCTGCTGGGATAGCCAAAGCTGTCAACGATAAGAAAGCTGAAGCCGCTGCAAACGCCGAAGCACGTAGACACAATTTGGCAATGGAAAGAGAAGCACGAGGAGGTTCGGGAGTAGGAGATATATTAGGGACGGTTAAAGAATTCGGACAAAGATTTGGCGAAGAAACCAAGAAAACCGTTAAAGAGGGATTAAGCAAGTTAATAGATAGAATCGACACTGGAGAAATGAAGGTCAAACACAAGGGCAACGCCATATTTTTTAAAAACATACGTTCGGGCGAGGGAATCTTCCTTTAAAGTATAAAGGCAACGGGGTGATTTTTGATACGAAAATGTAATAAATAAAAATGGGCAAGAAATTCAAACATTCGGTCATATTTCCTAGTAACCCAATGCTCATGTGCATTTGCGGTAGTTCAGGTTCTGGGAAAACTCATCTCACTTTTAACATGTTGACAACACCAAACCTTTTAGATTTCGATTCTCTGTATATCTACACAACAACACCAGAGCAATCGTATTATCAATTCCTCAAAGCTTTAGAATATTTACCAAAGAAAGACGTTCAAGACATATTTCAATATTACGAGGAAAACGAAGAAGAAGTGGAAATAAAAGATATCATAGAAAACTTCATTAAATCAAAGAATCCATCTTTCAATCCAACGGATATAAAAGTTTTTCTTACGAAAAATGTTAATGATCTAGACTTGTTGAACAAGAATTCTTCACCAAAGGAAGACATCACAACTGTCACTGCATATACCAATCCCAATCTTTTTACGGGATGGATTCTATGTTCATTAGAAAAAATGCAAATTGTTTTTTATTATTTGAATTAAATGATAAAGATTTATCTCAAATCATTCAGTCTATAAATCACGGAATGGATAGAGATACATTTTAAAAAGGTTTGTAAAGCTCGATGGAGAAACCCAGATGATCATGGATATGTATTTGTAAATACTAGAAAACCTGCGGGAGAAAGAGTTATGATCGATATATGTTAATTTTATTTTTTTAAAAATGACGGATTGGAATAATTTTTTAAAAAGAAATAGAGAATATATCAAAGCTAAGAATAAAATAAAGACCCAAGTTGAAAATAACAGATTACAACAACTCGGATTAACGGAAAATCTACAGACTCTATTTCAACCCATATTAAAAAGTCAAGAAGATATTAAAAAGAGACTCGCTATAGAACCCACGCCTCGTATAGAACCCAAACCGATTGAATATAATGGTATTATAATTAGGACATTAAATGATATAAAACGTCTTTTTTCAAACCCTGACCCTTATTTACTAAAGATTTCACCAATCATTGATGATGAGGGTTTGTTGTTTAATGGTTTTAGAATAAGATTTAGCGGAAATTCACCACAATTCAAAATCGGCACAAAAGACTTTATATTTACATTAACGTTAATAGATTTAATGAATGGCGAGGATGTTGAAATTGCCGATTACAAGGATTTAGTAGCATACTCAAAATTTCTACATGCGATCAGAAAGTCAGGACCCGAAACAAGAAGATTGAAAGAAGTTGATTTATATATAACAAAAGTTATTGAGCAAGAGGAGGTAGATGATTATGCAGAAGATTATCCACCAATCATACAAGAAATAGATATGATATGGTGGCATCTGGACAAGGTATAACGTTTTTATCCGACAACAATAAAGAATTGCTTAATAGATTAGAAATAATATTAGCGGCCATGAAGGAAGGTCATCGATCGGACAGACAATACAACGAAGTCAATGGCATATTAAAACGACTTTTGGAGAAAAAAATCATCACTAAAAAAGACTATAAAAACGTCATTAAAAATGTCCAATAAAGAACAATTGTTCGTTATCACCTCGAATAAATCAGACATCAAATTGTCTCTAGACTACGAGTATGAACTCGATCGCAATAAACAGTACGAACTGGGATTAAAGTATTTCTCCGTTTACAATTCCATTAGAAACATCAACGAAAAAAACAATCAACTAAAAATATCGACGGATAACGGAGTTACGTTCAAAACCATAAGCTTACTAGCGGGAAGCTACGAATACGTAGCCATCAACGATTACCTATCCGAATACGCAGGAAGCGTGAACGGCAAAAACAATATCGAATTCGAAGGTAATTTGAATCTGAACAAATTAAAACTGATCTTGAGAAATAACAGTCAAGTCGATTTCAACGTAGAAAATTCGTTGAATGCGTTACTAGGGTTCGATAAACGAATATACGCGCAATCGCCATTGGCGCCGCACAAGGCCAACATCGAGAACGACATCGACGTGATCAACATTCACTGTAATTTGATCAACGGTGGATTTTTCAACAAGCACAAACGCCAAATCATATACAGCATACCGACTTTTACGGTGCCGATCGGATACAGAATTATAGAGAAACCGTTTCAAACGACCTATTTACCAGTCAATTCTTTCATGATCAAAGATATAGATCTGGAAATCAAAGACGGTAAAAACAGGTTCATAGACTTTGGCAACGAAGAAATTGTCATTCAACTTCATTTAAAACAATCTTCATTTTCTTCTTGAATAGTAAGATAACCGAAATCATCAAATTCATAGTTTTCATCAAAACTATACTTATCTTTGTCGTTGTAAGGATACACAATTCCTTCACTGTTTGGTGGTTTTCTTTTAACATTATTCAAATAACTTCTAAAAACATTAGTTTGTTTATCATTTGGAATAACAATCCATTGGTGAAACTTTTTTCCCATGGTTTATTAAATTCGTTCGACACATCATGTCCGCTTGCTAACTGAACGTAATCTTCTACACTTATCTTATCATTAGAATAACCTTTAAACGTTTTCTTGTCTTTTAAAACACCATCAGAAGTCAAAACGATGTTGTATTTGACTTTTGGTGCTAAATATAAACCAAATATAATTCCACCGTCACCGTAATCGTTTTTACCTTTGCAATAGTCTTTTTCGGAGACCAAACCAGCTCTGTTTAGTTTTTTCCAATTTTTGGATGAAATGTACAAACTATCGGTGTCGGTATAGTATATTTCGGGTTTATAAAATCCATTTATGACGTGATAAAAATTGTTCATTATTTTTTTACTGTGAGATAAAACGGATGATCCCAAATGATTAGGTGTTAGTCGTGTAGATTTACTGTCTTCGGTAGTAATCTCTTTTTCTTCAATTTCTGTTTCAACAATATATTGAGTATCATTAATTTTCTCATAGGTTTTAACACGTGAATCAAAGTTGGCCTGTAAAGTTGCTTCATTCCATAAATGTCTAGTTGTGAATATATCTTTCTGAATTGATTTACCATACAAGGAATTACCTAATAATTTCATGCAATTACTACCCACGATATTACCTTCTCGTTTATATTTATTTCTTAGATCTCTCAAAATTAAAATATAATCTCTATAGGGTGGAGTTTTAAAATTTTCTTCTTAAACTATACCATCTAATATTCTAATTATTCGTCCATCGGCTTTCACTATTTCTTGAATATCGACCGATGTTAAAACGTCGTGACAAAAAGCATTTCTGAACCTGATTTTAGTGCCAGTTTCCTTTTTACCTTCTTTATTCGTGAAAGTGATTTTATCTTTAGCTGGTATCGGTTGGAAGAACATGTTTTTGGGATAGTCAAACCACACTGTTAAAATAGCTGTTCTAGGTCTGAATTTTTGTTTATTGAAGAGTTTTACAAATTCTTTTTCTTCTTCTGGTAGAAACGGTCTTCCACTTTCCGCTCTCGGATATTCACTGTCTAAATCCGACATGGCGGAAGCGTATAAACCGTTAGCATCAAATGCCATTAGTTTAGTACATTCTATTTTTTTAAGTCTCGAATGAACCTCCGTTTTGTCTTTTGTGCTTGCACTGTATTCTTTGAATAAATCAATTATGTTATTACTTTCTGTGTCGCTTCGTGTTTCACTTTGTGAAATATATTCCTTTAATACGTTACAAATTTCATCCATTTTGTTCGTTTCAAATGATTTTCTATTTGCCGAAACTCTTCCTCCTTTAATAGATCGTCTGATAAAATTTCTTATAAAAGGATTAGTGTGCGAATAAACTTTTTCTACGTTTTCTTTTTCGGTATGTTTCGCAACCATTCTAGTAGTTTCATACCATTCTTCTTCCACCATTTCTTTATCGTAATGATATAAATAATACCAACCCTTTAAAGATAAAGATGGAGCCGTTAGATTATTGGACATATTCTGGTTTACAACTTCTTTCGTGACTTGGTTGTATTTTATCAAACAAGCTCCCAAACAGAGAGTGTCTCTCTTTGCGTAAGGTTCGTCTCTCTTGGCGTAAGGTTCCCATTCGTGTCTCAATTCCTCCCAGTTGTCTCGCGTGTATTTAGCGATATCTACGTCGGCAATCTTTCTCAAATTCGCGGAAAGATTGGAAGAATTTCCCCATGCAGCCAAACTAGAGGATTCGTGTTGATAGGAACACGTGAAATTAATATGTTGTAAATAATTACCCTTTATTTCTTTCTGTCTTTTCCATTTTTTCTGTAAATCTTCATCCGTGTATGGATTAGATAAAGGAAAAGATATAATTCCTCTGGGTGTTTTTAAAGGGCAATGCGTTAGTTTTTTTGCATTTTTAAGCACGATCCAGTTGTCGAATCCACTACCGTTATGAGAAATTAATATTAATCTCTTTCTATCATATTGACCTAAATATTTCTACATTTGATCTATACAATCTGTACCTACAAATAGTTCTACTACATTCATTAGTTTTTCATAAAATTCTTCTGGAACATTATCAGTAGGATTTATATTTGGAAAGATATTTTTTATCGTTTCTAACTTTTTTCTTAGTTTTTCTAAATTAATTAAAGTGCAGGCATAAGGAATTGCTCTTCGCGTGTCTCTTTCTGAATACGTTTCGCAATCCCAAGCGAATAACGCATCATCACTCATACTCGAAAGCACGTTTAGTTTAAGGGGTGAAACCTGTGTTACTGCGTTATCGTCTCTACACGTTTTCCACACCTGTTCGTAATTGTCTTCTATTTCTTGAATTCCCAAACTTTTTTGGCTTCTTCTAATCAGACAGAAATGCGAGTTGCGTAAGTAAAAAACCCAATCTAATTCATCGTGAATGTCTCTGGGGTGAAAATGTCTGTTTTTGGGATTATAAATTTGAAACGAAGTGTTGAATTTCTTGTTGAATTCCTTCATTCTAGCACAAGTCATCACTCATTTTCTATTTGCTTTTGAAAATCCGTTGATGTATTCTTGAAATTCTCTCGTGTAGTCTTCGTCTAAAACACTGTCTCAACTTTATTTTCAACTCTTCTTGATTGTCTATCATGTATTGTTGTCTGCTTTCGAGTTCCATTTTTTAAGTCGTTAAATTAAGTGAATTTCCGATAAATAGAACCACGGAATATCGTATGGAAGGGCCTTGGTTGGCTTATCATTATTATATTCGCGGGTATTTAAAGTAAAAACATTTACGCATACTAACGACATTTCTTTTTTCGTATGGTCCTCTTTAAGATGATAGGAATATTTTCTTTTTTCTTTTTTGATGTTAATCTGGTTCTACAAATATAACCACCACCACGAAGGATGTAGTCGGTACCTTCGACAAACGTTAAATGTACTATAAACTCTTGTTCTTGTTGACTTTTATGAACATCGATCGAGGTGTATTTTTCACCAATACGTAAAACAAAAAACAGTTTTACGTATTCAAAGTCTGTTGTTCGTAAAAACTCGTGACTGCTCGATTCTATTGGTGGGTGTTTGTTTATTCTAATAAAAAGTGGAATTTTGACAATGTTGCTTGATGGTGGATTTTCCGTCTCCAATATCATATCCAAATCTTTGATTCCAATGATATCCTTAAAATTTTCTACTTCCATTTTAAAGGTCTACATATGTACCATTTTTCGTTTCAATTTCCTGATCCCTTTTATCAATCAAACGTATATTCTCTTCCAAATTACCATCATTGAATAATGAAATATGTTTGACGGCATTACCGGTTTGTTTGAAGACTACTTTATTGACTTCAACCTTCATGGGAAACTCTATTTGAATCAGACAATTACCTCGAAAAGTAAACCATTGCGTTTCGCCGATATCGAGTACGTTTTTAGGTTCTCTGTCTATGAGAGCACCCACTTTTATTTCTGCTTTGAATCCGTATTTGTTTGATTTATAACTTCGGTCTTTTCTATCGAAGACAGTGTCACTTTTGAATGGAAGATTGAAATAATACGATTTGTCCGTGACAATAGCTTCTAATTTGCTCAACTTTTTCTCTTGTCTCAAAAAATCGTCATGAATTCTAGATACCAAAAGATTGACCTGTTCTTTAATATAATTTTTCATATCATCTCGAAATTTATTTTGAAGAAAGTTTTTAATCACACCCACTTCTTTTTCTAATTCGTCCGTGATTTTAGTATCCAAAGCAATCAATTGTTGTTTCAACGTATCTTTGTCAATGGGAAGTGTGTTAATTATATCTTGAACATCTGATTTTTGCTTCGCGATCTTTTCGTTCAAATTGGATATCGAATTTTGTAACTCGGTTTTGTCCGCGGCCTTGTCTAGTTCTGCTAGCAATTCGCCAAGTTTTCTTTCCAAAGCGGTTAGTTTTCGTTTCAATCTATCCTCGTTTACATTTGGGTTATCTATTAAACGTTGGACGTCTATTTTCACCTTCGTAATCTTATCGTCTAATTTAGATATTAAATTTTGCAACTGACTTGTTTTATCCACTTGAATAAGACGTTTCAAACTCGTTAACTCTTGTTGTAGTTTGGGTTCGTTCACAAGATTTTTAATATTTCGTCTGAAGTATTTTTTCACGTCATTTATTCTATTTTCAACATGGTCCTTATCTATTTGAATTGCGTTTATTTGAATTGCGTTTATTTGATCCAGTAAATATTTCTTGTTCACGGCATCGTTATCGTTTCCTGGAAACTTTGAATTAGTTATTTTGAAATTGTTCATATCGATATCCCCTTGTAAGGTGTCTCCGATTTGATCCACGAAAAAAGGTTTCGCTTTGTTTATAAACGTCGTCATGGGATTTTTAGATTCTAGAGGTAAAGACCCTAATCCAAACATGTTTGCCATTTTTATTGAGTTAAATTTATAATAATTTCTTCAAACTTTTCTCCCAAACTCAACCGATATAAAACCCAAAGCTACAGCTGTCCACACAGCTTTTGTCCTGGCATTTGAATTTGAAACGTAGAACATTTTGTTCTAGTCAATTTCGTAATCTCTTCTGTCGGTTCTAGACCGAAAGAATCAAAGAAATAAAAGTTATTCGAAGAATCTTTGTGTAGAGCAGAGTGGTGAACTCCTTTTTGATCCGACGTGTGAATGTTTGTGATGGCGTAAAATTTACCTTTCTTGTATTTCAGTTCATCAATTTCATCTCGCATGCAATAATAAAACGGCGAGACGTTCAACTCCTTGGCCCATTTCACAAGTTGAAAGTTTGTGGTCGTGTCTTTTCCGTATTTATCGAGAAACGCATTCATTTTTTAAGTTGATTTTTTTTAGGTGTTTTTCGAAGTAGGCGGTAAGTATTGCTGAAGACCCAATTGACGAAATATATACGTAGTTTGTGTTTGAAAAAACTTGTATAACATTCTGATAAAACACATTCAATAATATTTTGAAGATAAATTTACATTTAAATTTAAAAAATCTTAATTTAAGAGAGCGTAAATGCTTGTCGACATCTAAATTTCTTAACCTTTCATCTAAATCTTCATTTTCGAGATTCATTTTTAAAAGTCAGTTTTTTGAAGTTCATTTTGATAAAACCTTCCTATGATTTGTTCTTTGTCTTGATCGATCAATTCATACGTGGGAGGTGATGTGTTGTTTACCTTATCAACGATGAATATCTCGTTAGTCAATAGCCGACGTAACCTTTCTGAAACAATGATTTATATTTAAAAATACGAACTCGATCTCCAACTTTGAATTTGGGTTTAATATTCAAATTGCTAATCTCGTTTTCAAAGTTGTTTCGAGTGTTGACGGACTTTATGATATTCGGGTTATTAGAGGCTTGCGATGGCGTCACACCTATAGACGAATGTATTTTGTTATTGTATTCGTCGACAACAACTGGTAATATTTTAAGCCATTTTTGAGATTTCAATTCCGTGAATTTCTTAAATAATTTGCTTTTAAGAGTCCTGTTGAATCTTTCTATCACTACGGCCTTATGCGTGCTGTAAATTTCAAACCCCAGAGATTTCACATTTCTGTTGTAGAATTCGCTTCCTTTATCAACCCACAACTTTAGGGGTCGTCTGTCGGATTGTTTCATTATGGTTTCGAATGCTTGTTTGACAGTCAGACCCGATTTGTTTTTCAAGGGAAAGACCCAAGCGTATCTCGTGTATATGTCGATCACCGTCAAACAATACTTGTCTCTCGACTGGCATGTTGATTAAATCGGCTGACCAAATTTCATCTTTATCAAAAACTTTGACTTTGAGGTAATGTTTGTTTTTTTCGAAATTCTTTGTGAATCTCGTCTGCTATGCCCATACCCAATTTCAATTTTGCCTTCAAGAGTTTTATGATAAGAGCCCTTTGTAATTTCTCTTTGAAAGTGGGATAGGGAATATTTTCGAGTTCGTCTATCATTTGTTTGTCTGCTTGGTGTCTGAATGTTATGTCTTTGTTTCTGTACAGTATGTCGTGTTTGAGCGCTGCTGCGTCAACTCTATTAACGGGTTCTTCCCCTGGTTTGGGATTATCATTTTCGTCTAAACGCAGATCTAATCTCGTGCCTGGACCTGTATAATTGTGCCCTGGGAGATGTTTTTCTCCGGGATATTTTGCCCATGGGAATCGAGGAAGAGAACCCAATGACTTTTGAATGTCTCCCGCACCGAAATACGTTTTAGGAGGATGGACATTTATTAAAGACATATTTGTTCAATAAACACCATATATTTTTAATACGAAAGATTTAATACAAGGAGGAAATTCGTTGTTTGAGACAAAATTGGCCACTTTGGGGATGAGAGATGTTAGCGCAGAGAAGAAACCGTCTCCTTCGAATTTTTATTTTTCGTGTTTTAAAATTAAAGACATTTTTAATGCGGTTATTTTATACTGTATTATTATTAGTGATTCTTGTCTGTGGTTTTGGGTAATTTATAATACAGTTTGGAGGAATCTGTTATGATATATTTTTTTAACAGTTTGGGAAGTCTGTTTTAATACATTTTTTAACAGTTTGGGGAATTCTGTTATAATACATTTTAACAGTTGTGTCTTTTCGGATATGACGCATTGAAAAAGCTGCGCAGAAGTGAAATGCGTCATATCCGAAAAGACATATACCTGACATCTTAAAAACCGGATCAAACTGGATGCGCTATATCAGAAAACACATATATTACTCCTTCTAACTAAGCAATATCTCCGAACATTATTTTATAACTGCATCTGCAGATATCTACTTCTTGCAATAACAAAAAAAAATTCTTATCTTAATTTTCCTTCAGTGTTATTATACCAATGGCATCGAATGACAACTTGGAAAATGGTATGAAATGTGTCCACGTTCGCCTTTTCCTTACAAGATACACATTCTCATTATTCACATGATAAAGTGTTTCCAATATTTTAGAACTATTGCCATAATTAGGCCTTCATATTGGAAATTATTGGATGCAAATTGCTAAATATTTTGAACAATTACTTACTCTCTTTGTAGTCTGTATGGTATATAAGGGAAATGACTATTTTTCACAAAGTTATTCTAGTAGAAATTTGAACTGTTTTACACTCTTTTTATTACTCAAGCAAAATTCTTCGTTTGAAATATTTTTATGATGTGTATGAAATTGGATTATATTCTGATCAGTATGTTCAAGGAGAGAGAAGTAGAAATGATTATTTTTTAACATTTTTCCAAATAAAGAAAAGAAACGTATGCGTGACCTTGTGTAAAGTCTATGGTCGCAATGTATCATGAAAGACAATTGGTAAATTTTCATGAACAAGAATATGATTTATAAAAATGCCCAATCTAGCAAGAATAACACTCATTTTGATCTTTGAAAGACCAGAGAACACTGGTCGAAACGTCGCTCAAATGAAGTCAGTAATTGTAATCCATAAGAATTTTTTCATTAAAACATCATTTTGTTTACTATCGCGAAATTAGCTTTTACCTTTATTACCGTTATGGTTGTTGATATTTTCGTTAGATCCGGTCGGGTCGAATGACATGCCGGTGAAACTCGGCCCTGGATAGTATGGCGTGAGTTACTCGATCTCCTTCATTCTTCCAAACACGTTCTGATCATGTTATTTCTTGTTGATTGGTAGTCGAATGGTATAGTCGTTGATTTGGTTTGGTTAATTGATTGGCGTGTCTTACATAACTTTTATACTGTGTGTGTGTGGCTGCCATATTTCTTAAACAAATATGGCGACTGATAGTATTAAATATGGCGGACAGGCAGTCTTAATATTTTTTTAGTAATTAATTTTAGCCTATAGTTAGTGCATAATAGCTTTAAGGTGTCTTCACACCAAAGTGATTACCATTTGCGTATGGTTGTGAATAATGAAAGTGGTCATCTCGGTTTTTGCATTAGAGTTCAAAACGACTGTTGTTCTTATTCGCAACCATACTCAACTTATGATCACTATACTATGCCTAGAGACCCGGTTCCCAACCTGGGGTGTTTTCACCCCCTAGAAGTGTGGGACTAGGGTGTCAGGGATGTAGCCAACTACTGTAGTAGAAGAATCTATTTGGAATTGAGAGAGCACCTCACATCATCATATGCTGGAAATGTGGATTAAACAAATTTTTGGCGGTGTGAAAGGTCTAGGTGATTGCTCCAGTGGTGTGAAGGCTGAGCAGGGTTGGGAACCACTGGCCTAGAGGGCCTCTTAAAGAGCTGGTATTAAAGATCAAGAAATAACTTTAAATATAATTTCAATACTTTTCCATTATTGTTGCAAAACTATCAAAATTTAACCACGATTTTAGTTCTTGATTTAGAAGTATTCATACAAAGTTTCCAAAGAAACGATCGGTGATTATAATAGCTGTTTCATTATTCAGTGCAAAATGCGATAACTCTACTTTTAATCATTGATTTCACCAAAATCAATTATAAACTATATTCTAGAGCCTTTGAGAGGAAATGTGAGCGGATGGAGACATTATAAATTGAATGCATTTGACGAATAAAGATAATAAAAATATCAACAAAAGAAAATGCTGAGTAAATGTGTACATAAGTGTAAATATCGACTTGAATAACATGGCTATTAAAATAATGACTTGGTGTATATATGTATTTTATATATGGAAAACTTAATCCTCAGCGCTGATTGTCAGCCTGGGATACTAATACTTCTTAGTACAATAGAATAACATTAAAGGGTTTTCACAAAGCATTGTTTAATAATAACTACTGGATTAACATGATTATAATATACACAAAACTCATATATACATACAGATAGTGTTAGTACCGTTTGTCTGACGTGTGCAGTGCTTAAAAGCCTAATACTATAATTGATTTATCTAAGTTTCTGCCTCATCATAGGATACGTAGATAACGATACCCAGGGTGGTGGAATTGAAATTGACATGACAATTGACAATCCCCAACCCTTCTACCATCCCATTTATTATATATTTTTCTTCATATCCCATCCCCTTCTGTATATATTTGAATAGTATAACAAATCATAACAAAGATACATAGATAAAAGCCAACAAATAAAGCCAGAAAGGTGAAATAAATCACGGACAATACTGGCAAAACATCTTCATAGCAATTTATATAATGAAGAAAGAGTTGAGGTGAAAGTGGTTCACCCTGATTTACTGCCGAAAAACTTCTCTGGCAAAAACATAATCACACTTGTTGATGGACTGATTTGTTTATATTTATTATTTTTCTGCTTACCGAATGGGAGTTGATTTTAGCCAAAAGAATATTCACATAATCAAAAGCCTTGCTTAAATTGACAAAGGCATCTGTTATAACGGTTGTTTAATGTGTCAAATCATTCCATTTATAAAACATAATGCGTCAATAGTGCTTCTGAATCCCAATTGAGCTTATGATATTATACCCACACCACTTTGTAAGTCTGTTATAAATTACTATTAAAAAGATTTATTCAAAAATATTCATAATATTCAAATATTTTTCCATACTTGAACTTCCTATTAACAAGACTAACCCCCACCCTTTGCTATTTCTTTATCAAGGGCTTCCATAAAGAAATTGATGTTTATGGCATAAAACGCGTTATTATCATCGTGGTCATAGTCTTAGAGGAATTGTAATAAAGAGGTTTTCTCAATTTTTTTTATGTGTATCTGATACTGATAGCATCACTTGCACCATTGGAATTTTCTGTCTGTGATTCTTGCAATTCCACAAAAAGACGTGTTTTGTGACGTCACTAACCACAGAACACGTGTTGTTTGTTTGCCAATTGTTGACAGTAATCGAGTTGGCATGATATAGACTAGAAACTTGCCATTCTTATGTACATTGATGAAATCTCACGATTAGTATTAAATGTCCATACCAATACATACATATTTGTTATTAAATAATAGTAAAAGTTAAAGCTATCACGAAACTTTCTGTTGTGAATGGTCTTTTTGTCAACTCGAACCGAATGTCGGATTACATTTTAAAAAGTGATACCGGTAGCTGAAGTTAATATACGTTTTGGCGAAACAGTACATGTAACATTTAATGTGTTATCTTACTATATAAGTTATATATTGTCATTGGATATTTGTATTTGAATCTCAAGGATGTTTGCATACTGACCATACGATAGGGCATTACGGAGACCATTTATGTTAGCTAAAGAGCAATTAGGATCATTATCAAACCACCAACCGCCTCCAAAATTAGCAGCACATGCATGTCCAGTCGAGTCATTATCAAAGGTAGAGAAAGGTTGATCCAAAGCATTTACACTACCAAGCATTATATCTGGTGCAGTGCTTCTGTCTCCAATATACGCACTGGAACTGAAAGCATACCCAGTGGTTTTGTTTCCAATAGAAACATGTTTGTAATAAGCTTGTTTCCGATTAGAATAATCATTGTTATAAAAGGCAATTTTCATCGTATCATATTCGCCGATTCTTAGTATCTTTCGCATTTTTTTCAGTCCAATCCAATATTCTGTTTCTCTGTTTCCAAAGCCCTCTTCATACTCATGCAATGTGCGGTTAAAGTTAACTGGCAAACCACCATTAAATATACGTGATAATATTCTTGCATCTCCACTGCGACATTGAACTTCAAAAGGAGGAATTGAAGTCGTTGGTTGAATAAAGACCAATTTATATTTACCAGTGTCAAATCCTTTGTCGCTTGCTTCAATACAATCTGGATAAATACAACAAAATTCAATATATTCTTGGTACTAATTGACAAATTTAAAGGGACATTCCGCTTTCTTTGTAGATCGGAAATTTTTTTTACTCAAAGTTGTGAAAACTATACACCAAAATCTAGGGAAAAGTGTCCTTTAACGTATCGGTAGGTTTTAACAGAAAAAAATCCCGCAAAACTTCTGTAAAATATGAAAATGATACAACTCAAAATATTTGAGAATTGTCATTCGAAGAACTACCATATTTTAGGTATGTTTTGGTAAGTTTAGACAGTACAGGTTGGGGCATGTCTTTAAAAGCTTACGGGAATATTATATATGGAATCTGAATTATATCTTTAGATTTCCATTTCATATGATTAACGTGGTCTACGAATTAACAAGGAAGAATGGTAAACCGTAGTGGTGTATTGTGTATAAAAATCGAATGAACAATTCTTGAGGTTAAGCCTACCTTTAACAACTGATTTGCATTTGTCACCGTAATACCCTTTTGGACAACTACATCCTGTCTCATTACAGTTATATACCTGAAAAGATCAAGAAACTGATCTCATTTAGTTTATAACGAATATCAATCCCATTAAATTAAATTTCATTTTTTTTAAGTTTTCTATCGCAGTATGGATTTAACGACGTTATATCTGTTCTTGTCACGTAGGTGGGAGCCATTTCTTTATAACTAAAGCTAAAGCCAAAGAGGTTGTCTACTTTAGTTTGCACTGCCCCGTATTCGACATTGGTATCATGCTACATAACATGCTTTGATTTGTCTGAACCGAGAAACGCCATTAGAACAGGACTGCAGTAGAAAACTTGTCAGATTACAAGAAAGGTTAGAAAAATATCAGAAAAAAATATACATAAACGTATGCATTTCCTACTGTGCTAAACTTTATTGTGAGGAAATGTTAGTGAGGAAATATTATAATGTACGTACCTTGTTGTAGCATTTACAGTTGATTCCAGATGAGGTAAGACAGTTTTCACCCTCGTCATAAAGAAAACAGTTAGACGGGTTTATGTTCTGACAATATAGTGCCCTTCTACACTCCGATCTTTCTACACATTGAAAGAGACAAGTTTTATAATTTGGGGTTTGTAACTCGCCCATTTTCTTTGATTCAAACGTGTCAGGGATAACTTTGGTTTTCAAAAACTCTGCTTGTCTAAGGCATTGACACTGCCATGGAAAACACAACAAACCTACGAGGAAGGGTATAATGTGCTCCATGTCTAACAAGGTGTTATGTCTTAATAGACTTCGACTACTTATGAAAAAGAATTATTTAAGCGTTTATGTTTTTAAAAAATATGGTCCGTTGTGGAGCGTATATTGGATGAAACAACTTGAGTTAGGGTCTATTATGACCATTACACCTAAGTAACGGCCCATACATCTTATTAATACCCTTTAACTGCAAATGGGTGCAGTAAGTACCAATATTTGGGTTTTATGGATAATGATGAGCTTCTATAATATAGCATAATTATGTAATAGTGTAATGCAATATTTAGGTAGTCTTAGCTCAACAACAGACATAATGAAAACATTTAGACAAACCTTGAGGCACTCTTTGTGAATGTGAGAATTATGTCGTAAAAATCGATAATTTGTATAAAAAAAACCTTGAGTAACAGACAACGAAGCCTGATCGTCTTGGCCCTGTGTATCCCTCTTAACCGCTCTATTTATAACGGGATGAACATTTTATGTTAATCCGAAACATCTCTCCCTATTCCATCCCTTGCAGCTATTTGTACCGTTATCGCCTGAAGTACTTTTCTACAACTAAAAAAAAAATAGCTAACAGAGGCTGGAATAAAGGAAGAAGTTTCGGTCTTATTTTAATGTATGGGGCAGTTTGTAAAGGGAAATCACTCTTAAAAGAGTAACGTATCATGTAACATCAGGACTCACTCAACTAAAACATTTTATGTATACGAATGTAGTCCAGACTATTTTTAAAAATCTTCTTCCTCCTTTCTCAAAACTCCTAATGGTCGCCTTCAAGCCAGAAATCCGGACTCTATATAACTAAACTAGCGACATTTCTGCCTCCCTCGAATCTCCAGTGAGCAATCTTTAGAAACTAACGATCTGATTAACACAACACCACATTAATCGTTCATAGGACGGTGTAGGTTGCTCATGGATGGCAGAAACATCTCCAAGATTAATTGAAAAATTTGCAGGAAGCAATTTTTTACCTGGGTTATGATGTCTTCTTCCTGATGTCGGCAAACTACTGGCCGACCCGTTTGACATGGTTTTCGACACGTATTTTGATAATTCAATACGGCCCTTGTTTCTATGAGCTCCATTCTGTTTCTATGCGCTGTATCTTGGCCTTCAACGCAAACCTGGCTATTCAAATTTTGCCAAAGGGAATGTGCCACAACTACTAATGGGTTTCATAAAAAATTTGTATTAACCTGGTTATAGTGTCTGAAGCTAAATCAATTACACACGTAGGGATGAAATTACAATGAAACAAAGACTATTTAAAAGCTTATTTTTCTATTCTGATGAAAATAAATAATAATAATTAAAAAAAAAATTACTGGGGGAGTTAAAGATGATTTTCCATATTTTTTAGTGTCAAATTAAGCTATTTGATAAATTGGTGTTTTAAAGAATTATTCATAATATTCTTAATTATATCATTATGATGTTATTGCATATAATTTTATTTTTATAAATGTTCGTGTATGTACAGTCTGGATAAACAAAAAAAAAACTTTTTGACCTTTTTTGATAATCACTCATTGAAATTTTGCTGAATTTTGCTCTTCTTATTTAGCTAATTTTGAATTAATTATGGACATGTGAGCCAAACTGGTGTTTTTACAAGTCCAAAATTATCTGCTTTTCAAAGTTAAAAAGACGACTCGGCTTTTTTGCACATTTGCCATATTATATAGAAATAGACAGTTAAATTCATAGCTTGAGGTATTTTTGAAGGACTCGTTAGATTTTCGTACGTTTCTTGTACTTCTGAAGATTATTTACATATATTCAAGACCCAAATCAACCTCCAAAAATGTCGAACCATGCATGACCATTAATGTATAAACGTTTATTTTTTTTTTTACTTAAAAGTGTTTAACAACATTGTATAAAATATTCAAAAGCTTTCATAGTTTAAAGGTTTAAAGTTACCATGAAATGTTCTGCTGTGTGTGGCCTTTTTAGCAACTGTTATAAATTGCACTGAAACCGTACGTCGGATGGATTTCCTTTCAAAAAGTGATACCGGTAGCTGAAGAATATACATTTTGGATAAAATCTTACCCTTCTATTTATATATGAATGAAATTGGCATTACTTATATATCTCTATTTGAAGGTCAATGATTTTACCATATGGACCATACGATAAGGCAAAGCGGGGGCCATTTATGTTAGCTAAAGAGCAATAAGGATCATTATCAAACCACCAACCGCCTCCAAAATTAGCAGCACATGCATGTCCAGTCGAGTCATTATCAAAGGTAGAGAAAGGTTGATCCAAAGCATTTACACTACCAAGCATTATATCTGGTGCAGTGCTTCTGTCTCCAATATACGCACTGGAACTGAAAGCATACCCCGTGGTTTTGTTTCCAAAAGAAACATGTTTGTAATGCGCCTGTTTTGAATTAGAATAGCTTCCGTTAAAAAAGCCAATTTTCAGTTTGTCATATTCGCCGATTCTTAGTATCTCTCGAATTTTTTTTAGTCCGATCCAATATTCTGTTTCTCTGTTCCCAAAGCCCTCTTCATACTCATTCAATGTGCGGTTGAAGTTAACTGGCAAACCAGAATAAATTTGACGTGATAATATTCTGGCACCTCCACTGCGACATTGAACTTCAAAAGGAAGAATTGAAGTCGTTGGTTGAATAAAGACCAATTTATATTTACCAGTGTCAAATCCTTTGTCGCTTGCTTCAATACAATCTGGAAAATTTTTCATACAAAATAATATGATCATATCTAAAGTGTCAATAATATTCATGGACACATAACACATTTAAAATATCAGAAAACGTGCAACAGAATTGGCTAACGTGTGTGCCTTTATTGGATTTTGCTGTTGAGGCACTGACCGTCTTTGCGAGACAATGCACCACAGTTTACGAATCATAATGATCCTTTTACGATCCAATATTTTCTATGATTAGCCAAAAGTAACTCGACGATCTGTTAAAATTGTATTTCCGTAGGGATTTTGTGTCAAATCTAGAAATATACTTCAACTCGCGGTGATCTTTATAATTAAGGAACACACGTCATTGACAAGATAAATCTGGAGTTTACAACTGAAACATTTTATATTGCTATCGACGTTTTATGAAACTTGTTTTACTTAAAATTTGTTGTGATGAATTGCTTATCCTAATTGAACTGTGTCCCGATTTGTATCTTTAGATTACCACTTTATATGATGAATATCGACTGCGAAACGTTAATCTTTACTGTTGATTAAGTCGAATGGTATATCAGATCTGACAGTCTCAGTCTCTCAGATCAATGGTGCAAATATTTCCGGCACACACAATAATGTAAAAGTTTACACAATATAATCAAAATCAAAGCACCAAAGCGTAAAAGCATCAAGGACGAATTAGGATAAACTATAACAGTTGGTGATTTAAAAGGATTGTAAAGTCTTTTTCTAAATTTTGCATGTGTATCGGGGACACTGATAACATCCATTTGTACAGTTCCGAATTTCAGAAAACCTCCGTGGTTCCTGCAATTCCTCTATAACTAAGCCTTTAATGACGTCACTAATTGCAAAATAGACATGTTTCACACAAGACCCTTCGCGATTAGTGGCGTCAGCAAATACTATGTTTTAGTGAATTGCAAGAATCACAGTCGTCTGATTAAATATATTGGAATGGTGCAAATTGATGCTATCAGTGTTCCCTATACACAGGGATAATTTAGAATAAAAAAAAATTTACAACCCCTTTAAGTATACAAAATACAAAGAAGCATCGACTCATTAAACTATGATGTTTACCTTTAACAACTGATTTGCATTTGTCACCATAATACCCTTTTGGACAACTACATCCTGTCTCATTACAATTATATACCTGAAATATTAGGACATTCACATCTCATTTAGATCATACCAAATTCAGTGGCAATCTTTTTCATGCAGGAGAATATAGCATGATTAAAATCTTAAAAATCCGACCAAACTTTCGTTCCGTTTTTGTTATTAGCTCTTAATTTTAATAAAGCCACGTCTGTTAGGGTCCAACGACAGCTCTCTTGAACGATTGTCAAATAAATCTTTTGACCTCACCTGATAAACACCACGTCACAAAATGAAAGCGCTGGAAAGGGTAGAAATTTGATTGGTTAAAGCAGGCCTCATCGAGTTAGGTCGAAAAGGTTAATTTGACGAACGTTCAAGAGGGCTGTCGTTAAGTGGCTGTATTAAAAAATAAAAGCTTATAAAAAAAACGGAACGAAAGTTTAGTCTAATTTTAATTAGACTGGCATTTTACGCTGTGCTACACTTTTCTATTGTAAGGAAACATTATAATGTACGTACCTTGTTGTAACATTTACAGTTGATCTCATTTCCAGATGAGGTAAGACAGTTTTCACCCTCGTCATAAAGAAAACAGTTAGACGGGTTTATGTTCTGACAATATAGTGCCCTTCTACACTCCGATCTTTCTACACATTGGAAGAGACACATTTTATAATTTGTGGTTTGTAACTCGCCCATTTTCGTTGATTCAAACGTGTCAGAGATAACTTTGGTTTTTAAAAACTCTGCTTGTCTAAGGCATTGACACTGCCATGAAAAACACAATAAAACTACGAGGAAGAGTAGAATGTGCTCCATGTCTAACAAGGCGTTATTTCTTAATAGACTTCGACTACTTATATTATGTTTTTTAAAAATATGGTCCGTTGTGGAGCGTATATTGGATGAAACATCTACAGTTAAGAAAAAACCTTGAAAAATCGTAAAAGAAACAAAATCAACATGGAATTAGTTTTTTTTATTGAAGGTACATGTATACAAAAATTAATTTTTCGACTAATGATAATAATAATAATAATAATAATAGTAGTAATGATGATAATAATAATAGTAATAATAATAATAATAATAATAATAATAATAATAGTAGTAATAATGATAATAATATACTATTTTTGTGGGGGAAATTAAAAATTACTCCAAATCGGCATTGGTTCTGTCTAACTATCAGATTTCACGTGCAAATTCTTTTAGTAGTAGTGGGTGCCTAAATTTGATAATGATTATGGGTATTATGGGTAAATGGGTATTGATGAGCTTCCATAATACAAAATACATACATAATACATTGAGGTACTTTTTGTGAATGTACGACGGCCTACCGTTAAAATTCTGGAAGGAATCTGCAACATATCACGGTATTGAATGACACTGTAATTACGTGATATTTCTATGGATTCTACAGTTGTTTAAACTTCAGAGACTGGTCAAAAAGAACTATAAGCGTTTATAAACAAAGCAAATAAAAACAAAACCTTCGCAAGATATGGATCCAAAATGTTTCATTTGTAGACCTATAGTCACAATAAAGCATTTAATGCATAAGTAAATCCTTAAATGCTCAAAGTTAGGGACTATATTCAGGTCGCAATATTACTATCACTTGATAAATATTGTAATATTACGAAAGTATGATATTTGTCTCTCCCAAGAAGACAAAACAAAATCTACCATTTATTCTCGAGACAGATTCAGCTTTACAAAAACTGACGGGTAATGTGGTAAAATAATTCACGACGGACCTGTTTTCTCTGAACTTTGTGCGCATCATCTTAGCCTCCACCACAAAGCTAGCTTTTTATAGGATACCACAGGGAAAGTACCACAGCCACTAATGGCTTTCATAAAAATGTGTTTTTAACCTGCTAAACAAAGACTATTTAAAAGCTTATTTTCTTTATTTTGATGAAAATTAATAAAAAAAAATTGCTTGGGGCTTATAGAAAATTTATGGACCTTAACTATTTTATGGCCGTTAATGCCATTAAATCGTCGATTGTCCTCGAAAAAAGGATGGTTAGATGGTGAAACTAAAAAAAATCATATAACCTTGATATGACATACACTCCAGAAATTGGTCATTTTGTCGATCACGCCATATATTCTGTTAATTCATTTTGTTCATTTGATGAACTGGTATTCCAGTTTTCTTGTACATGACCGTTAGATCTAGCTTGCTGTAATTAAAGACAGTTGTGCTTCATATAATAAGCAATTAGGTAAAGCTTTTGGTAATGCTCTGGTAGTACATATGGCTATTTTTGTGAGAATGAAACCGTAAGTATGTTTTTTATTGCCCCGAACCCACTGGTAAAGGTTTGGCTCCGGCCACTAATGCCTACATCCACTAATGCCTACAGTGTAAATTAAAGAAAGACATGCACTAGTGAATTTCAGCACTTTTTTTTTATATATCAGTATAATAATAATAACATAATTGACATAATAACACTACAAGTAGAAAAAGGGTCATATTAGCACTCTTTTCATTATCTATTAGCACTCTTTTTTATATATCAGTTCGTAAAATTTTTTTCACGAGAGTTTTAACAAATGTCCTGCAGCATCCAAAAACTGAAGAGGCGTCTTTCTGTGTATGAACAAGTCATCTTTAAGGCGTTGGATTCTCTGGTCTATTTCAACATATACTCGCTTGCGGGGTGGAGGACGTGCACCGTGTATTAGCTGCGCAATCTTATTACGTTCTGCTTTTCAAGCTTCTGTAGGACTCTCACGAGGCTGTAGATGTTGGGGTGGGCTCGCTGAACAGTCTTATTAAGGTGCGCATGCCATCCTTCAAGGTGATTGTTGCTTCGCGGACCAACGTTGGTGTGGTGATATTTATATTCAACAATAAAATGACATTATCCAGTTAATTGATTATACATGTATTGAAAAAAGAAATCGAATATTAACTTGTGCTAATATCACAACAAGGAATGATTGACAATAAATTGACATTATTCAGTTCTATTAGACTCCAATTAATAATATCTAGGTTAAGAAATGAAATCTAATATTGGAAGAGTTTATTCCTAGCATGGGTATGTTGTTTTCACTATGTAGGTATTATTCCACACTGCTTTATTTTATTGTAGTCATTAGTAACTGTAGGCATTAGTGGATGTAGGCATTAGTGGACGACGCCAAAGGTTTTATCGAATAACATTTTGGTCAATTGATTGCAGAGAGTTCGTCTTCCTTTTATCTTTCTACAACTTCACTGTGGCTATAGACTACACAAAATGCCAATTATCTCCCTTTCGCCACAAGCTGAAGAGATTTGTATGATGGTAGCCAACGCGTTAAATAAATCATCTGAAGAAACCGCAGTTAAATGGGCAGGTGTGGGATTTCCAGGAGTATATCAACCTTGATCTCAGAAACGCTCATCATTAATAAGCATTCAAATTTGCCATCTACGATTAACAATTGAAAAAATATATATCCCGACATACTTGCGCTTAGTATAACAGTAACAAGAAATAAATACCATACTTTCTCTCCGTAGAACCGTAAAAAGACATAAATCTTAGATATAGATCTTATGATATATGCTCTCCGTAGAAAAGTATAACATATCAATCTTATCATACCTGCTCTTCTCAGAACAGTAACAAAATATAAATATTATCATTAAAAATAATAAATGATATAAATGATTATAAACAGATATAAATATTATCATACTTGCTCTTCTAAGAACAGAAAAAAAAAGATATCATACTTATACTTCCTCTTCGTAGAACAGAAAAGATATATAAATCTTATACTTGCTCTTTGTAGATCAGAAAAGATATATAAATCTTATACTTGCTCTTCGTAGAACAGAAAAGATATATAAATCTTATACTTGCTCTTCGTAGAACAGAAAAATTACATAAATCTTACACTTGCTCTTCGTAGAACAGAAAAAATATATAAATCTTACACTTGCTCATCGTAGAACAGAAAAATTACACAAATCTTACACTTGCTCATCGTAGAACAGAAATAAATATATAAATTTTGCTCTTCGCAGCAGAAAAAAATATAAATATTATAATATTTGATCTTAGTAGAATAGTAAAGGTATAAATCTTAAAATTGCTCTTCGTAGAACAGCAAAGGTATAAATCTTATATATTATTATATTTGATCTTCGTAGAACAGAAAAAAGATATAAATCATACTTGTCATTTTATATAACCGGAACTACATGGAAGTAAATCGAAAATCGAAAACGATTTATTGACAGGTCTTTAAGTATTATGCCATGATGACGACTGTATATATCAAATAAGAGAGAAAGAAAAAGAAAAAGAAAACACGGTCTAAAACTAAGGCTAACTGCATCCACTCATTCTGTATATCATCTCGGCCTTCCTGAAGATTAGATCTACACGTCAGTAAATTGACTTGTTTACCAATATACTCGACTTCTTTCACCATAGAAGATTCTGGAAAACAATAACACAATGGAAAAAGTTGTAAGTCAATAAAAAATCAATCCATCTTAGATATGTATTTACCATAATTACGGGCGAAGCGTGGCTTGGAAAGGCGATGGGTCAGAGAGGGGTCGATTCCAAAATTTTGCTAAACCCTTAATGGAAATACGTGTTTTTAAATGACCATTTTGTTCCATGGTTACACCCTTGCGGTATAAATACTTTGACAATTATTACAGTGGTGTAACCTATTTTCGTGGATATGATTCAACACCTGAATTTCGTCAAAGTTAAAAAAACGAAATTTTTTTTTTTGTCTTAGATGTTTCCTCAAATATTCTACAAAATAATTAAAATTGGTTTATTTCGAGTTTCTTTATGAATCCTTCACTTTGACCCATATTTCATGAGCAACCAACTCGGCAACGGCGGCAGAATGCGTCACCTATTTTCGTATACAATGTTTGATCTATAAATAAGTCTAGAAAAACACGTTCTATAGATACCGGATGGTATAATTAACTTCTCTTAGTATTTATCTTTAATATCAATTCATTATAACTAGTGACAATTCCTTCAAAGAACCACGATTTAAAAATAAAATAGTGACTGACAAAATAAGATACGTAGCGTGATTTATTGCTAAAAGTCACTGAAACAACATAAGAATATGGTCCACTTTGAGTTCCATAGAGATTTTCTGCTGACACGGAATCCGCTAGTTGATCACGTGACTTCATTCTTTGGACTACATTCTAGCAGACGACACTTGGAATTCTGGAATTTAAACCCACAAACACCCGGCCAATGCTCTGTCTCATGGTCCAACTGTAGTGGACATCAGATTGAATGAGTCTAAAGTTACAACTATTGATAGTTATAGAATATAAGAGGTCTAGAAACCCGCACCCATCCCCCCTCCCCCAAATATTGTCAAAGTGCACCGAATTAATTCTATTTCTGCAATATTATTTTTGGTGGAGGGGAGGGAGGATTGAAAGAAGATTCTTCCACAGTGCAACTTAATCCCTCTATTCGCTTCTCCAGTTCCAGGAGGCTGACGCCGCCACGAGTAATAATAATAATTTGTGCAGATCAGTTCAAACCTGTTTTTGCTCCAGATCCTTTGAAGGATGGGTTATTACCACCTGGACTATCAGGTACACAGGGATTTTCCAATCCTTTCATCGACACGCTTTCAGAAGAAGTAAATGGGTAGTAACTGTCATCTCCCAAACATACAATACTTTTTAAACTTCTTAAAAATACCTACAATTCAAATACCAAAATATATGTTCGACCTATATGCCGAGGTGGAACCAAGGAAAAGAATTGTAAAACAATTCTTGTTATGCTGCTGCCTGGTAATTGAAAGAAGTATTCATCTGTATCGTTAACAATATAGATATATTGCGACCTTACCGATCGTAGAGATTCGGGTACTCGCCCTTGTCTAGAACCACGATTATGAATGTTTAAAACCAATATCGTCGTCAGAACTGACAAAACCGACCATGTTAAATTCAAACTGTAAAACATTCCTGAAAAATATTGTCATCAGCGAATCAAAGAAATATCAAAGCATTTATCAAAAAATGAAATAAATGAATACTTTTCTGCAACTTTTGAGCTAATAAAGAGAACAACGCCATGAGTTGTGCAATGAGGGAAATTTTGCAAGGGCAGAGGTTATTTTTTTCCAACTGTCAAGCGATTTTTAATGTGCACAGCCTGTAACACCGGCCTTCAGTTTAATGTCCTATCGTATTTCTTCTACAGGATGTGCACGTTAAAGATCCCTCGACAGTTGGAAATCGAAAAAGAGCAGGCTAATGCCGCTGTCCTGGCAAAATTTTCCTCATTGCACCCTGCGTGTCGTTGCCCGTCTTTATTTGCCCACATGGTGCAGAAAAAGTAGGACGTAAATCTCCATTCATTTCATTTCATTTTATCGTATTTCTTCAGATTGTATGAAGTGAGCAGAGAATTCGTGCTGTCCGTGTATGAAGCTCACCTAGTCGAGGAATTTCTAGATGCTGATCAGGAAGAACATCTTGTAGTCTTAATACCATTAGTATATTAGCAATAATGAGTCCAGTTCCTACAAAAATATAATAAAATACAAAATAAGATATGTTGTCATCATTATGAATATGAATATTTAGAGCATTGTACAGTCAAAAAATTATGATCTTTGAGATCATAAAAGTGACGCAGTGTTGATTGGATACGCTACCGACACTAAAACTATACGAACTAATAAAGTAAACAGTACGGGTTCTGCTTTGGTCGTTCCCGGATGTACATAACTAACTGTAATTTTCTATATTTAAGAATTTGAACATTGAATTTATTGAGAATTTATTCGAAGTTGAGCCAAATCATGTTAATTAGGCGAGTTGCTTGTCTCAAAGTTACCAACGCCGAAACAAAAAGATTGAATAACAGTTTTGGAAACGGACGGTTGGTGTAATAATACAAAACAAAGAAATAACACTTTGCTTACCAATTGTTATGCGTTCTTTAGACTTTGGAGGTAAAAATAGTTGAATAGGCACCAATAATGATAATAAAACGGCGGGAAGAATATACACATGAACATAATATACTGGACTTCTCTTTAAAGTTAAGGTAAAAGTTATAGATGGGTAGGGTTCGGGACAACACTTATAATATGTAACATCGCGTCTGACGGATGAATTAACCAGTTGCCATCCTTTTCTTGATTCGGGTAAATTACTTTGGAAAGCTGATTGGGATTCGCTTTCCCGTGTTTGAACATCTAATGAGTTACCACTGTGAATCCACGATCCAAATTTCATCGTACAGGTCTGGGTGTCGAAAGGGAAGTTTTTGACGTCCACATTACATTTGGCTTTAATTCGCACTGCTGGAATCCACATGACTAAACCATTGGACAAAACAAAACCTCGCCCATCATTAAACATCTGCGGCTCCTCTACCCTAAAAGAGTACAAATCAAGGTGAGCAAACCAACTATAGAACCATCTATCTCAGGGTGGATAATAAAGGTTTATTCAAGAAAAACTTGAAATTTACATTATCGAACACCGAACTCAGACGGCATCCGTACTCCGGTCAATTATCTATTATATGCATCATATCATATCCGTTGCTGTCGACATGAGCAGAACACTTAATCGATGAAATACCAGACAAATAAAGCAACAGCGATCAACGGAATGCTTGCACGTTTCTAACCCCTCAGATTAACATATTCATTAGTTGCTTTAAAGTGGGTCATGAATAACTGATAACAATTGGTGGCAAATGCGATTTTCTTAGTTCCAAAACTTCTAATCCCCATATTGCCAGGGGAAAGATAGACCGGAAGCTCACTCGAGGTAAAAAAAATTACCCGTCATATAAAGAAATGTCTGGTTGCCAAACGGTACCAATTAAAACCCGCAGGTCTGGTACACCATATTCTGTACTGTTCCATTGCAATCGTTTATCTGTCCACTGCGTGTAAAGAAAGCAATGAATGTCCAGGTATTCCTTCACTTCGTTCTAGAAAATAAAAATGAAATGATCCGTAAACCTAAAAATCTTTTAGATTTAGTCAAAGTCCAAAACCTTTACTGAATTTTGGATCACCATGATTTTACTGTGGTGGACGTCTTTTAGATTTGTTGAAAATAAAGTGGGGTTACAGTTGGGTGCACAACCCCACTGTAGGCTATACCCCTACTGGCGACACCATTGCTTGACGAGCCTTACAGTATACCAACAATTAGTCCAAATTCTTATATCTTCTATATCTTTGCGATTGATGACGTGGTACAGACACTTAAAAGAAATGGTATTTACCAATTCCACAATATTGATGAGTTCCAATCCCAATGTTACATTGATTTGTTCAGCTGGAATCAAACTGGCCTCATAAGATAGAAATAAGTCTCGAAAAAGTCTAAGTCTGCTAGCCTGGATGTCTGAATTAATGGCACTAGCTGAAATTATAAAGGTCACATTCTCACAGTTGAACTAAGCGAAAAAGAAAAATTGTTTAAAGCATCCATTTATAATCTCTAAATTAAGGGAGTTTCCTAATGAGTGAACCCCGTGCCATACAAACTTGGGATTGTTTTTTCGTGAATCTGATAAGATCCCTATGATTGGGTCCGCTGAAGAGTGACTCTGGTACGTTCAATAACCGATGAGCTCCGTTACGTTATGATACGATTGTGGTGCGATAATTATCATGTTCATGATTGAGATTTATCCGTTTGAGTTACGACTGTTTCCCAACGAGACAAAGCTGGACTGACTGTTGTGTAGAAGATCCTGACATTGGATTTAAATTCCGAAATGTGATTAGAATAGCACAAAATTCGTATAACCTAAAAACCGATGAGATGATTGATGACAAAGAGTTGTATATGTACAAGATAGGACTTTGAAATAATAAGTGCGAATATAAATCACTTCAAACACTCTCGTTCATCGACATCCTAGGTCAGATAAAAACTCGGAAATAATGCTCTTGAACTGATTACAAAGACTAGGGGTGAAACGGGTTTATTTCCGATCTATAATTCTACTTTAGTCCCAAGTTATTTATTTAGTAACTATTTATTACTGTTATCTCTAGAAAATATTTTAAAAAATATACAATGGATATAATGATTCGCTTTTTCTTTTTTAAAGAAATCGATAAGTAAATTTCTATAAAAATTGGAAGCCATGGGAATTGTTGACGATAAAATTCCTACACAACGAGATAGCAATTTGACATTTGACGGTAAATACAAAGAGAAATACAATTGGCTCACTAATCACTTTGGGAGTTGCGGATACAAAATTAATCTTCCAAAACTCCCAAAGCACAATGAGTTTTTGTGGAATAATAGCAATTTAAAATTGATTTTCTAGTCTATGTATATATCACAGACCGTTTTTACAGTTCAGAGAAAATGCAGGAACGACATATGTCTGATTGAAAATTGGAAAGGTGAAAATTGATTCTACCAGTGTCCGCGATACACATAATTTTTACAATCTCCTGTTTGTCTCTGATAACTTACAAGGGCTAGAAAACATCTTTCGATATACCAAATTAATTGAAACAAACTTACCTATGGCCATTAAATCCAGAAGAAAAATCGTCACTTGTTTTAAATCCATGAAGAAGTTATAGGGGGAGTTTTTTCGTATTACTCAAGTCTCGTTGTAACTATTTAAAGTGTTTAATTAAACGGGTCAATTAAAGATAACCATATAATTAGTCAATTGTAACACTCAAAATAGTGTTACGGCGCTTTAACCAACTGTAAACGAAACCAAATCTTGAATGAAGTAATGTTAAGGTCGCCATTCCTTTTTGAGTATACAATTAACAATATATCAAATACTGTTAGATTTTGGTTAGATCTATTTCAACATTGTTAAAGGCCGTCTTAAAAAGATTGTTCGATATGAGACCATCTTCACAATGATAAGCTATTACGAATTTCGTCTTATACCTTGACATCAATAGCTACCTTTCTTGTGTCACAGAAAGTTGTAAATGTAGCTATTTAATTGTACGCTAGCGAATACAACCAATCAGAGGCCTTTTTCGAGGGTTCTGATTAGCTGTATTTGCTGATGTGCAATCCAGTCATATCACTTCATTCCATAATACAAGGAAATGGCTCTAGCAGTCTAGGCATAAGACGGAGTTCGTAATAGCTTGACATTGTGAGAATGATATGAGATAGGAACTATTTCGGAACAATTACTTTCTACAAGGGAAAGGTAACAAGGAAAATCCTATTTTACTAGGATAACAGATTAGTTTCTCGAAGATACCGTCTGAAGGCCTACTATCTAGTTCTTGGCCAAGGAATATGTATTATTTAGGAAACGTGCTAACAAATGGTAATTAGATCAATTAGTGTCAGTGTTTGAACTTTAACTTAGTAGTATAAAAATAATTTGTCCATATTTCAATAACCTGTATGATATGATTATTATAAAAATGAAGGCAATGTGCGGTCCAATTTTGACCATAGGAAACTGCCATTATATCGAGCAGAGTTCACAATTTGCTAGATGAATACTGACCGATTCCGGTAATTCATTTGTCATCTGTTTCCATGTTAAATCTCGAAATTCAACCTTCTAACTTTTTTCAGAAATCTTGTCACATGAAAGCCTGGTCAATACTGAGTTTCTAGACAAAAATTCAGTTTATTATGCCTCATGAAAATTTTGAGCTAGCCAAACTGAAAATAGACCAAATCACAACATCCGCTTGACTGTCACTGCACACAAAACGAATATTTGTCGAAATATCCTTCCACACGTGCATATCTCATCATTTCACAAAATCTGTAAGAAAATGCAAATTCAGATATCAAATTTTGATTCCAAACCAAAAATACTATCATTTGCATGAAATGTCGGTCATGCGAACATTTTGTTCAAAACCTCAGTTTTACCATTTATTTATTTGTTATTTAACATTTACTTGCTCATTAATTGAACAAAAAATACTCTTTCAGTATTACACGACCACTGAAAAACCATTATAAAACTAGTATCTCAGTATGGGAATCTGAGTGTTGAAACCGACCTTAACCAATACCGTTAAGTCTGAGACGGTAATCTTTGATATTCCAGCCTCATCGTAAAGCAATTATGATGACAATAAAATATGATGTCGGTGGATAAACAGTTCACTATAGTATCTATAATTGATAAAGGCTGATTCTTAATTCTGCTCATTAGATGGTCAAGCAATATTCTTAATAAGATTCAAGCAATCATATTGAGACCTGCTAATGTCATTTATCACTTAGTAATGACTAAGTGCCAACGATAATAAGGACAAAATCTGATTAAATAAGCAGGTTACATCCATTTTTGTAAGGATAACAAATTAATATTTCGAGGATTCTGAGTCCGCTTGAAGAAACAGGAACAAGTGGGTGGAAACTTTTTTTGAAAAAAAAATCATATTTTAAATATCGTACAAATAATTGAGAAGGATTTTTGGGTTTGAAAATAGGAATGTCAGTATAATTACACCTGATGACGACACGTGTATATTGTGTTGAAACGTTAGGTGCCCAACCTTATTAAAGAAGTGTGTTATATTCCATAATATTGTCTTGTGTTTTTGTTATATGTGCTCCTCGCTTCTATATGTCGTTCAAATCTTATAGGAATGGGATCATGTATTTATACTGACAAATAATTTCTGATAAAGTCAGTCTTTGAATTAGTAGTATATTCTATACTATCGATCCTGTCATCATACTGAATTAATGTAATGGATTTCTGACAGTTAGTCAAAATTGGTATTAGACTGTCAACTCTATTATTCAAACTTTCATCGTTTCCTAATTTTATTCAAGTGTAAAAAGTTTCTTTTGCTTTCACTTTGTGTTTTTTATTCAGATATAATAGTAAAATATGATACCAAATGTCGTTACCAAATATCAATAATGGATTATTCTTTCATTTCTGCCAGACAAATGGAAATAATAAATACTTATAGCGCACGCTGTTGCTAAAAAGATCTTTCCTTAAAGATACAATGGTCATATTTTCCTTAAAGGGTCAGGTGTGCCATTTTTTGACCAATCGTACCTTAGTATCCGAAAAGGGAATTTGTGTGCCCAGAATTATCCGCGTTTGAAAGTTAAAAAGACGAGTCGTCTTTTCTGGAGACAGAACCATAAAAAAAATCTATAGAAATGGGATAAGAAATAGTTTGAGATATTTTAAAGAGAGTATGCAATTTTGTACATTTCTAGACTATTTACATATATTCAAGACTAAAATCAACACCCCAAAATGGTGGAACTGTATCTTTAAACTAATTCATCATTCTGTCCCTTTTCTTTGAAAGAAGGGTATCATTTCCTTTTATACAAACGTTCTACTTTCCTGTTCAGTAGTGCTTTATCATATTTTTATTCAAAGGTCGTACTTTAATCCTATACAATGATTTGTTTTGCAACCTGTGATACAATCTCATAAAACATGACAAATAAGTCTGAATTAAAGCCTCACGGGTACAACTTATTCTAAATGGCGAGACAAGTAATCGAACGCAATTACTGATCAAGGAGTTTAAAAATCGATTGTTTCCGACGATGGGAATTTTGTATACCGAATGGTAGCCTATGGTAGCTATATGGACAGATGTTAGCTGGTGTAGAGACATTCCGCATCTCCACAGGTGTGGGATTTTAAACCTATTTAGATACCTCGAATCTGCAAAAAACATGGAATATTTGGAAAAATGAATATTTTTGTAGTTCAGTCGTACCATCTAGCATCGGCAATTTAAAACTGTGCGCAGCCAAATGTTCAAAGGTTACAGAGTTACGTGATACAAACGAAAGTTATGGCTATGCCAAAGACTAATTTACAATCATCTGAAATGTAACTCAATATCATGTTAGATAAAGCGCATCAAATCCCAATTTGATAGGGTATTTTATTTCTGACTACTCCAGCTGACATCTGTCAAAATACCCATCAGAGACTGGAATAGAGGCAGATGTTTTTGGTTGGTTATGAACATTGGAACGCTTAAATATTTGACAAATATTTTAGGTTACAGAAAAGCAGGACGTTAAACTCCATTCATTTCATTTCAATATTTTACAAATCGGAAGCATGGAAATTGTTTCTGGTGCTTGCATTCTGTTGAACCTTTAATAAATAAAGTAAGCACTATTGTATCTAAGATCATCAAATATCTGGATTTTAATGTATTTTTTTTCATGCGTAAAACATTATCTATTGTAGTCTAACAAAGATATTTTTCCACATCGGAAGTCAATCCTTCGGTGGTTAGTCAAGGATATTACCAATATAATAACGTAGGCATTTATTAAAATAACGTTTTAAACTGTCGCGCCCTTTTCGCTCAATAAATCTATAAAATCAACTGAGTACCCAACACAGACATATAGAAGTCTAACACACTGGTCGCCGAATTGACTGAGACTTATAGTCATGAGTTGCACCCCTTGTTTTAATCTTATTCTTTTTGATCGAATCGTTATAAGTAAGGAAAAAAAACAGTAAGCTTAAAATCCTGAAGGCATCATTGTGACCTAAGGCCCGGTCCCTGGATTGTGAAAAGGTCTCTTACTCGATCAGCCAACTTGTTCTATTAAGCACTTACTTAGTCTGATAATCTTGTTATTCAAAACAGACTTTTCAACACAAATACAAGTTTAAAGATGGGGTTCCTTATTTTTTAGTGTCAAATTAAGCCAACTAATTGGTGTTTCTAATGAATTATCATGTATTCTTAATCATATCATTATGTTGTGGTTGTATATAATTAAGAGTTTTAACCAATCATAAATGTCCATGTATGTACAGTCTGGATAAACAAAAAAATACTTTTTGACCTTTCTTGATCGGTCACTCATTGAAATTCTGCTATTAATTCTCTTCGAATTTAGCTAATTATGAATTAATTATGGACATGTGAGACAGACTGGTATTTTTCCAGGTCATTAGGTGACCTCTACTTTCTATTCATTTAAGTATTAGTATTTTCATTTTTATGAATGAAAATAAGTGAAACCCATCTTTCAGTATATCTACACAGCCTTTGAAGAAGTGCTTTTAACATTAGGCCCAACTCTGTTTATTACAAAGAACATAATGTAATAAAGCTACGGATCGGTTGTCTGTTGAGTATCTATTTACTATCTTGGAAACTATACTTTGAACTCATTAAAAAAAAAAAATTTGTAATCAACAAATTGTACAAGGACGTAGCATTGTTATAAATTTAAAGACTGTTGCGTTTTTAATTGATGTGTTAATGAACGACTAAAAGGCCTTTATCCCTTTATGGGGAAACTTCATTAGGCTTAAAGAGCTTCGGATGATCATAAAGATGGATTCCATATTTCATTTTAAAGAATCTTTTGTAAGACGTTTCAATTGATGTATATAATGGACCGGATTTAAACGCGTGGTTCAGCAACGTATTATAAGATCACTGGGTAATTAATATTCTACGGTAGAGGCGAATATTTCATCAAGTTTTAATATTTTCAACTTAGGGGAAATCCACGTTTAACTTTTTAAACCTTAAAAGCATTTTACCTATTTCACATTGATGACTTGTTCTCGTGCATATATACATGATCTAATTCAACCGA